AGGGTCTCACCATGTAGTTCAGAATGGCTATCTTGTGGCACCTCTCCTGCCTCAGCCTCCCAAAGTGTACCTCCGCACCTTGGTACAGTGTTGCACCGTTTGTGGGGAGGATCATACTAATTCTGGTCTTAATGACTAGTGTAAGGGGGTGAATTGCACATCCTGTTTCAGTAAAGGAAGAGTCTTCCAGGCTTCCTCGGACTGCATTTGTAAATCCAGGTGAGCAGGGTCATGAGAGAGAGAGATGGGTATTATATTAATTAAGTAGGTTGGCTCAGAGCCTTTGGAAACCAGCTCTGGGAGGCTGGTTTGTGTTGGGGTTGCTGTGGGGGCCCCACGGTGGCCATTGGTTCGTCCCTGCACACTTTGAGAACAGCTCCCCCGAGAGAGTGAGCCACTGAAGCTTGCAACCTTGGAACGGGACAGGACCTTCCCTGGAAGGGAAGCCCAAGCCTCTCTGTCTGCAGATGAGGAAGCCAGGCCCCGATCACATAGCTGCTTGTGGCCATCTTCTGAGCTGGAGTCACGTCTCTGTGGCTCTGAGCCACTTCCCTTTCTTCCTCTGTGGCCAGCGGTCTCATCTGGGTGCTCTGATACAGCATGTATGTGTGGAGACACGGAGACTGTCAGCGGAGGGGCCCCCAACTTTGGGGACCTTCTGAATGCAGAACCTTGTCTATGCTGCTGCCAGGGTCACACGCCACAAAGCTGGCTCTGGTCCCATTTTCCATCTTTAAAGAATTCTCCTCTCCAAATTTGGAAATAGCTAATAAAAGAGTCATTCTGAGATGAGGAAAACAGAAGTCCCCAACCCTTTGTATTTTCTTGGTGGACTTTGGGGATGGGTGGAAAGTGGGTGTACAGTCTCCTTCAAGGAGCCATCTTTTAGAGGGACAACAGAATGAATGCCACTTGCAGGTTCCTAATGACAAAGTTAAACAACTGGGGAGGGAGGGAGGAGGGAGCCCCGCTGTATATCCCTTTATGTCCCCCACAGAGCGCCCAGTCACTGTGACAACCCAGACCACACAGGAGCTGCTGGACCTGATCAGTGTGCTGATCACCCAGCACCCAGGGCTACCACAGGGATTCTCCAAGACTACCTCTGACGCCGCAAAACTAGCTGAGCTGTTTCGTTAAACTCAGACATGCTTTCCTGTAGATTCCAGTTTGTTCCAGATAAAGGGGAAGCAGAAGTTCTAATTTGTGCTAGCGCCTCATCAGCACCCAGGTGGCCTGAATCCTTTGATGGGGATGGTGTGGCACACTCCTGTGTGTGTGGGATGAAGATTTCACTTCTGAGGGGTGGTAAGGAATAGGGTGGGTAGGTTGGCCTCCCGAGCCCCGGAGAAGCCAAACTAAAAAGAAATAGGGGTGGGGGACAGAAAATAAAGCAGCCCTCAGTGTAGGTGGGGAAAGGTTGTAAGAGAGCTTTGGGGCATTTCCCCGCCTCGGGAGCCTGCGCTAGAAAGACTGTGGAATTTAGAAAACTTTCAGACCAGCTGGTAAGGGTTTTGTTTTTACTATTCTGGCCAGATGCTCTAGTTTCTTTCAGAATTATAAATGTGTTTATGTGTCTGAGTAAAAGCAAGGCTCTCAAGGGGCCGCACCTTGAAATCCCAGAAGATAAAGTGTGACCATGGAGGATGAGATACCCAGTCAGTAGGCTGGAGAGGGGGACACGGGTTCTGTCCAGAGCAAGCTGCTGGGCTGGGCCCTGCTTCCTCCACAGCTCTTGTCCCCTCCCCCAGGAATTCCATTGAGACATTGCCACTCCGCAGCCCCCCTTCCTGATCCAGGCTTCCCGTGCCAGGACCCCGCTCCCCTCCCCCAGCAGTGCTATTTTAGGGTTCCTGGACACACCCACAGCTGATGCTTTCTGGGCCTGTAATTGTTCACATGACGCAGTTTTCGCCAGAAACTGCGTAGGCAGGACTGGGTCTGGCTTCCTGGATCAGGCAGGGACGGCGTGGTTTTGATGCTTCATGCACATGTCGGTGACCTGGGGGGCGGGGCAGGGTGGCCACGTTGTCCCTGGGCTGGGAGAGCCGATAAGCCCTGGTGGTGCAGAGCAAAAGGGCAGGGACAGGCCCACAGGGAGCGCCATCTCCTGGCTCTGGGGGTGACAGGGACCGTTTGTGGTGTCTGTTTCTTCTGCAGTTGGGTTCCTGTGTCAGGGAACTGTCATCACACTCCAGGCCATTTTTATCTGGTTTTCAGAGCCGAACTGCGGTCTTGTGACACCCCCTTCCCTCCTGCTTAGCCCTTCTCTGTGCACTCCAAGCCCCCCCCCCTCCCCTCCAAGCCGGGGCCTTGTGCTGCCCTTTCCGGCCTGTGGCAGCTCTCCTTGCAGAGCTTTCCTCCTCTAAACCCTCCGCGGCTCCCGTTCGCACAGTGTGATGTGTAAGTAAACCAGAGGGCAGCTGCCTGGGTCATTGAGTTTTATTGTTTAATATCTACATTGTGAAAGGCATAAGGAGGCGACACAAACCTTAAGAATACTTTCCATGGCTTAACTCCATGTATGCAAACTAGGATTATTTCTCATATAAGCGCCACAACATTAACCGGATATTTTACATTAATGTGTTATACTAAATTTTCAAAATCCAGGGGGCGTTTTGTTTATATTGGCACCCTCTCACCTGCTTTTAAATCATTTTTTAATTTATTTATTTTTTGTGATGCTGTGACTGGAACTTGCGGCCTCACATGTGCTACGCAAATGTTCTTAGCGCTGATCTGTACCCACCACCTTTTTTTTTTTGTCTTTTTGAAACAGGGTCTCACTATGCAGTTGAGGCTGGCCTGACGCTTTCTTCTTGGAATGATCCGCCTACCTCAGCCTCCCGAGGGCTGGGATTACAGGCCACCCTCCACCTTTTTAAACACTTTTGAAACAAATTCTTGATAAATTGTCCAGGCTAGCCTCCCGACTCAGCCTCCCAAGTACCTAAGATTTACAAGTTTATGCCACCGTGCCCAACTGGATGTTACATTTTGTATCGAAACATTTGGATCCATATTCAGAGTTCATCAAATTTGCTGTAGCAGAACTAGGTTCACATACCCAAGTTGCCTCATACAAGCATATCAAAAATTATTAGTTGGGGCTGGGGATTTAGCTCAGCGGCATAAGCGCCTTCCTTGCAAGCAGGCAGTCTTGAGTTCGATCCCCGGTACCGATAAAAAACAGAAAAGACAAAAAAAAAAATTATTAGTTGTTTTTATTTTTTGTTTTGGTGCTAGGGACTGAGCCAGGGAGCCTCATGCTTGCTTGGCAAGTGATGGACCATTGAGCTACATCCCCAGCCCCAGTGTTATGTTTTGTTTTTATGAGGTTTACACATGTGCATCTGATTTAACTTATGAGTATTGTCTCAAGTTGCATCCATTTACCTATAAGTCTCCAGGTTATCCTTTTTATGGCTGAGTAGTACTCCATTGTGTTAAAATATCACATTTTAAAAAATCCATTCTGGATTCAGGGGCATTTAGGTTATTTCCAAGATCATCTGCTACATTTTCCAGCCCCAGTTTTTACATTTAAATTATTTAAACTCAAAGTAAAAACAAACTAAAAAACTAAAAAACTTTTTAGTACAGAGCAGCCTCAGGTGACTTTGGGCCACTTCCTTGGAAGCACAGATAGAAGTCGTGTCCGCCGCCCCAAAGTCCCAGAAGGCCTGGTAGACCTCTCAGTCTCGTCGAGGCTGTGCTTTTGGAATCTTCACGGGTTTCCTAGGACTCAGCCCTAGCTCAGTCACCTCCCTCTTTCTTCTGTTCCGAGGCTGAGCTTCCTCGGAGGAGCCTCTTGCTGCAGCGGGGCGGCTTCCTCCCGTGCCTCTGGAAATTCTGGAGCCTGAGGCCCACAGGCCGGGCAGGAGAGTGGGCAGCCCGGCCCCGCTCCCCAGGCACTGCCCAGTTCTCCTGAAAAGGTTTGAATGGCTCTCCTAACGCAGCGGGAGCTGCAGCCACACAAAGGAACCCACTATGCTGTGCCCCAGCTGCCCGGTGCCACCGCGCAGGAACACACCCAGGTCACGGGATGTAACTCTAGGCAGGTGCTGGCTCTGCCAGGGAGGAAAACCACTTCTCTGCCCTCACAGAAAAAAAAATCTGTGCCCAGCTGCTCTGGGACTCGCTTTCCCAGAGGAGGGTGGGTGTGGATATGTTCCACCTCTGTTTTCCCCTTTCTCTTTGGTTCTTTTGAGGTGTTGGTTAATGAACCCAGGGCTCACCCATGTTTGGCAAGTACTGTACCCCTGAGTTATAGCCCCAGCCCTTTTAAATTTTTTATCTTGACAGAGGGTCTCAGTAAGTTGCCCAGGCTGGGCTTGAACTTTGCATCCTGGTGCCTCTGCCTCCTGAATAGCTGGGATTGCAGGTGTTTGCCCGCATGCCTGTGTTTACAGGACAGAAACTTGCAAATAGCTTAATCACACAAATCAAACTTTCTTTTTCCAAATCCATTTTATTTCTTTTTTTCTTTTCAGAGTACTGGTTAAGTAAAATTACAATATAGCTACATAGAAAAAATTCATGTGGTAGTTTGAAAAATAATACAATGGAAACTGACAAACCTAAAATATGTTAAGCAAGGAAGGTTAAGTAGGCAGAAATAAATGTTACTACATAAACTCATACTATACATGTACATATATGTATACATATATCCCCTTGGTTCTAACTGTTGGTTACACACGCATACACATGGACCACACATTGAACTACCAGACCCTTAGTAAGTTCCTGAAGTAATAAAGACAATGCCATATATTTTGATAGTGTCAAAAAATGGCCCCCCAAAGGAAAAAATCAGTCATCACCTGTGACTTGTATAACTCGTAAGTGGCAAAAAGGGATCAAAATCCAGAGCAAGAAGGTGCCTCTAGTAAAATTAGAATGGAAATAGTGTTTGTGATTTTTCCTGAACGTTCTTGACTGTTTTTTTCCTTTTGTTGTAAAAAACTATGAAATTCAGGAAATTCCATTTTGTTTCAAGGAGGAAAAGAAAACAAAAAAGAAAAACTAAACACTTCAAAACATGTCAGTCGGAGCAACAGTGCTACGTGCTTTACGCATTGTCAGCCCCAAATCATTCACCCAGAGCACAAGACATCGACTGTCCAAACAATACCAGCACAAATCTTCCTCTTCTGTGAACTCAGCGCAATCAGTAGTGTAACTATCTTAACTATTTTTTTATATACATATACATATGTTGTTTCTTCTAGCTTCTCACACTGAGACAATCCGATATTTACATGTGTGTTGTATTTATTTCACTAATGAGTATGTTCTCAAATTGCATCCACTTACCTATAAAAGTGTTCAGCTAATCTTTGTTGCTGAATAGTACTCCATTGTATAAACATACCACATCTGTTTTATCCATTCCTCAGTTGATGGGCATTTAGGTTGTTTCCAAGATCTGGCTATTACAGACTGTGCTGCTGTAAACATGGGTGCACATATATCACTGTGGTATGATGTTTTAATTCTTCTGGGAAGATACCCAGGAGAGAATAACTGGGTCAAATGAGACCTCCAGTCCTAACTTTTTGAGGAATCGCCACACTGATTTCCACAGTGGCTGCGCCAGTTTACACTCCCGCCAATAGTGGAGAAGGGTTCCTTCTCCCGCAGCACCTACAGCATTTGTTATTGCTTGATTTCTTGATAGTAGCCGTTCTTTCCAGGGTGAGGTGGAGTCTCAGTGTTGTTTTAATTTCCATCTCTCGAATGACCAGTGATGTTGAACATTTTTTCACATAGTTATTTGCTGCTTGTATTTCTTCATGTGAGAAATATGTGTTCATCTCAGATGCCCATTTTTGGGTTGGGCCTTTAAATCTGGGAGGACTGATTTTTTTTTTTTTTTGTCTTTCCTTTTTATTGGTACCGGGGATCAAACTCACGACTGCCTGCTTGCAAGGCAGGCGTTTATGCCATTGAGCTAAATCCCCAGCCCCTGACTGATTTTTTTTTTTTAAAGTTCTTTATATGTTCTGATAGTAATCCTTTGTCTGAGGTATAGATGGCAAACATTTTCTCCCACATTGTGGGTTGTTTTTTCACTATATTGATGGTTTCTCTTGCTGTTCAAAAGCTTTTCAACAGGGTAGGATCCCAGTTGTTGATTCTTTGTGACAGTTCCTGTGCAATCAGGCTTTTGTTCATAAAGTTTTTGCCTACAACAATGTCTTCAAGAGTTTTACCTACTTTTATCTTCCAACAGATTTAATGTTTCTGTTTTAATATTAAGATCTTTGATCCTTTCTGATTTTAGCTTAGTACATGGTGAAAGATACAGGTTCAGTTTTAATCTTAAGCATATGTAGAGCCAGTTTTTCCAGTACCATTTATTAGAGGCTATCTTTCTTCCAGTGAATGTATTTGGCACCTTTGTCAAAGATAAGGTGGCTTACTGTGTTTGGAGTTGTTTCTGCATCTTCTAATCTGTTCCATTGATTTGGGTCTGTTTTTTACCAGTACCACTCTGTTTTGTTTTGTATTTTTACCGGTACCGGGGATCGAACTCATGACTGCCTGTTTGCAAGGCAGGCACTTATGCCACTGAGCTGAATTCCCAGCCCCTTTGTTTTGTTTTTTAATCACAGTTGCTTTACAGTGTAATTTGAAGTCAAGGATTGTGATGCCCCATGTCTTATCTTTGTTGCCCAGGACTGCCTTTGCTATTCTAGATCTCTCTGGTTCCAGATGAATTTTTTGATTTTTTTTCTTTTTTAGTCTTTGAGGCAGAGGCTCGCTGTATAGTTCAGGGTAGGCTCCGACTCACAGCAATTCTGCTTCAGCCTCCCAAGTGCACCATCTTACCCAGCTTCAGATTTTCATGAGACAGACAAACCAAGGTCCTCAGACCCCAGGTTGGAGACAAACCTGACAGCTCCCTTGAAAAGCCCCCCTTTCGCTCCGAGGTTTTCCTCCCATGTTCCCAGCCTGGCTCTTGTCGCCCTGTTCCTGAGCCCTCAGCCCCTGCATCCCGCAGCCTGCATCTTTTGGGCCTGGCTCCTATTGCATGGCTCAGCACTTTACTGTCCATAGTTTATGGTTGGTTTTCAAATGCCTTCATCGCTTCTGTCACCAAGAACCATGCATGAAAACTGCACTGGCTTTAAAAAAAAAAAAAAAAAACAGATGCTAGGTATGGGGAGAACGTTTTCGTGGGTTCCTGGTTTGAGATCTAAAGAAGAAATTGCTCAGATTTGGTTGTTCAGATTTGGTTGGAGTTTTCTCAGTTTGGGTGGTTTGGGGGCCTAATTCCTTAGATTTTATCTTTACTTAGGAAAGCCTCTGTTAAGGTGAGCCTTCTTGGGTCTTGAAGGGACAGTTCCCCCCTTTCTGACTTTCAGATAAAGTTGGACCTGCCCTTTTTAGAAAGATGAAAGGTTAAGGTGGGTAGATCAGGCGAATTTCTTACCTGGTATTTTCTGTTTTTGCTTTAGGTAAAATGTCGGTTCCAGGACCTTACCAGGCGGCCCCTGGGCCTTCCTCGGTGCCCACTGCGCCCCCCTCCTATGAAGAGACGGTGGGAGTTAACAGTTACATCCCGACGCATCCAGCCCCGGTGCCTGGGCCAACCACGGGGCTCATGACAGGCCCAGATGGGAAAGGCGCGAACCCGCCTTTGTACTATACCCAGCCAGTGCCCGTCCTCAACCCTACTGCCAACACAAGTAAGTGACCTGCTCCCCAGCCTGAGGACTCAGGGCCAGGAACGGCCAGAATACACGGAGCCTGTGAATCAGACCATCTGTGTTCACATAATCTCCTGTGCCTCAGTTTCCCAGTCTGTGAAATAGAACTCAGCTGGTACCTACACCTACTCCTTCAGGTGGTTCAGATGAGATGCTGTTCCAGAGAAAGCCAGCACTCAATAAAAGTAAATAACTGTGGTGTGGGAACTCAGTTTGACCTGAGGTTATTGGAAGAAGATGAGATAACTAGACTTTTTAAGATGATGCAGTGATAAATAAATAACTTATTCTTGAACCAAAAAGTTCTCATTGCGTCTTACGTGTTAGTGTCCAAGTGTGCTTCAGTGCTGCGTTTCCAGGAAGAGCATATTTCTGTGGGTGTTACTGAGCTCAGGAGCTCTGGGCAGTAGATGTTTTCCCCAGGACACAGATGACAGGCCTGGCATTCTACCACTGTAACAAGGAGGGGTGGTGGGAAGTCACTCTGACAGAAATAGGAGTTTAAGCAATTCGAGTGCTTAACAATTTCCAACCCTGGGAAGGCCACCGACTGTGGTGCCCGGATGTACTTGCACATTGTCCTGTACCGCCTGGCATTAGCTTGTACATTGGCTGGGTGTCTGGACATAGTCACCAGCATTGTCTTCCAAGGTAGGTTGCTTCTTCTGCCTCGTGAACTGCCCTGCAGGGGGCCCTGCGACCCATACAGGAGGCTGTGTGACACCAGGGGCAGTGTCTGTGGTTTATACCACATTCAGCACAAGGCTGTTTGAGTCACTGGTCTTAACTCAGTTAACTCTGTTAATTTCCATATTTTTTAAGAAGCGTGTTATGGAGACATTATGCACATACCCTAAAGTTCAGTCTTTTCCAGCCCTGTTCAGGGGTTTTAGCATATCTACTCCGAACCTGTGAGGAGCCCCCCTCACTCCCTCCTGGCAACACTAATCTGTGACTGCAGGAAACTGGGGCCAAAATCCACCCCTTTCCCCATTTCTCTATTTATTACCTGTGGACCACCTCTGTGGAACCACCAGAGGGGTCTGAAAAGCAGTTTGGGGAGCCCTCCCGGACTGCTGACTGCCCCCTCAGGACAGGCCCAGGATTCTATGGGTGTGGAATTTGCACACCTTGAGGCACAAACAGCTTTCCCCATCCTGCATGGAGGATTTAAGAGTGCCTCAAGCCAAAATTCTGGAAATCTGCTAGTGTTCCGTCTTCTTCTATTTTCTGTATTTTTCATTTTTCATTGTGGAACAATACATCATGTAAAGCCCACCCTTTCACCACTCCAAAGCACGGCTCAGTGGCCCTAAGTACAGCAGATGGAACAGCATTGTCGTCTCCAGGACATGTCCATCACCTCAGAAGGAGACATTGTCCCCATTCAGCACGAGCTCTCCAGTCCTCTTCCCCACAGACCCAGCCACCACCTTTTGTGGCATCTGAATGTGACTGCTCCAGGGACCTGGAAGGAGCGGACGATAATGCCCGTCTTTTGTGTCTGGCTCATTTCCCGGAGTGTAATCTCCTCGAGGTTCATTCACAGTGTGGCAAGTATCCAGATTTCCTCCCTCTTTAAGGCTGAATAATGCTCCACTGTGTAGATAGACCGCATTGTATTTCTCCACATGTCTGTGGGTAGCTGCTTAGTGTCATGAACAGTGGTGGTGTATCTTTTTTTTTCCCCTTCTTTTTAGTACTGGAGACTGCACTGGGCTCCATCTCCAGCCCTTTGTTCTTTGTTTCCAGACAGGGCCTCATTAGGTTGCTTAGGCTGGACTGAAACTTGCAGTCCTCCTGCCTCAGCCTCCCAAAATGCCAGGGTGTGTGCTATCAAAGTGTGTGCCTGGCCTAGTGTTGCTGGGAATAGCTGTCAGAGGCCCTGTTCTGGCTTCCCTGTGGTTTACCCAACTCTGTCTTCCTTGTTTCTGAAGGAACATTTTTCTTCCCTTTTCACAGCAGTACAGACCGTCTTTGTGCAGCAGCCTGTGTCCTTTTTTGACCGTCCTGTCCAGATGTGCTGTCCTTCCTGCAACAAGATGGTTGTGACCAAGCTGTCCTACAATGCCGGTGCCCTCACCTGGCTGTCGTGCGGGAGCCTGTGCTTGCTGGGGTGAGTGCACTGCCTGTCCTTTTGCACCCTGAAGGGCTTCCCAGATGTGGCAGGATGGGTGTTCGTGTTCGAGCCCAGGGACTTAGCTGTGCTGGGGACTGTCCTGTGCATGGTAGGCGATTTTATTGTGGCACTGCTAGGGATCGAACTGAGAGCCTGGTGCATGCTAGAGAAGTCCTGTGCCACAGCGACACCCCAGCCCCTGCTGTAGGATGGTTTTCATCGTTCTGGGCCCCTCCCCACTAGACTGATGCTCATGTGTGTCCCCCCACACCATGGTGTAACCCAAAATGCCCCCTGAGAGTGCAGTCCTCATGATGGAGAACCCTGCTCTTAGGCACAGGGACAGCTGCCTAGTGCCCCTCACTAGACACAACCCAGTGCTCCTCATTTCTTTTCACCCTGCCTGAGCCTCTCTCTGGCATGTAGGGACAGGTAGAGCAGCCACTCCCCTCCATGGAAGGTGGCACCCTTAGGGTTTCTTTTGCTTCTAGAATTTCATGATCTACGTGGTAATAATGTTTGCTTGACTCTGAGGGAAGCTTTAATACAGGCTGCACATTGACACACTTCCTAGAAATCTCTTTAAAACATCTTATCTTTCATCATCTTGAGTATCTTTGCTATTCCCAATGCTGGGGGATTATTACATTTATATTTGTGTCTGTACCAAGGGCAATGTATTTAAAGAAGTAATCGTTTCTGCTCTGGGAGAGAAATTTAAGGAAACATGATTGAATTTTTTTCCTAAGCAGGTGATGATAGGATCCTCCCTCCCGGCCATGGAGCCCCAACTGGCTGGGTTGTTTTCCTTGGAGGGAGAAGGGTTTTTGAGCCTCTCTGCAGGAGTCTTCTGCTCCTGAGGACTGGCACCTGCTGTCCCCATCTGCCTGTGATGCGAGATCAGGAAGGAACATTATTTCTCTTCCTCAATTCAAAGAGGGGCTCAGAGCCCCAGGGCACCTCGTTAGCTTCCTGGAGATCACCATTAAGTGGGGAGAGGGGTGGAGAAGGTGACTTAACCAGGTTTCCTGACACTTGGTTTGCTACCTTGCCTGTAGCTCCAATGCTGGCTGTTGCTTTTATCCCTTGGCCAGAAAATGTTAAATGCAGGGTCATTACCTTTGAATACCTGTATATTAAATCTATGAAATCAGGGGAAGACAGCATACAAAGGAATAATGCAGGTTAGCATGTGCCGATTTGGCTTTTGAAATGGAGGCAGCCTTTCAGCCCCTCCTTCTGTCCCCTTCCTTAAATGTGACCGAGTGGCATCAGATCTCTTCCCTCCAGCTGTGTGACGCTGGGCAAGTGACTTCACCTCTCTGTGCTTTGTTTTCCCCATCCATAAACTTGAGGGGCTGTTGAGGATGAGGTCAGGGAGTGTGTTGTGTGTGTGGCACTGCCTGACCTGAACTTGGTAAGCTCACACATCAGGAGGAAATAAATGCCTTTTACAAGACAGTTTCCTCTTTGGAATATTTCTAGATTCCGCTTTATGTGAATCAGTACCTTCTTGTAAAAATGTTGAATTTTTACCTACATTTTTGGTGATCAGGCAGCCACCATTCCACTTGCTGTCTCTAAATCTAACTCCTCATAGTGGTGAAATCTTACCGTGTTTGTCATCTTGTGACCTGCACAGCACAATGCTGGTCTCTGGGATGCACGATGATCTTGCTTATGTGCGCTGATGATGTAACTAAGAGGTGTCATTTAGGGAACTCATTTTGGTTGTTATGAGCAGCAACTTCTCTGCAGAAAAAGAAATCTTAAGATTCAGGCCTGTAAACTATAACCCTAAACTCTATCCAGCCCACGCTTGGTTAAGTGTTACTGGAGCCCAGCCAGACCCATTTGATTAGGAATTCTCTGCAGCTGAGGGAAGGGCAGTATTGAGGAGGTAAAACTCAGGCCACATGGCCCATCAAAACTAAAATATGTACTGTGCAGCTGTTCAGAAAAAATGGACCGACCCTGATCTAAGACTAAAGGATGCTCAAATGACCCCAGACACAAAAATATACTCAGGACAGTCTATTAGTGCTTTATGTGGACTTAATGTGGTCTCAAGTTTTCCTCGGGCTGCTATAACATGTCTTTAGTTGTGCTGTCATGGCTGCCTCAATGTCATGAATTGATTCCAGGATCTTTCATGACCATTGTGACTTTGGGGGAACAGCCAGAAGTTACAGGGTGCCAAGCCTGGTAAATAAGCCAGATGAGGGCACACTGTAATGTTTATATGTGCCTGCCTTTCTGCTGGATGACAGCAGCGGCATGGATGCACTGTACTTTAGATCACGTCTCTGAAAGACAGTCCCAAAAGCGGACTTCCAGAACTGCCTCTGAAAATGGCAAGAATGGTGGGATAAGTATGTTTGAAGCAAGGGAGAGAATTCTGAGAAGATTAATAGTAATGAGTCACTTACTGTACTAAAAATTTTTTTTGAGACAGGTTCTTGTATGCAGTTCAGGCTGGCCTCCGGCTCACTGCAAGCCTCCTGCCTCAGCCTCCTGTGTGCTGGGATTACAGGCATGCACCACCATGCCTGGCTATTGTAATGAATTTTAAAAAATGTAAACATTTGCCGTATGTTTTTGATCATACCATGTAGTATCACATCTGCAGGTTCTCAGAGGTAGGACACAAATGCAGGTTTTTGGTGGATACCATTTAACCTGTTGCAGTGGGTAACGTGCTCCCTGTGTGACCTTTTATCCTCCCAGGTGTGTCTTGGGCTGCTGCTTCATCCCCTTCTGCGTGGACGCCCTGCAGGACGTGGACCACTACTGTCCCAACTGTAAAGCTCTCCTGGGCACCTACAAGCGCTTGTAGGACACAGCCAGGCATGGAGGAAGCTGCGTGCTGCAGGAAGTTGCCTGACTCTCACCCCCGTCCACCCCTGGGACAGGCTCAGCTCCCGTAGTCCCATCTCTCCACCTTCGTGTCTTCTTTTGGGGGGAAAATGTCACAAAAGTCACAAACCTCCAAATCCCAGAAATCGCTGCTTGGAGAGATACACAGGACGTGCAGAGACATCGACCTTGAGTGTGGGTTCAGAGGTTTCCCGCCTCCCCAGGACCCCAAAGCCACCCTGACTGTGATGTTGCCCCATCTGAGTGTCCTTCCTGCCTCAGTCGGCCCTTCTGCTGGTCTCAAACTGAGGAGCCACACTTTGCCTTATTTCTGAGACTGTTGTGCCTGACCCTCGGCAGAAGCCACTGTCGAACCTGTCATTTTGTCCTTCTCTTCCTGCCCCGTAACAAAAACCTTGCCTTAGAGACTTTATGGGTTTGTCAGTTAGATTCTGTCATTGCAAAGTTTTTTGGCACTCAAGCTCACTTTAATTTCTTAATGTTCTTTTAAGTGCAAGGAAGGGCTGTTAACACCCACCAGACACAGATCTGTGAGGTCATAAGTGCAAAACAAAAGAAACTTAGGGCTGGATTTTATCATCGTTGCTCTCCCTGGTTTCCTCCAGATCCTCAGCACCACTTTATATGAAGGGATTTTTTTATGTGGTTAATAGTATTAACTGCTGTCCTGACCTCCTTTTGATCTTACACACGTTTGAACCTAATTTGGCAAGGGGGATTTTATAGAATTGTTTTCTGTAACCCTAAGATGGGTATCATTTTCCCATTTGTCAGTGCACACTCTGCTTTTGTTTGGTGTTGCCCAGCCTGGCCTTGAACTTCTGGACTCAAACAATTCCCTCTGCCTTGGCCTCCCAAGTAACTGGGGCTTCCCATGCTTATCACTGTGCCTGGTTCTCTTTTCCTTTTTTCTTAACAGAAAAATAAGTGGATAATTTTATCCACTGCCTTTATGTGGGTTCAGTGTGGTTCTTAACAGCCTCTTAAAGTGGGGCTCCTTTGGAGTTCCCAGCAGATCAAGGATGAAAAGCCCAGTTGGGCCCGTCCGGGTGCTGATAGTTTGGGGCGCCAGAAGTGTCTTAAAGGAATCTAGAGTCTGGTTTTATTTTTTCAGATCTTCTTTTTGTTATATATCAGCAGCAGGACTTCTAGGACTCAAGCTGCAGCCAGACTTCTAGGTTGGCTGCTGGGTCACTTTGAAATTGAGACAGAGCTGGGCTCGCCTTTCCGGAGGCCCCGTTTTGAAACACAGCTGGCACAGGGGACTCCCGCGAATGAATACTCGTGTAGAAATCCAACCTAAACCTTAGGCAAAAATCTGTGTATTGGTTGAAATTTGTAACCGTTGACTAAGCTTTGTTCACCGGTGTTCTGGAAATGCCAGTCATTATTTTTGCAGTGAATTATGGATACCATATAGTACTTTGGTGTTTATCTGCTTTTCAAAAAATAAAAGTCTTTGGTTCACTCGGTGAACTATTTATCAATTCTGGTGTGAAGAAAGATCTCATGTTGTGTTTCCAGGCATTGCTACAAAGAACCTTTATTTGCTCTGTAATGGTTTTAAAAAAAATCCTTCACAACACAAACTTGAGACTTGCTGAATGTCCCCTGATGTCGCACTGAGTGGGTTGTTAACGAGTCAGGTTTGAACGTTGGGCCGTTGGAACCCCAGCCGCGGCGGCGTGGATGGCAGCAAGCCACAGCTTTCAAGTTCTAGTCAAATGCACAGAAGAAAGCGGTTGCCATTCATTTTCCGAACAAAACATGCTTTGTTAATTGATCAGGGTGGCTGTGACGAAGGGCGTACAGTAACATGCCAGGAGTATCGATAACCCGCCTCTTTCCTACTTGATGACAGTTTCATTTTGGAAGGCGCAGGAAAATAATGTCATCTTGGTGTAGCTTACATTGTCACTGAAACCCTAATTTATGGTCTTGGAAAATTGCTGCTCACAGGATCCCGATTGGTTTTCTTCTTTTGACAAAACTCAAAGTTTTGCATAGTTAGCATTTGTGCTCAGATAGAGGTATAGAAATGATCTCAAGCTGTTACTAATTACTTATGCAAAGTGGAACTGTTTCAAGGACTGTAAGATACATATTATATGGAACTTCAATGTCAGATTCCTGGAGTATGAAGTATTCATCAGACATGCTATTTGAATGTTCAGAATGTGGACTTGATCATCTGTTTTTGCAAATTAAAAGACTTTTTCCCTCTGCCACTATCAGGGGGGACCTTTGCAGTCAGCCTGTTGCAAACACCTACCGGATTGTAGTCAAGAATTGATGAAAGAGTTTTAAGCCAGTTCACTTTCCTGGACCTGGAAGAATTTTTCCAATTTCAAACCAGAAGGAGCTGCCTCTTGCATACTGTTACATACACCTGGGTTGTAAGAAGTGTTAGTGCATGTCTTGTAACAAAGTATTCAGACTTGACACCTCTTTAAGCCAGCTTTATGCACATGAGATTCCTTGCTCACCATAGCATTGCCTAAAAATGTTTCTCAGCGATAACTGGCTTTCCTGTTGCTACCCAGAGCTCTTTTTTGGGGTGCTGGACTATCTAGATACGGCTTCATCGCCTCATACTTTGGCTCCATTGTCTCCCCAAGGGAGGACTGGCACGTTGGGGATGTTAAAAACCTTCTCTAGGACCTAGGGATTTAGCTCAGCGGCATAAGTGCCTGCCTTGCAAGCGGGCAATCGTGAGTTCGATCCCCAGTACCGATAAAAAGGAAAAAGACAAAAACAAAACAAAACAAAACAAAACAAACCTTCTCTGACTTTGTGGGCTCAGAATGTCTGTTAGGAGTAAATCTAGACATTGGAATTTTACTTGGAAAATTCTGAGTTGCACATTGGATTCTTACTAAAATTATCTGCTGCCTTTCTGTTTACAATGAGTCGTCTGTTTCACAGGCACTGGGCTGAATTTTGAAGTAGATCCAGTGAAGGCTGAGAAAGCAGGAATAGTTTTAAGGACTTTATTTTTTAAAGGAAAAATCACATCATTTCACAGCCAGGCATACAGTTTATTGCATTTAAGTGTCTAGTGATTGTTCTCTGGAGTATACACAGGTGCTGTATTTCAAGCACGCCCCGCCCCCACCTGTTGATTTTTTGGTGGAGATCAAATGCAGAGTCTTGTGCCTGCTAAGCATGTGCTTCACACTGAACTCTTCCCCCTGCTCCTTTTTCCCTTTCAGACTGTCTCCCTACTGGGGATTGAACTCAGGGCCTTTGCACTGAGTTATAGCCCCAGCTCTATTTTTATACGTTTTGAAACAGGGTCTCACAAAGTCACCAGGCTGGGCTTGAAGTTTTGATCTCCTCCCTCAGCCTCCTGCAGTGCAGGGACCACAAACATGTACACCCTGCCTCACTCTGCTTACCTTTGTGTCTTAAAAGAAATGTATCCTTACTGCAAAGCCACATCTTTTGAGGCATACTTACTCATTGCTGCTTCCCTGGCCTGGAGGACCTGGGTATCTCCTGTTCAAGAGTAATTTTGAGGCAGCCTGATGGCAACAGACCTGGCTTGTGCCAGTTCCTAGCTGGTCAGAGCAGGACACAGGTCCTGGCCCTGCCTTCCTCTGCAGCTGAGGAATGAGAGGTGAATCTGCATGCCAGCACTCTTGCAGACCCTTTGAGAGGAACCAGGGACTCAGGTGTTCAGCTCTGCACCCGCGGTCATATAAACCAGGAGGAAAAGTGCCCCTGATCAGCCATTGCAGCCAGGGCTAGATGGCAGCTTGTTCTTTAAAATCAAGTCACTGGTGTTTTCCCTGGCGAGGGGACAGTTATAGGTTTCCGTGCTGGACGTCTCAAAGTTGCATTAGGAAAGTTTGAATTCTCCATTCCTGTGTCGTACCATTCGCGTTTCTCCGCTCTGGATCTTTTGCGTTCTTTTAAGGATTGACTGCTTCCCATGGGTCATTTTCTCGTCTTTTCCAGCTCACTGTTCTTCAGTGTCCTGTTGGTAAGCAAAAAGGAGAGGTTTGCTTTTGGCAACAGGCGGATTGCAAGGAGACAGGACTCCCGTGTACCTGCCCTGCCCCTCCAGTCAGCGGAAAACTCCTTCCTGGAGTAGTGCGGACTGCCATCCCCATTGAGGATATTTTGGAAAGAGAAAGTGGGAAACGCTTGCCTGTCACTTTCAGCGTTAGCGTGTTGTTTCTGCAAGGGATCCTGGAGCAAAGAGGTGGATATGAGCTGGATGTGGTGGGCCATGCCTGTGATCCCAGCACTCTCGAAGGCTGAGGCAGGAGAATCACAGGTTTGAGCCCAGCCCAGGCAACTTAGTGAGACCCTGTCTTGAAATAAAACAAAAAACTATGGGGGCATAGTTTAGTGCAAAGGCCCTGGGTTCACTTTCGAGTGCTACACACACAAAAGAACACCAGCAAAAAGAAGCAGCTGGTGGGTGGCAAACAGGCAGGAGGCTTTTCAGAGACCTTTCCCAAGCTATAATTTGCATTTCCTGTTCATGTCTGAAATTCAAGTGGCTGAAAAGAATGCTCATCTAAGGCCTGGTGGGAGTCGGTGGGCAGGGGTGTCGTCCTGCATATGAACCTGCCCCTGAGACCACCCAGTGGGCTCCTGGGCAGGGTTGGGGAGGTCCGTCGCAGTGACATCACCACTATGGCATCTGATCTGCTGCCCAGCCCCGTGTTCACGGAGAGCCACCCTTGGTGCTGAGTGGGCTTCATCTTTCCTGCTTAGTTTGTCTGATTAAATGCCTCCCTCCTGGATACTCTTCTGCGCCCTTTCTGAGACCTGATTTTGAACGTGTGTGTGTGTGTGTGTGTGTGTGTGTGTGTGTGTGTGTGTGCACCTATGAGACAGTGCACATACAGTCTTGCTAAATTGCTCAGTTGCCCAGGATGGGCTCAAACTTGCAATCCTCCTGCCTCAGCTTCCCAGAGTGTTGGAATTACAGATATGCACCACAGAGTCTGTGCAAAGCCAACATTTTCCATGTTTAGTAATTGGGTGTCCCTCAGTGACTCAAGCATGTGGTTAAAAATATATCAATTCCCATAAAAAGGAACTGAGCATTGACACAAGCTACAATGTACTTGAACCTTGGAAATATGTGTCTGGGTGAGAGAAGCCAGACATAAATGGTCACATATTGTATGATTTCATTTCTATGAAATATACGAAACAGGCCAATCCAGAGAGACTGGGGCTGGGTAGTTGCTGGGGCAGAAGAGGGGGAGTGGGGAGTAACCGCTCTGTGGATACAGGATGTTCTTTTAGGGATGATGAAAGTGTTTGCGGCCAGATAGAGGTGAAGTTTGCTCGACAGTGTGAATATAGTAAATGGCACTGAATTGTTCAAAGTTAATTATGTAGGACAAATTTCACCGCAATTAAAAACATGCTAGTTGGGATGGGATTTAGCTCAGCGGCACAAGCACCTTCCTGGCAAGTGGAAGGTCCTGAGTTTGACTCTCCGTACAAACCAAAAACAAAAACAAAAACCCCAAACAACACATGCTAGTCACCATGCCTGGTGGCACATGTCTGTAAGAGGATCGCTGGGAGTTTGAGGCCAACTTGGGCCACATAGTGAGTTCAAAGCCAGCATGCATTACACTGGAAGACCCTGTCTCAAAAAAAATGCTAATTTGCATAACTTACTATGACAATTGGCAAAATGGGGCAGGGTAAATTGTGAGTTCAGTGTAAATCAGAATGGATATTTAAATGAAGTAGTAACCATCAAAAAAGGTAATAAGACTACAATGCCTGAAATCTTAGTACTCTAGAAGGCCGAGGCAAGAGGATCACAAGTTTGAGCCTGGCCTGGGAAACTTCACCTGACCCTGCCTCATAATAAAAAATAAAAGGGCTGAAGTTAGCATCTGAAGATGTAACTCAGAGTGAAGGCCCTGGATTCAATCCCAAATGATGCAGGGGAAAAATATAACTTGGTAGATGCCAAGACGTGCTGACTTTGTGTTCCCTGTAATTGAAGAATAAATTCCAAAGGACAAAGGAGGTTAAGGTAGGAAAAGTTTATTGGGGAATAGGACTAACTTCTGAGAGACAGGAGGGGTCCCAGAAATAAATTGTGACTGAGCCCCTGCATTAGGGGTAATTTACACAGCAAAGTCACAAAATGTGAATACCACACAGGTCAAATTGTAATCAACCTATAGGATTACGAGTATAGCCACTTAGCTAATATTGCTCCAATAAGACGGCGAGTCACGTAGCAAGGATACATGGAAAGAACACAGACATTTTGGAGAAGGGACAGACCTGGATGTTCTGCAGCTGATGTCTAACGGGCCTTTACTGGACCAGGTGATACTAATATAGTATAATTCAAGTAACTTGAGTTATGGACTCCTTATCCCTTAGGGAGCTATGCAGGCCTGGGCATCTCACTTTTATCATGAGGACTGACTTTCTTCAGATGCATCTCCAGCCACATTCTGATGTCTTTATTCTTCACCAACTTCCTTGGACCAGTCCTTCTCTGACTGTACATTAATTTCTACCTAACTCAGACGGCTATACTACAAGTACTGCAAAAGAACAACAAAGACCAGAACATATGATTAATATTTCAAAAGAAAGGGTAGGGTTTGAGAGCAGGATGTCAGTGTCACTAGTATGGTTCTGGAATAGAATGAGTGATACAGTACTTATGGAATCTGAAACGAGCTGAAGGCAGTTAATCCATCTAGGACTCTTGCTGAGCCACCTGCTATGTGGTTTAGCCAAGTTGTTTAGACCTCCCAGGCTGAGTCCTGTCCTCTTTAGAAGGAGGCAGACTGGTTCTTCCAGCTTTAGAGATCTGGGTGAAGAAATGATGGGCCCAGGGGAGAATATGGAATCTGCTGGAATATTCCAGAACATGCCAGGGGCTGGCTCTTTTGGCCTGTCAGGGACAAGCACTTGGATCAGCTAGGAAAGTCCTTGGGACGCAGGTTGGGCACCTCTGAGCCAGTCTCAAGGCAAGGCAGGAGCAGAGCCAGCCAAGCAGGTGACTCTCAGTTTTGCAGGAAGAAATGCCTGTGTCCTCTTCCCACTGTCTGGTGCCAAGTGCGGCCATCAGCATGCCTGGCTCAGATGAGGGGGAAGTGGCGCCCCCTGCAGGTGTATCCCCTGCCTGTGGGCCCTGCTGGGGGCTACCCCTGCCCTGCCGAGCAGGAGCTGAAGTAGGCCCAACTGTGTTCTCAGAGGTCAGACACGTGTGTCCTCTGCACAATCAGGACCGAGTTAGCATCTGGGGTGGGGTAATGTTCCTCACCGAGCTCGTTTATTGTTAGCTTGAGAGTCCACAGCAGGAGACACGGGTGGTGCCTGTCTGCCTGGGGAGCTGAGACCTCGATGAGGGGGCTGGAAGGCCTCAGACCAGCGGAGAAACAGGGAGAGGCCAAGGGAAGGGCGGGCGTCCAAAAATAGGAGAAGCCTTCCGACCCCACTGGGAACTTTGCTATCAACAGCCCAGGACAGAGGGCTTCAAGGTCAGAACACTGGGGTTTTTTTGTAATAGTTTTATGAGGACATAGTTCAGCCACCTGAAGTATACAGGGCAGTGTTTTCATTTAGCCTGTATAAACCAAGTTGTGCAACTATCACGAGTCAACTGTAGCATTTGCATCACCTTGAAAAAACATCAAAATGACACATTGTATGCCTTAGTTGTCACATACCACCCTCCATCCTACCCCTAGGCGCCTGTTGGACTTCCCGTCTCTACAGATTTGCTCATTCTGGACATTTCCTGCAATGGAATCACACACTTCCTCATGTTTCAGGCCTGGGTGTTTTCACTGAGCATAATGCTTTCAAAGTTCATCTGTGTGAGCCTGTGCTTGGTTCCTTTTGATGGCCTCACAGTACAGATAGACCTTCGTTCACTCACTCACTCACCTGTTGGAGGTTACCTCTTTAACAAGCTGTGGCTCCCCTCCAAAGAAAAGCAAAACCAAAAAAACAAAAACAGACAAAAAAAGAGAAACCCTTGTAGATCTACAATTACTCCTCATCGTATTGGCTGTTCAAAAATAAAATCATTGTTCTATTTGTATGTGAAGTGATGCTAAAGTTTTCTTCTATGTTTTATTTATTTAGCAGTACTGGGTTTTTTTGTTTGTTTGTTTTTTTATACCTGGAATCAGACTCAGGCCCTCGTGTTTGCCAGGCAGGCGCCGTGCCGCTGAGCTGTATCCCCAGCTCAAGTACCGTTCATTGAATGCAGGGCCTCGCCAGGCAAATGCTGTCCACTGTGCTACGGCAACAGCCCTTTATTATTATTTCAAGACAGGGTTTTACTATGTTGCACAGGTTGGGCTCCAAACCAGAGATCCTCCTGCCTCATTTTCAGGAGTGCACCATCACAACGGCTTCCTATGTTACTAAAGGTAGTCATGTGAAAAATCCAGGTGGGAACACTTGAAGATGAAAAGGGCTATTTCCAACTTTGCCAGACAATAGAATAGCAGTGTCCTCACCTGTGATGCCTCTTCTCTGGGCTGGGAGAGAGAAAGAGCTGCCTCATTCCAGCAGGTCCTGGATAGCACCACGGAGGACGCAGTTCCTGGGGAAAGGAAGGGAAAGGGCTTTCAGTAAAGCCCAGGTGTGGCGTTTTCAGGTGTGACACAGGCCTTCTGCGGGCTTCCAGGAGGCTTGGCTGCAGGCCCTGCGTGTAGTTGCACTTGGAGGGCTTTTTACCTGCGACCCTAGGCAGGGATCTCCTCTCGGAAAGGAGACGCCTTTGTCCTCTCATAGATCCAGCCACTGTGCTTGTTACTCCCAGCCTCCTCTGCACAGACAGCTGTCCACAGCCTTCCGCTCTGGGCCTCTTGAGAGCAGGCAACTAAGGGATACCTCAGCACAAAGCCGAGGACAGAAAAAGGAAAAGACTGAGCCATTGGCCCCTCGAGGGTGTGCACAGCGGGGAAGGTGGTGCGGACCCCGGCCTCCTCGTGTCCTGGTAGTGAGAGAGTTGGGTTTGGTGCCCCTCTGTGATGCAGTGCTTGGCCGTGAGACCTGAGCCTGGATGGTGACATAGTGTCAGCCAGGAATGAGAGGGAGGTGTGTGGGTGCAGGGAGGGTAATAACCAGTCATTACGGGTCACCCAGCTCTCCCACGGCAGAGTAGCCGTGAGGATGATGTTGGATGCCGGTCATGGGCAGTGCAGACCGTGTTCTGTTGTTTAATTCCAGGATGGTTATGTAAGGGAGTGTCCTTGTCCCTGTCCCCATTCACCAGATGAAGAAACCAAAACTCCGAGAGGTTGAGTTCAGGGTCCAGGAGAGCCCTTCCCGGGACTCCTTGACCATGATGCTGCCTGTTCGCTGCTGTAGAGTATTCCTCGGGATGGTCGTGCCCCATTTATTTCTCCACCCAACGTTGAGCTGTTACACACAAGGCTCATGTGACACTGCCACAGAGATCTTTGTGTGCTTTCTCTTCTTGGGATGGCTGGGCCGCTGGTAGGTGTATATTTAGCTTTTGAAGAAACCTGCTTGGCTATGTTCATTTGCATTTCTTTTATGCTTGAGTTGAGCCTTTTTTTTAGGAGAATGCAAATCTTTTGGGCTCTTTTCTGTGAACTTGGTGTTACTGAATAAACTGTCTCCCCGAGCGCAAGCAATGCTATTTTTGTTACGTGATAATTCCTGTTTGTGCTTGCTTTCTCCCTGACATCTTTTCCTCTTGAACACAGCCTGGAGCCAGAGAACACTTTGTCTCAGTTTCCAGCCCTTTTATGTTGCTAATGGGTGAGTCCAGAGAGGTCAACATTCTCCTGAGGTCACACAGCTAGTGAAGAAGGATGCAGAGATGAGTCATGAATCGTGCTCCCTGGCCCTTTCAGCCTTACTCATGATCAGCAGGGAGTGTTTGTCCCTTGTACATTTTACAAACATTTCAAAGATAAGACATGAGGCAACAGGGCTGGGTAAACAGAAAATTTTGGATGAAGGTCTTCTACTAGCACGAAGAGCTTGTGTCTCCCCCTACTGGCCAGGCCTTTTGTACCCTGGGGCTACGGTGTCCCGCACACCACTCTCCCCAGCTCTGCAAAGGAGGCTCCTCTGGATGCTTCCTGAAAAGTCTGCACCACAGACCTGGAATGGGGCCTGGGGTTCTTGATGTCACTGTGATGACCAGAAACCACCATGACGAGGATGGCAGGATTTGCTGAGGCGCCTGACTTTGAACGAGGGGAAGGATCCAGGCCTTGGATAGAGGCTGAGTCTCCTGGGGGGAGGCTGAGGAGGAGGAATAGTCATGAACAAAGCTGCTGCAGTTAAGAGAGCAGGGACAGGCTGGGGATTTAGCTCAGCGGCATAAGCATGAGGTTGTGAGTTTGATCCCCGGTACCAAAAAAAAAAAAAAAAAAAAAAAAAAAGTGCAGGGACTCTGGAGCCACAGCTGGTAAAACCTCCCAGCTGTGCCATATTGGGCAAGTCACTCTCTCTGTGACTCAACTTTTTTGCCTGTGCGAGGGGAGAAGGCTTTTTCCACCTTTAGAACTGTTGCTGGGGGAGCAGAATGCGTTAAGCTCCCACCTGCCCAGAGGCCGTTTCTGAAGAGCAAGGGTTAGTACTGTCATTGTGCTGTCCTCCTGGAGGGCACAAGCAAATCTCTCCTTCACAAACTGCTTCCACAGAGTGCAGCCACAGTAATCATTCTGTTCTCTGAACCAGGATTCTCTTTGTTGTGCTGACCCTCCCCTCCCCTCTCCTCTTTCCAGTGGATGGAATCCAGGGCTTTCATGATGAGCTGCAACCCACTTTGAGACAGCGTGTCACAAAGTGGCCCAGGCTGGCCTCCAACTCGTCATTGAAAGAGTTTTGGCCCAGACAGGACACTGTAGCAGGTAAAGCCTCAGGCAGAACCAAGGAGCTCCATCTCCCCCACCTGTAGCAATTTACCTCTGGTGCCAAAAGAATACCAATGGGCTACCCATGCATCACTAATGCCCCTTAGGTTCCACCCCAAACCTAGGCTACTTATATGCCTCCACTCCACTGTTCCACAGAGAGATCACCGACCCCGGGGGTGATGCCACACCCCAGGGGATCGGGGGTGTCTCTCTCCGCATTCTCAAAATAAAGGTCATTTATATTTCATACGTCTTATCTTTTCAGCCTCCACCGGTTCCCCACAGTTCTGTTATATGGTTCCCTGACCGGGAACGGCAGATGAGAGACTCCTGGGGCTCTCCCAATTTGAGTCTCCTGCCGTTCAGGACCAGGACTGGACTGCATCCTGCATTAATTCCTCACTTCTACACTCTGGAGCTGTAAACTTGTCACTGCTTCCTCGCAAACAACACCAACCCAGTTTACCACAGGTGAGCAACCCCTGGAGATTGCCACTGGGCCAGGCCCCAGAGTTTTCTCCCCCTTTCTGTGGGTTCCCGTAACGCTCTCACGTCCTTAGATAGCCCAGGGCAGAGTTTTCCTGGGCCAGCCTGTGTCCACACTGAAAGACTCTCACGTCCTTCAGAGCTTTTTAAGTTCTCACGGGCAGAGCTGTTACTAAACCCACGTGAAATCCACTTGTATATACTTGTGACGGCCAATTATTACGAGCTTTGGAACCATATAATACTGATCGGTCTAAATAAGTAAAAAGTGGCGACTTAAACTTAGTAGACCACGGCCCGTTGCCTCATCTGGCTGTAACTCGGTGGGCCAGACCCCACACCAGATTTTATCTTGGGGACCACTTCCTGTCCCCCCCCAAAAAACCATACCTATTTGTAGTTTATCACACTGATGACAAGTTTACAAAACTCTCTAACTTTAAGCCTTTGTTTTGAGACTGTGTCTCCTTTCCTGCCAGTGCCCCTGTTTCCTCGCCGCTCTCCCTCCACTCGCTGTGTGCCAACCCATTCCCCGTTAAGATGAAAAAAATGAGCTCAAACAGTGTTGAGAGATATGTGCAGGCTACTTTGAGCTCTCATGCGTGCTCCAGCCCGGACAGTGTTGGGAGATACTGTTGCTTTAACCTTTCATGCTGTGGCCCAACTCCGTGTGGTATCTCGGCTCTCATGCGGCACTCCAGGTCCGCGTGGGTGTCGGCTCTAACGCCACACCCTAATCTACGCATCCTATGAGTGGTTCCTCTACGTGGCGGCTAGGCTCTGCGGCGGGGCTCTGCGAGCAGCCCCAGGGGTCCCGGTGTGTAAGATCCTGCCCACCCCATGCACTACGTCCCAGCACTTGCCCCGCCTTCACTCTGTGTGCCCCGCCCCCATGCTGGGTGTGCCCCGCCCACATGCTGGACCACAAACACAGATAAACAGCAGCTCGGCAGCTTGGCTCAGAGATGCTATTTTTTTTACAGTCTCAAGCCATTAAATCAAGGTTAAATAAGCTGGCAATAGACAAGACTTTGGCTGAAAAATGGGAAAATGGCCACCTGGTAATTTTACCAGCCTTGTTTATCAATTAAAGCCTTCAGTAATCTCCTGTTTAACAACTAAAATTAAGAGGTATTTATGAATTCCTTTTGCTATAAACCACCAGTGGTGTTCTGTGTTAAGCTTACTGCTTATATTATACTGTATTGTCACCGATCTCCTGTTTAACAACTAAAATTAAGAGGTATTTATGAATTCCTTTCTCCACCGAGCCATAATTAACTATATTCAACTGATATTAAATAACACCATAGCTGATTTCTCTCCTAAATAAAAAGGTAAAAAATTAAACAGGCCATCCTCCAAAAATCAGATGGCATTAGACATTTTAATAACATAAAGAGATACTTATATAAATGACATAAATAACGTGTCAGTTCCTAAATTTCTCTGGACCTGTCCTCCTTATGGGAAGTCATTACTAAAATTATAAATGCCCTTTTGATTATATTTGACTCCTGTATACTTACTTAATTCTACAGATATAGTCCAGATCCCAAACAAAAAGGCAAAACTTGACCTTCATACCTCATAGAGACCTTAATATGGTTTTTCATGTTTTCAGCAATAGAGATAACAACAACACTTGTGACACTTGGAGTTCTGAGACAAGTAAACCGACACAAGATGGAGCCGCCTGGGCCCCCCACGGACCATGCCTCAAATGTAGCAGAAGACATTGGGCAAGAGAGTGCCCCATCCTGGCATTCTTTGAGACCTTACCCCAGGGCTACTGGACTGTCCTAGCCACCAGAGAGTGGGCAACCTCAACAATGATCAAAGTTGCTAGACTGCCATTCTGGTTTCGCATCACTCAGGCTAAGTGATACCCTTCCAGCCCTAGATCTAACCATCCTGTTGCCTACTCATCTCTGCCTTACCAAGGCCCCAAAGCCACGACTCTCAGGCTGTCGTGTTTTGTTATCCAATTTGATTTCTAATTTCTTATCCTTTTTTTTTTTTTTTGTCTTTTTCGTTTTTTTATCGGTACCAGGGATCGAACTCACGACTGCCTGTTTGCAAGGCAGGCGCTTATGCAGCTGAGCTAAATCCCCAGCCCCTCTTATCCTTTTTTACAACAGGACTCTCAACAATATTTCTTAAAGACTCCAATGTCATGCATACCAGAGACAAGCCTTCCCTACCTACCATCTTAACCTTTACCCTTTTAGATGGGGAGTAATCACCTCTCATAACTTCACTCCTCCTAACCCCACATTTATTTTTCAGAATTCTGCCTTATCATAGAAATGTTTCTACCTCAACATGGTCCTGATAAAATGACATATCTAAATCAAAGGCACCTTTCCTTTTACCTCTCCTGGGTCCTTAAATATGACAGTACCATGCCTCCTCATAACATCTTGTCTCTTTGTTTTTCCAGTCTAACATACGTGCATTCATGTGAAGTTGTCTTGGCCAAAACACCTGGCACCAGCTTCTACCTGGGCATCAACCATCATCCTGTCTACTCCCCTAGATCCCAGTACAGCGCCCCTTTACAGCAGGAAACAGTAAAGAGAGAAATCTTTGCCCCTTTTCATAATAATAATCATAAGATGGAATACGAAAGAGTTTTGGCCCAGACAAGACATTGTAGCAGGTAAAGCCTCAGGCAGAACCAAGGAGCTCCATCTTTCCCTCCCCTAGGAATTTACCTATGGCGCCAAATACCAATGGGCTACCCGTGCATCACTAATGCCCCTCAGGCTCCACCCCCAACCTAGGCTATATATGCCTCCACTCTACATGTTCCACGGAGAAATCGCCAACCCCGGGGGAAGATGCTGCGCCCCAGGGGATTGGGGGTGTCTCTCCTTGCATTCTCAAAATAAAGGTCATTTATATTTCATACTTCTTATCTTTTCAGCTGCCGCTGGTCCCCCACAGTTCTATCAATCATCCTCCTGCTTCAGCGTCCCATAGTAATGGGAATGTAGGTGTGCGCTGTTAGCCAGCTTGAATCTTTTGCATTTCATTCTTCTTGGGGGTTTTTGCCTTCTGTGTTGGCCCTGGCATGCATATAACACTCACCCCACAGCACATGCAAGGCTCCCAGGCAACTGAAGAGCTCTTGGCACCTTGGAGCTCTGATGATGAAGATGTTAGAGCTAGGGAGAGGGGAGATGGCAGGGGAGAGGGGAGATGGTTCGTATTTTGGTTTCAAAATACGAACAGAAATAGCCCAGGATGAAAAGCATAAAGGATTATGTTTCCATGAACATGATATCCCAGCAAGGTGTCTAAATCTATTAAAAGGCCATATAATGTTCAGCAGATGAACAGACACATAAAATGTGGTCTGTTTACTCAGAGGACTATTATTCAACCACAAAAAGGAATACAGGGGTGCTCTACATCCCCAGCTCTGTTTTTTATTCTGAGACAGTCTCAATAATGGCACTGGCTGTGTGCTCAGGAGCCTCCTGCCTCAGCCTGCCAAATAGCCAGGATTACAGGCATGTGCCACTATACCCAGCAAATTGTACATTTTAAATGTGAGAACCATACGATCTGTTATATTTTAATCAAGTGGTTTATAAAGGCATATTTATAACCTGGCATTGTGGGGCATACCTGTAATTCCAGTTATTTGGGAGGCTGAAGCAGCAGGATCTCTAGTTCAAGCCCAGCCTGAGCAACTTAGTGAGACCCTGTCTCAAGAAATTAAAAGGACTGGGATGTGACTCAGCAGCAGTGGCCTCTTAGGTTCCATCCTCAGTACGACAGTTGTGGGAAGGAGGTGCTCCTGATGAGGGACGGTAAGGGATGAGGCCCAGCATAGGACGGTGACGCCTGGCCCTCAGGGTGGAAATTGAAAGGAGCTGGGAGTGTGAGTTAGGGTAGAGAGCAGGCCCTTTCCTCCAAGGCTGTCCTTGTTCCCTCTGGAGACCTTGGACCCAAGGCTGTGCAGACCCCTCCTGCCATCCCCAAAGACCTCGCTGGTGTGCCCCAGCATTGTCCTGCCTCCCCCCAGCAGTGGGAAGGGCAAGTCAACATTGCACAGAGAACTAGCTTGTGGTGACAGCAGCACAGCAGCAGACATGCCTGGGCGGATACAATGGAGCAGGGTGTGGTGGTGCAAGAGAGACTGAAGCAAGAGAATCTCAAGCTTGAGTCGCAGCTGGGCCACTTAGCAAGACCCTGTCTCTAAAGAAGCCAGGGGAGGGCCTCAGGTTTAGCTCAGTGACATTAGTGACTGCCCGGTAAGCACAAGGTCATGAGTTTGATTCCTGGTACAGAAAAAAAAAAAAAAAAAAAAAAGGCAGGGGATGTACCGTTGTTCAGTGTGAAAGTCCTTAGTTTAATTCCCTGGGTTGCAAAACAAATACATGAAAATAAAAAAATAAAATGGAGCCAGGAGTGGTGATGCACACCTATAATTCCAGCACTTGGGAGGCCGAGGCAGGAGGATCACTACAAGTTTGAAGCCATTCTGGGCTATAATAGTGAGAACCTGACTCAGGAAAAAAAAAAAGTTGGTCGATTTTATGTCTACATTTGATTTCAAAAATAAAAAACAAGTGAAAGCACACTGCCCTGTCTCTGCCTGAGATGGCCTTCCAAGGCAAGAGGATGCAAAAAAGAGACCCTCCCACTCCAGTTGGCAGAAGCCCCTCCCTCTCCCCCAAGAGGTGGGGTGCTAACAACTTCACTGTGGGCTTCTGATTGGCTGGGTTCTATCAGGCAGCCCCTCCTTCCCTAGGCTGGACAGGGAGAGTGGATCTCAATTGAACCCTCCTCTCAGAGGAGGAAAGACGTCCTTCTGGGGATGCTGGGAGTCACCCCGGAGAGTGAGGCTGGTGGTTTGGGGCTCCTGTGGACCAGCTGGGCAGGGATGTCGGCACCCATGGGACTCCTGGGGCCTGTCCTGCTCTGGGCACTGGCAGGAGCGACCTCGGGGAGTAAGTAAATCTGCTTGCATTCCCTCTGCCTCTGTCCCCTCTCCGTTATTGCTCTTTTCCCAGGTGTGTGCAGGAGTGGGGGAGCACTCACAGGTGAATCTCCATCTCCTCTCGACCTCCGGCATCCTCTGGAAATGAGGCCAGGGGGGCTGGGAGTTGCAGAGACCAGGTCTGAAACCTTTAGGGAGGAAGCACTGAGGTCTGAGCATGCCGTGCCCCTCGGGGAGTTTGTCTCCGGCATTAGGAGAGGCTGTTTCTGAAGTGTTGAGCAGCCCTCTGCCATGGGACCATGTGTGAGGCGGCCCTGCACTGTGCTCCAGGGTCTAGCTAGACAATAAAAATATAATGTGAAAAGTTGGGTGTGGTGGTGCATATGTGCCTGTAAACCTAGTACTCTGGGAGGCTGAGGCAGGAGGATTACAAACTCAAGCTCTGCCTGGTGAGGGCTTGGTGACTTGGTGAGACCTATTTTATGAAACAAAGGGCTGGGATGCAGCTCATTGCAAAGGCTCTGGGTTCGATCCCCAGTACTGCCAAAGAAGACAATAAATATATAGAGTAAGCCAAAGTGATGTTTGCTTTCCTGGTTGGCACATTAAAAAAAAAAAAGATGCAGGTGAAAATAATTTTAATAACATTTTCTCTTAACCCTATATATCCAAAATAACTTCAGAAAATATAATCACATAAAAAGTATTTCCTTTGAAATCCAGTGGATATTTTGTGCATAGATTTTGATTTGGATGCAAATTTATTCTTGCAAATATTTGATCTGTCTGTGGTTTCCTCAGAGTCAAGATGAATACAAAGTTGTTTCAGAGATGCTTGATAGCTTTGCAATAATAATAATAATGGGATCAAATGTCAGCTTTTTTTTTTTTTAATATCGGGAATTGAACTCAAGACCTCGCGCTTGCCAGGCGAGTGCTTATGTGGCTGAGCCAAATGCCCGGCCAAACATCAGCTTTTTGTGTCAGTTAATTAAAATTAAATAACATGAAAAGTTTTTCTAAAATGTCAGAAACATCTCGGATGCCCAGTAGCTGCCCTGGCTGGTGGCCACCAGTGGGACAGAGCCAGCCGCAGACACTTTCATTCCCTGAATCTCAGCGCCTAGCACACCCTGGCCGCTCTGCAGGGACTGGGTCAGTCACTTTGGTTGATGAGTGAGTGGCTTGGTGATCAGAAGTGACATCTATTGAAACAGAAATGAGGCTCAATTTCATTTTCTGGTTGTGGAGATGACATTGATTTCGGTCCGTTTTCTGTTTCTGATCTCTCCTTAGAAGTGAACTAGATCTGACGAAGATTTATTACCTTCCAGCAAGCCGCGTGTTCTCCACTTTGGTTAATCTGTGATGGATCTGTCATCTAACGAACTTTGTTCTTCTAAAACATCTTACAAAATTAAAATGTGTCTGTCTGCCCTTCCCTGCTGTGATCCTGGGAATTGGATTTAGGGAGCACTGAGCTACGTCCCTGTCCCCTTTTTAATTTGAGATAAGATCTTGCTAAGTGGCCCAGGCTGGCATCAAACTTTTTCCTGCTTCAGCCTTCTGAGAAGCTGGGATTACAGCTTCTCAGAAGCTGCACCCAGCTAAAGTGTGCTTTCTCAGTGCTTAAGAAATGGCGGAGGCAAGGACCTGGCTCAGGCAGATGCGCCTGCCGTGCAGAGGAAGAAGTGGATCTACATGTAGGCTTGCATGCTCTGCAGCCTCGCTGGTGCACATGGCGAGGGTAAAGACTGAGCAAAGCAAGCCAGCAAAATGCTGCGTTTGTGCACAGCTGAAGCTTTTAGTGACTGTGCATAAATTGGAGGGATTTGGTGCCCCAGGTCCAAGTTATAAAGAGTAGAAAGGAAATGGATTGGGTTAAATGTCTTTGAAATGTGGTTTTAGCCATTGACATTCCGCTTTAATGCAAAGAGGGTTTTGTTAGAGGAGCCAAAATATTCAGGACACAACACTCCCGCCAGATATCCCAGCACAGGCAGTTGTTCCCAAGGGTCTAAGAGGCAGTGCCCCTCCAGTGGGGAAGCAGTTTGTTTTTCTAGGGATTAAGCAGGCTGGCTGGGCAGTGATCACCAGCTGAGGCGCAGTGACTTTGGGGGGGGGGCAGAGCTACTGAAAAGCCCTGGCATGACAGGGGAGGCTGGCAAGGGGCACACAGATGGCTCTGGAAGGATCTGGGTGAGTGGCTGGAGGGAAGGACAGAGGCAGGGAAGTGGGGCCCAGTCTGGGATGGGAGAGAGTCGAGGGCCTGGGGACCTCTGGGCAGTGTCCTTAGCAGCCTAGGTAGAGGCCCAGCAGCCACCCAGCCCCCTCTGGTCATATTCTGTGCCTCCGCTACAGCTCAGCTGGCAGGAGAAGCCTTTCTTGGAGAGAGCACTATTTGGCACCGTGGCCCCTTGTTGCACCTGTGCACCCCTCCACTCTGCCCCAAGAAAGTGTCAGTGTGTGGCTGTGGGTTTGGCCGGCACTGGGCCCCTGGGAAGTCACTCAAGGTCTCAGTTTCTTATCTGTAAATTAGGAGTCAGAGCACGTGGTGGTGGTGGTGGGGTGTAGAGGAGATGAACTGAACATGTAACTTTCTTGGAATAGCGTTGGGCACATAGTAAGTATCGAATAAGCGTTAGATTCTTTCCAGTCTCTTTTCCAGAATGAGTCAACTGAAATGATTAAATGATTGACAGGTTTTATAAGGATTATGACTTGAATAAGGTGGGAAGATGGAGAGGGAGAAGGTGGTAAGGCCTAAAGCAGCTGGGCTGTGGTGGGGGAGAGGGTTGAGTGTTCAGGCAGGAAGGAGCCACAGGCACCAGGCCTTGTGCCCAGGGGGACCAGGAGGGACCCCAGTGAGACTGCAGGCCGAGAGCCAGTGGGTGTCGCCAAAGAGGTAGGTAGAGGCAGGTTTCAAGAGTTCGAGACAGTGGATGTGTGCATGTATGTGTAAGACAGACAGGAATTGTCACACTGATCACTTTTGTGGGACTGGGAATTGAACTCAGGATCTTGCACTTGCCAGACAGGCACTGTGCAGCTGAGCTATTCCCCTGGTCCCTTATACTAGAGTATTATGATCTGAAGTTTTAAAAATGTAATTTTTAAGGCTGGATGTGGTGGTGCACACCTATAATCCCAGCACTCCAGAGGATGAGGCAGAAGGATCATTATGAGCTCAAGACCAGCCTGGGCTACAAAATAAGCTCAAGACCATCCTGACCTGTGTAGTGAGACCCTGTCTCAAGAAAAAACAACAACAACAACAAAAACCAAAAAACAAAACACACACACACACACAAATTAAGGTCTGTAGTGGTTATGCCTATAATCTCAGCACTCTGGAGGCTGAGACAGGAGGATCCCTGTGAGTTCAAGGCCAGCCTGGGTTACATAGTGCATTCAAGGCTAGTCTATACTACGTAACAAGACCCTGTCTCTAAATAAATAAATATAAAAGTAAGAATTTTAATTTGTTTTGCAGTATTGGGAATTGAACTCAGGGCCTTTGCCATGAGCTGTATCACTGGCCCCTTTTTATTTTTTGAGACAGAATCTTGTAAGTTGCCAAGGCTGGTCGCGAGCTTGTGATCCTTCTGTCTCTGCAGAGTGCCTGGATTACAGGTGTGTGCCACCATGTTTGTCTTGATCTATGTTTTAAAAAAGATGACTCAGGCTCAGGGTGTAACTCCATGCCAGGAGCTTGTCTAGCATGCATGAGGCCCTGGGTTTGATCTGCACCACTGGGAAAGAGGTGGGGTGGGTGCTGCAGGGTGGCAGTTGGGTTACAGACACAGAGGAGTCAGGAGGCTACTGCAGTTGTCCAGGCAAGAGAAGCTGTGGCTCTGCCTAGGTGGAGTGCAGTGGAGACAGACACGTGTGGGAAGACAGACTGATGAACGGGGAAGGATGGACGCAAGGGACAGGTAGACCTTGCTGACTTCTGGGACGTGGGTTGCAAGAGGGAAGCTGTGGATACACAGATGATCTCCAAGTCAACCCGAGGGACAGTGGTGCCAGTGCCCAAGATAGGGAAGAGCAGGCAGGACCCCTGGAGTCCTGCACGTCCTCTTCCCAGCAGGCCAGTGCCCGCTGCCTCGCTGTCCCAGGCCTCTCTCTACAGCCCAGCACTGATTCTACCTGGTTTGCACTTTCAGAACTTCCCGAGTCACCAGCAGAACAGGAGGCCTGCATGACCGCATGTGCTGGTGAGTAAGCCACTCAGGACAACCAGTGGCCCCTCTGGTGACAGGAACCTGGGCCGGGATGGGCCAAGTGGGGTGGCTTGGCAGATGGAGAAGCCATGAGGAGGGAGAGCCCCACAGGGTGCTGTCCTTGTCCCGGAAAGATCAGCTGCAGGTGGGGTGGGGAGGGCCAGGGTGCACGGCCACAGCAGGGCCACCAGGCCCAAGCCTGGCCCCTCATGGTCCTCGTGGATTGAATGAATGTCTTTGGCCAAGGTGGACCTGTTTGTGTCTCAGGGCAGAGAAGGTGGAACCCTGGGAACAGATAGTTTGGGAAGAGAGAGGCATCTTGGGAACATGAGGTGTGCTTGCTCTCTATGAAACTGACCTGAAATGGTAATTCAATCACAAGGTTAGAGGTATGGTTACAGACCTCCCTGGTCATCCCTAACCAGAGTATCTACTGTCCCAGCCGAGGCGGGCCAGCCTTACAGCTTTGCCATCTAAGACCAGTGAGACAGCCCCACCCCACCCCACCCCACCCCATGCCCTTCAAGTAAGTAGGTGAGGAGCAGATCGCCAAGGTTTGTCTGCTAGTGTGTGTGTGATCTTGGGTAGGTTAGTTAACCTCTCTGAGCTTCAGTTTCTCTTCTGTAGGTTGGAGAAAATAAAGAATACTCATGAAGTATAAATGAATTAATATAAATGTACATAGATGATTCTTAACCTGAGTGTTGTAAACCCCCACCGCCTGCCAAGAGACATTTGGTGCTATGCAGGGACATTTTTGATTGTCAAACCAGGGCAATGGGGTTGTGTTACTGGCCTCTTGTGGGCAGAGGCCAGGTTGCTGCTAACCCTCCTTAAAATAACAAAACAGCCCTTGCCACAGAATCCTCCCGCCCCAGATATCAGTAGCACCCAGCCTGAGGGAGCTTGGGTACCAAGCACTCCACAGAGTACCTAGCCGGGATAGCCCTGACTCAGCACTTATCTTTTGGATTTTGTCTTTATCCTCAGTGTGACCTGAGCCACCAGCCTCCCTGAGCAGGAAGATGACGAGAGGGAGGGGAGAACAAGGATGCCTTAAGTAGTTCAGGTGTCACCCAGAGAGAGAGAGTCCAGGTGACATTGTTCCCTCTGTCTGCCCTCAGGGTCTGCTGGGCCCCAGCTCCCTGTGGGCACCAGATACATCTACAACTTCTGCACCAACTCCAGCACCGGCCTGCAGGGGGCGCTGCAGGAGGGGAGTGGCCTTGGCCTCCAAGGCTTGGCCATCCTTGACGTGCTTGGCCCATGCCAGGTGGTCTTACGGGTGAGTGCCTTTGGGTGACTGGAGATCACACGGATACAGGGGAAGGTCCGCGGTAGCCATGGCCCCTGAATTTCCAGTTTGTGTAATAAGCAGATGTGGATCTTCTGAGGGCTCTCAATTTGGCAAGTGAGGATTCCACAAAGGAGCATGGATAAGGGGCACCATTTTGGTTATACAAGGTGTCTCTGTGGGCCCACGGGGCTTTACGAAGGGGTGCTGGGGGTGTTTCTCAGGGCAAGAAGAACCTCAGGATGGGGGCAAATTGTGTCCTGAGGAAGATGAGGGCCAAATCTACAAGTCCAAAGTCAAACCAAGTCCAAGACAAAGGAACAAACCAGTGTGGAAACACAAGACCGGGGAGGCCTCCAGGCCTGTCCGGGCCTCCTTTCTGCTGGGTGTGGGCTTTGCTGTGCCTGGGAACACAGGTCTGGGTTGAAGGTGTAGTGGTGTTGGTCCTGGAAGAATCGTGGGTTAGACTCACTGAGTGGTTGCAGGTTTCTTGCATTGAATTTCCCCAAGTTTCCCTCTGTTCTTATAGATGGAAGTGCTTCCCCATTTCCCTCTGTCCCCTCCTGGTGACTGTCATATATCTTGGGTGAACCTTCCCATGGCACATAAATGGCCTTTTCATTTCTCCTGAAGTCTCTCCTTGTACTTGTGAAGCATTTTTAAGCTGGCTGGAGCACTTGCAGATAAGAGTTTCTCAAAGCTGTTTTGCTGTGTTTTCATATGGACCATAGAAGGAGGATGTTTCATGGAGTGCCTGAGTCACATCCGAGTACTTAGACTGCCCAAAGTGGCTGTGTCCTGGTCAAGGCTGCCACTTCAATTAGAGCCTGCGCTGGCTTTTGCCTTCCTTCTAAACATTACCAGATGTTTCTACGAGGCCTATTTTCACAAAGCAAATTGTGTACCATCGCAGTTTTATTCATTTGCTTTGTTTTTAGCATTTAAAAACATTGATGTCAAATGATGCCAAGATTATAAAGAACTAGCTTTTCAAAGGATTTCTGGTAAAAAGGGAAATTTCACAGCCATGTGGGAGGCCAATCAAATAAATGTATTTTATTGTAATCAGTATAAAAATCATAAATGCTCAGAACAGTGAGTTTCCCCACACTGAGTACACCTGTCTAACCCCCACCAGCGCAGGAAGCAGAACATAACCCTAGGACCTCTCTCACTGCTCCTCCTGGCCACTTCCCCCACGGGCACCACCCTCCTGATCTCTGTCAGCAGCGATCTGCTTTGTCTGTCTTTGAACTTCTCTTTAATGGGGTTAGACAGGCTGTGATCTTTTGTGTTTGTTTCCTTTTCATTTATTTTTGTGGTAAAATATACATCGCATAAAATTTATCATTTTCAGTGTATAGTACACTCTTAAACAATATCATGTTGTCATCACCAGCCTCAGTGTACAGTACTCGTTCATCCCCTTAAACAGCAGCACTGTATACTGTGTGTGTGTGTGTGTGCGTGCGCGCACGTGCACACGTGTGTTTAGTGCTGGGAATTGAAACCAGAACTTTTGCACTGAGCTACACCCCCAGTGATCCCACCCTCACCCCAGCTTTTGCTAAGTTTCCCAAACTGGGCTTGAGCTTGCAATCCTCCTGCCTCAGCCTCCCAGAGTTCTAGGATTATAGGCATCTATCACCATGCCCAGCTTCTCTACACACTAAGAACTAACTTCCCACTGGCTCCCTGCAGCCTTTGGTGATCTCTGCTTTCTGATTCTACAAATTTCCTTTTAAAGGAGTTGAGACAATATTTGCCCTTCTGTGTCAGCTTCTTTCACTGAGCATAATGTTTTCAAAGTTAACTCACCATGTATTGTATATCAGAATTTTCTAAAAATTTGTTTTTCTAATTGTTCTAAAAACACAATACAAAATTTACCCTCTTACCCATTTGTAAGTGTACAGCGTATGGTGGTTTATGCTTTTGTTCCCTATTTAACTTTTTGAGATAGAGTTGCAGGGAAGGGTTTTAAGTAAGAAGTCAGACGGTGAGAGGTACCGGTGATATAGCCGAGTGTTTACTGTCTGAGAGAATACCTTCATGCCACATGGATTTCATTCCAGATTTTTCAGCTTGGGTGTCTGGGATGACGGGGGTGTTGGGAATACAGACAGCAAGTGGCCGTACCCCGTTCCTAAAAAGGGGCTCTTAAAAATAGTAAGTTGCAGAAGGTGAAACCAGTTGTGTTAGGAAGGCAGGTTTTGGGGTGACCCAGGGCCATCTCCAGCTCCTAGTCATTCTGGGCAGCTCTCGTGTTTGCTTTATTTGTGGTGTGCAGTCACCAAACTCGCGGGATTTGAGGGGCAGGATGAGAACTTTTCAAGCTCTCCATGGGGAGCAGTAGGGGTTTGGCTGTTTTTGTGCTGCTGGGGAGCCTTGGCACTCAGCACCCAGCAGCTGGGTCCAGTGCTGCTCTGTGGATGAGGGTGCTGGTGAGGTCCTGTGGTGCCCCAGGAGAGGCCACCACTCTCGGTGCTCTGTGCTTCAGCTGCAAGACTTCCAGGTGACATCAATGCTGGAGTCCCAGGTGGAGGTTCAGAAAGAGTCGCAGAGGTTGAGGTAAGATGCTGCTCTGTGAATCACATCCCTCTTCTGTGTGGGCTGTGGGCATCCAAAATGGAAGGGTGACCCCCTGCAGAAGAGAGACACACCTTGGAATCATTCGAGGGGGTTTCAGCTTTGTGCTCTAACTTTGGCAAGCACAGAGCAGCTATAGGGACAGCCGGAAGCTGTCATGACCTGGGAGCCCTTTGACTCCTGTGACTCCAAGCACAGTTGCCTGGTGGGAGGTGTGCACCCCATATTCCCCAGCATGTCCAGGTTTCATGCCTTTGGACCCTCACCTTGGACACCTCTCCCTGGTAGGCATTCTGGGAGGCTCTGGCTTTCTCCCTCCCCCAGTCTGCCAGGGTGCAGCGACCCCTGTACTAGGCTCCAAAGCAAGCCCCCCTCTTTATGACCCAGCCAATTGTCCGTCTGCCTTGTTTCCCAGGACTTCCTGACAGTGGCCTCGGTTGGTCTCAATGCTCAGAGCAGCCACCAGCCCGAACACAACAGTGTCTGCAGATTCCTCTTCCTTTTTTATTGCAAATTCATTTGTTCAAAAATAAAGCCTTTGTTCAGGGATACTAGGATGGAGGTTGCTGGCCAGGGGCAGATGGATCCCCCTGAAAGGCTCAGGGAGGATGCCCTGTGTGGGACTATTGTCCCCCAGCCCCTCATCAGAAATGCTAAGTCTGGGAGGCTGGGGCTTGTCAGTTTCTTGAGCCTAGACTGACACATGCTATTCTGGGAGAGGAGACTCGATTAGCATTTTCCAGACCACTTTTGAGCCCAGGGCGCCAGCGGTAGGAAGGCCCCAGGCTCCATCTGGAGCTGAGTGCACAGGGACCACCCAGAGAGGCAGAAGTCGGGACTCTTCAGATCCAAAGGTCTGTCTTGTGGCTGGTGATCTTGGAACGTCTCGGTTGGCCTCCTCCCACAGGCTGCAGGCTTCACCTGCCCAGCCTCAGATGCTGAACAGAGGATCTTCCTGCTGGGTGGTGGGTGGGTGCGAAGGCTCAGTCTGAGTTCTGGTCCCAGCTCCTCTCCTGATTGCTGTGTGATCCCCATGAGTTGCTCCCGGTCTCTGGATTTGACCCTTTGCTGCCTGTCCGAGCAGTGATGGAATCTCGGGTCGCTTCTAGCCCAAGGGTTCTTAATCCTCTGAAGCTAGAGCTGGCCCCACCTGTGACCTTGGCAAGTCACCACGCTGGTCATGGTGGCCTTGGAGGGGAATACTCAGTCCCCCACAGTGGGCTCTGGAGCAGAGAGAGACATGCCTTCAACCCTGTGGATGCCACATGAAACAAGGTGCCCATGGGCACACGTGAGGAGCCAGGTGTCCCTGGCACCTTCCCACGGAGAGCAGTGAGTGCCCTTGGGACAGCACTGGGTGCTTAGATGCCACCAACCCTTCTAGTGCTACCCTGGGCCGCCACCCACTCCGCTTCGTCCTGCACATGGGGCGGGTGGTCCGCCTATGTCCCTGCCTCACTGAGCCGCGCTGGGTGTTGAATGTGAAGCGTGCCGTGCTGAGCCTGGTACAGAGCCGCATGGGAATCCGTAGCCGGGAGACCCTTGAGGAGGTGAGATCAGTGTTGGCCCAGGAGGGAAAGGGGTGCAGGGGGGCTGGGGGCTCATCACCTGCCTGCCCACCCAGGTGGACGTGCTGGGCCGGTGTCCCACCACATACCAGCGCCAAGGGGACCAGCTGCTCAAGACCAAGGACCTGGCACAGTGCTCCCTGCGTTGGGCACACTCCCCTCTGCACTCCCAGCCCCTGCCCGGGGTGGTAAGTGTGGCCCCCACCCCTGTCCTCCCTTGCTGCCTCAGCTACTCACAGCACCCCGAGAGAAAGTGTCTTGTAAGCTGTGTGTGAATAAGGACATGAGATGACACTTGTTTCCCTGTTAGTGTTTGCCTGCCTGCCTTCTCCTCCCCTCGTCTTCCCTCCCCTCTCCTGTCCTCTTCCTTGAGATTAAACCCAAGGTCTTTGCATTGAGCTACATACGCAGCCCTTTTATTTTCAGACAGAGTCTTGCTAAATTGCCCAAGCTAAGCTCAAACTTGTGATCCTCCTGCCTCAGCCTCCCAGTGCTGGGCTTGCTTGAGTCTCCACGTCCTTCTTGCCCTGTTTACCTTTGCGTGTTATTTCACCAGTCAGGTGAGGGTTGGGGCTTTAGGCTCTGTTGTGGCTCCCAACCTCTCCCCTCGGACTCTAGCTGCTGCAGGTATCGTGGTCCCAGCTGTGTTCACATGCAGCTGAGTCCTGGCCTGAGCCATGCTGTCCCTGTCCCTGTCCCTGTAGCAGCCTGCCCTGGCCTCCCACCTCACCTGCCTGCAGAGCCTGGAGGCTGGCGTGCTGAGGGCGGCCTCCTGTGAGGAGCTGCACACTGTGGGACCCCTCTCTGAGAAGGCAAGCACCGTACAGATGCAGGTTATCTCCTCGCTCACGCTACTGCATATGGAGCCCCAGGATCCAGCTGTCACAGGTGACTCGAGCCTTCCCTGGTGGCCACCAACTAGCACAGGTTGAATGAGAATGTGGGAACACCTGGAGGAGCCTCCTGTGGCCAGAAGGGTTCAAGTCTGGCCACCTCCAAACCATCTCTGGAAATGGTTATTGTCAGGAGAGTTTTCTAGAAGTTTTTCCTCTCCAGGAAGATGTATTAGCTTTCTGTTGCTGGGACAAATACCTGGCACTCTTAATACATTAATTTATACACCCAATGTACTTAAAGCAGCAGAGGTCTAACTTGGCTCATGGTTTTGGGGGACCCAGTGCATGGCTGCCTGGCTACATACAAGGGAGGAACATCATGGTGGCAGGAAAGCTGCTTAGTTCATGGCAGCCAGGAAGCAGAGCCCTGAAGAACCAGAGAGGAAGGGACCAGACATATTCCCCAAGGTCACTCCCCCATGACCAACTCAGGCACACCCGGAAATATGCTTTAATAATCTTCAGGACATCTCTCAAACCAATCAAGTTGACAGTCAAGATTAACCACCACAAAGGCGACCTTCCAGAAGTTTCTCCAGGCTCCTGCTGCTGGCTGAGGGGGCTTAGTCTTGTCCTTCCTCTCTGGGAGGGTCGTCTTCAGTAGAGACAGAATCTTCTGGTCCTGAGCTTTCACTGGGAGAATCCACCTTAAATTCAGTCTGCTGGTTTTGGGTGTATACTGACTTAGGATCCCTTGTTTTCCAGAAAGTTCCTGATAACATGTAGGACTTGACTGTTTCTTCTAATTTTGCATGTAGAGAGACAAGGCCTACATCAAATTTAGAGACCAGATATTTCTCTGAATAATGAAATAAGGATGTTTATTTGTACTGCTGACATTTTGGGAGGACTTAGCCTGTGTTAATAGGTGTTCTCCTGTAAGTGGATCATTTAATTCTCCTGGGGACCCCACCAGGAAGGTAACTGTGATTACACTTTTTGGATAAGGAAGCAGTGGTTCAAAGAGGTAAGGTGACTTGTCGAGGGCTAACAGCCAGTGAGTGTGAGGCAGAGTTGGGCTCTTAACACCCACAGTCTGCTCCCATGGCTCTGCTGGGTAATAGCATTTGCCTCAGAGGATGGACTCACTGGGTCACCTCAGGGACAGCCAAGACCAGCGGGGTGGGGATCCCAGCTTGACCTGCGCCCCATTAGCTGTGCGAACTGGCTGTGGCTAGAAGTGCCTAGGAATGCCCCAGGCGTGGTGGCTCCATAGGCCATGCTTTTCATAGGCACCTTAGTACTGGTGGTGGGGCCCAGGGCTGCTCTTGCACTGAGCTGCATCTCCAGCCCCTTTGTAAAATCTTACTGCTGAGATAGAACCTGGCCAAGTTGCTCAGTCTGACTTCAAACTTTCGAGGCCCAGCCCGTGGGGATGTATCTTGAAGGCGCAGTCTTTTGCTAGGAAGCAGGGAGCTAAGGGGTGTGGGAAGGGTTGAGGAAGGTCTTTGGTCTGGGCAGAGCAGGGCCCGGGCCAGGTTAGCTGCGTGGCTGTGTGTGAGGCAAGGCTAGGGTCAATTTCTGCAAGAATCTGTTTATTAGGAGGGCCTGAATGCGTGAGGGAGACTGAGATTTCGCTTTTGGCCAAGATGACTTGTGACTGTGTAAAAGAACACAGAGGTAAAAGCGAGCCCCCTCTCCCTGCCTGCAGCCCTGTCCCTCCCCAAGCTGACTCTGTTTCTGGGTCACATGTGCTCTCCCCATCTGTTCGGTGTACCTGTGGTGCACCAGCTCCTCGTCTGCTGCAAAGCTCTGTTTGCATTTTGTGTGTTTTCACATCACACTCCTCTGTACCACTCTCTGTCCACTTCATGGGTGAGGACATTCCTGGGGCAGTGGGTGCCCTTTGTCCTGTTCTCATGGAAGGGTGCTCTGTTCCCTCGCATGAGTGGGCTTCAGTCTATCTGCCCATCCCTGGTCACTGGACACCTAGGTTGCTTCCTATTTTTGCTGCCTTGATTTCCCTTGTGTGAACCCCTAACCCCCACTGCCCAAAAACCTGCAGAAGGGGGTGTTGGCAGGCTATGGGTGGCTCCCGGGAGACCCTGGAATTTTCTGGTGTCATCCCAGCCAGTCCTTCCCACCTCAGATCCAGATGATGAAGAGGATGAAGATGTAACCCCAAGCAGCCTGCAGTACGAGTGGGAAGAGACTCCGTCCCAGGCCGCTGCGGCCTCGGCAGCTGAGCTAGTGAGAAGGCTGTGCCTGGCTCAGATCACAAGCTTTGAGGTAAGTGGTTTCTCCAGCCCCGTGCCAGAGCTGGCCCTGGGCCTGGAGCCGGGGACGTCTGCCTCTTCCTGCCCAGGTCATGTGTTTAGCATCAGGGCTGCTGCATGTGTTCAGGCGGGTTGTGCACGGCACAGTTGTGCTGGTTGTGAAGGCAGAGGATGAGAAATGTAGAAGTTGGTGCTGAGCCAGTGTCCAGGGCATGTTGAATGTGAGCAATGGGGAAGCCGTTTTCCCAGCTGCGGTCTTTTTTTTTTTTTTTGGTACCAGGGATTGAACTCACGACCTCACACTTGCCAGGCAGGTACTTATGCCGCTGAGCTAAATCCCCAGCTCCTCAGCTGCGCTCGTGAAGCAGAAAGCAGCTCTGTTAGATCCTCACTCTAACCGAGCCTGGTGCTCTGCCTGAAATCTTGAGCCACGCCCAGCCTCAGCTTTGAGGGCACTCCACACCCAGGTGTCAAACAGGTGCCGGGTCCTGATGCTTTGACACATCCGGCTGTTTCCTCCTGTGTGCCATCTGCTGAGTTCTGAGGCTGTGCCGTGATGGTGCACCTGCTGCCTTACTCTGAGATGGGGCCCTGCACTGTATGTAAGAGGGGGACACGCAGAGGGACAGTGTCGCACAGTCCCTGGGAAACTATTATACTGTGTCATTGGATTTAGGAGCTACCCAAGATCTTAATGTAATTACATCTGTGAAGACCCTTTTTCCAAGTAAGGCCCACATGTACAGGGTTTGGTGCCAAGGACATGGGTGTATCTTTTTAGTGAACCACTGTTCAACCCACTACAACTTTCTTAAGCACTTGCTGTATACCATATACTTAGATGTTAAAGTAATGATCTTATTTTTATCATGTAATTTAATCCTTAGTAATTTAATCTAAGGGTTTAGCTCAGCAGCGTAAGTGCCTGTCTGCTGAGTGCAAGGGCGTGAGATCAATCCCCGGTACAAAAATAACCAAAAATAATAATGGCCCATTTTACAGATGAGGCCACTGAAGTTTGCAGAATTTAATAAATGTGCCCATAGTTACCTAGCTAAGTGAACTACAGAGCTGGGCTGTTAGCCAAGCAGCCTGGCCCCACAGCAGGGTTTCTCTGGATACTGCTAATGCTGGTCCTAAGCACTTGGTGAATGGGAACTTGGCTGTATATGGGGCTGGACGCTGAAGCAGTATTCCTGGCCTCTGCCCAACTAGATGCCAGCATCATCTGTACCCACTGTCATGACAACTAGATGCCCCACTGCAGAGCATGGTTGTCCTATCTGAGATCTGCAGTGTTCTAACCATTGCACCACCAAGCCTCAGGAACCACGGGAACCAAAGGGAGGCCTGCTCCTGCCCCCTTGAGAGTGCTTCCTGACTCCCGCCAGCTGTTCCCCTGGTAGAGGCTGCAGGGCCTGAGAATGCTGTGGGGCTGTGTCTCCCTGCAGAGGCTGGAGGTGCTGGGCCCAGGACTGTGTGTGCTATGGTGCCCCAAAGGTAGGAAGTTGCCTTACAGAGAACTCGCTCCTGACATGCACAGCGGTGCACAGCAAGCAGCCCCCGGGGTCCCTAGGACCTGGGTTGCCAGGGGACGACTGATTTCCCCTAACCCTTTCCCCTCGAAACGCCCACCCCTCCCAGGAGACAGTGGGACAAGACAAGGTTTGTTTTTCAGTCTTGAAACAAAAGGAAGATTCAATGCTTTACGGAGAGCAAATCCCCAGCCTGGTCTCCAGGCACCCGGGTGGCTGTGGGGGCAGTGCGTAGGAAGGCAGGGGGGTCTCCAAGGAGCAGGAGAGGCTAGCACCCCACAGGGAGGCTGCGAGAGCAGGTAGGAGGCCAGGAAGGGAGCAGCTCACAGCCCTGCGGGATGTTCTGAGCATGGCATAGACCATGGCATTTATTAAACGCTGACTGTGTGCAGCCAAGTGCCTTTCCTTCTTTTCCTGTTCCCCCCCCCCTTCCCTTCTCTTTCCTCTCTCCTCTCTGCTCTTCCTTTTCTCTTCTGGGAATGGACCTCAGGCCTCTGCACCAAGGTAAGCACTCACCCTGAGTCCCCTAGCTCCACAGTCCAGACACAGCAGTGTGTAGAGCTGGCTGCTCTGGTGCCCTGGGTGGTTGGAGCCAGAAGCCCTGGGGCCTGATGGCTGAACCCAGCTGCTGTTGGAAGTTAGGTCAGGTCAACCACAGTGGAGATGCAAAAGCTCTGCAAGCCCAAGGTGCTGCGGCCTGGTTTTTCACTGCTGCCTTCGCCCTTGAGGTTGGCAGCAAGGTGATAGATAGATGCTCTGTGCATTTCGCCCAGGTCTCTCTCTAGTGGTACAGGTTGACTGTTAGAAAGCCACCATGGGGGGCTGGGGATTTAGCTCAGCGGCATAAGCACCTGCTTTGCAAGCAGGCAGTCGTGAGTTCGATCCCAGGTACCGATAAAAAGGAAAAAGACCAAAAAAAAAAAAAAAAAAAAGCCACCATGGCAAGGGTGTTCACCCCAGGGAAACAGGCAAGTGCTGCTCCACAGGGCTTCCCTCTCTCCTCTCCTCTCCTCTCCTCTCCTCTCCTCTCCTCTCTGCTATCCTCTCCTTTGCTCTGCTCTCTGCTCCCCTCCCTTCCGCTCCCCTCCCCTCTTCTCCCTTCCCCTCCTCTTCCTTCCCCTCCCCTCCGCTCTCCTTTTTGTGGCCCTAGAGGTGGAAACATGGCCTCATATGCTCTAGGCAAGCACATTACCCCTGAGCTGCACTCCAAATCCTTTCTATTTTTCATTATTGATTTAATTCTTTAGTACAGTAAGTCCCTGGCTTAGGAACAGTTGAGCTGTGAGCTCTCACCAATAAGAAGGAACCTCATATTATGAACATTTATAGAAGCACCAGATCCTGGAAGTAGCTCACGTGTCTGCCGGACATTGTCACAATTGTACTGCTGTATGCTCACTGTACAGTACGACAGTGTCAGCAGTGCAGTGCTCCGTCAGAGCCCAGGGTGTTTAGAAGTGAGAGGAAAAGCAGTGGTAATGTGGAGAGGATTGCAAGGGAGTGCCAAGCCATAACCATGGGAAAAATGCAAATAATTGAGAAGTTGGATGAAGCTGAAAAGGTGGTAGGCACTGCTCATTCTTTGTGTGTTTGGGGTTTTTAATGCTAAATATTTTATATTTGTGTCAAAGGTGTGTAAGACTCACTTTGTTAGACTTACAAGTGAATGCAATTTGGGAGCGATCCCTTGGAGCGGAACTTGTTCTCAGTTGGGGACTATACTGTACTAGAGGGTGAATCCAGGGCCTTCACTTTGAGCTACACTACTTGTCTTTACATTTTTATTTTATATTTTGAGACAAGCTCTCGCTAAATCGCTAAGTTGCCAGGCTGCATTTGCACTCTGAACCCTCCTGCCTCAGCCTCCTGAGTGGCTAGGATTACAGCTGTGCATCACTGTATCCATTTTTTTTTTCAGCTTCTGAGAGTGAGATGCTTGTTAAGATGCTTGTTAATGGGCTTAGGAGTAGCAGTGTGGGTCTGTGTCTGTACTCGGCTGCACTCTGTTGCTATGTCAATCGTGCCCCTTGTGCCTCACTTAAGCCCCCCATATGGGGGCTAACAGCCCTCACAGACACTTTGAGGGCTGCGGGGTGGTGTGTATGTGGGATGCTCAGGCACGAACCTGCCCACAGTAAGGCCTTGTGCTTAACACCTAGTGGGGTGGTTATTAGAGTCACCTCCTCTCATCCACGGTTCCACTTTTTGTGGTTTCCATTTCCTGTGGTCAGCCACAATCTGGAAGTATCAGATGGGAAATTCTAGAAATAGATGATTCAGAGCTTTTTTTTTTTTTTTTTTTGTCTTTTTCCTTTTTATCAGTACCGGGGATCGAACTCATGACTGCCTGCTTGCAAGGCAGGTGCTTATGCCGCTGAGCTAAATCCCCAGCCCCAATTCAGAGCTTTTAAATTGTGCCCCATTCTGAGTAGCGTGACAAAATCTTGTGCCACCTTCCCCAGGGTCTGATGCCGTGGCCTCATGTTATGTACAGCAAGCTGTCTTGAGAGAGCCCATGCACACATAACTTCTATTGCAGTGAGTTGTTATAATTATTCTGTTTATTTTTAGTTACCCGTCTCTCGCTGTGCCTCATTTGTAAATTTAGCTGTATCACAAGTGTGTCCAGGGGAGAACACAGACAGCCTGGGGCTGGGCATCCCTGGGGGTCTCACACCCCTGCAGTGTGGCCTCACAGAGAAGAGGGTGGCTGTACCACAGCTGTCGCGTTCTCCTGTGCTGTTGGGGTAGCCTCATGTGGCAGGTTTCTTTGATACTGGGGATACACCGGGGAATGTGGCAGGTTTCCCACCCAGGCACCCTCGACGGGCCTCTACTCTGCAGCCTCCCAGCTCTGCTGGATTTTCTGCTTTTGACTTCCTTCCCTGGCTGCTGGGAGGGAACCAGGATGACTGGCCTGTGATCCCTTCCCTTTCTTCCTGGTGATCCTACTGATTGAGTCTAGTGCCCTCCCACTTAGCTATATCCCCACTGCTTTTTTTTTCTTTTTGGTTTTTTGAGACAGGGTCTCACTGTGCTGTTCATGCTGGCCTTGGGCTCACTTTGTAGCCCAGCCTGGTCTCGAACTTGCACACAGTTCTCCTGCCTCAGCTTCCTGTTGCTGGGATTGTGGGAGTGCGCCACCATGCTCGACTCCCCAGTGTTTTTTTGAAACAGTCTCGCTAAGTCTCTCAGCTGCTTCTCCTGCTCCAGCTCTCAAGTGCTGGAAGTGCAGGCAGGCACCACCGTCTGGGCCCCACGGTCCCTTCTGCTGTCCCTGGGTCTGCAAGGCTGAGGCTGAGCCCGGTTCTCCTCACAGCAGTGGGTGGGGAGTGCTCCAGGGTGGATCTGTCACCCCAGGTGTGACAGCAGGGATTCTAATCCCGGGGAACCTCAGGTCTGTGGACCCACAGCTGAGCATCAGGAAGGGAAGAAACAGGCTTTGGCTTGTGAGTCCCTGGGGTGGTTCCTGGAAGTGGGGCGATAAAATCTTAGAGGCCACCAGCAGCCAGGCCTGCTGGGATGGTGGCTGTCAGCGTGCACCAGTCGCAGGCTGTGTGTCCTGCAGGAGGAAATCAGGGCTGCAGAAGGAAATCAGGGCTGGAGTAGCTGTGGCCCTGCCCAAAGGCGCACTGCGGGAAGGCTGCCTGAACTCAGGAGTGGCCCCTGGCTAGGAAGCTCCCAGCTTGCAGCCGCATCCTGCTGAGACCAAACTGCAAACACAAGTAATCAGTTCAAAGCCTGCAGAGCTAGGGAGACCCCCATGCTGCACATCTGCAGACCCCTGGCTGGGGGCGCTTCAGGCCAAGGGGGGCGGGTGAGCATGGGCTGCTGACCAGACGCCGCCCTGGTCTGTCTCCCACCTCATTGCTCTTCCTGTGGCTTTGGATTCAGGCTGCAGCAGCAAAGCCAAAACCCAAGAGCTGCTGGGAGGGAAGCGGTAGGTTTCCCTGAAACCCACAGGCTGCATGCTGCATATGGTCCTTTGTTTTCTTCCTTGTGAGCTTTTAGACGCTTTGCAACTATCTGTCAGGCCTCGGATAAGGGCAAAAAGTCCTCAAGCCATCACTGTTTGTTATTCTGAAAAAAACAAGTGCATAGTTTTTAATTGAAAACTGTAAGTAATTCCTGCCTCTAATTCCAGCAGTTTGGGAGGCTGAAACAGGAGGATCCTAAGTTCAAGTCCCACCTCAGCAGCTCAGTGAGACCTTGTGTCAAAATAAAAGAGACTGGGAATGTACCTCAGTGGTAGAGTGCCTCTTGAGTTTGATCCCCAGGACCAAAAAAATTGGAAAAGATTGCTACTTTATTAAATATGTGCAATCGTAAAGCACATATAATCGACTGTTATCATTTTGAACAGGTGCTGAGCATTTACTAGATTCTAAAGCCTGCAAATGTGGACTTCATGTCTGTTTTCCATGCCACATTCCTGGCCCAGTGCCTGGTACACAGCAGGTGCCTAATATGTGTTAAAGAATCAGATGGTTCTGGGTGCCAAGGGCGGATGCTTTAAGGCCAGTTGATGCACAGACTCGCCTTCTTGAGTCTGATGTCTCCTCAGTGTTGTTCCCACCTGGAAGCAGGGCTGGGCGAGGTGACCTGGGGGTTCCCACATGCTACAGTGCCTTATGCTACCCCCTCTGATTCCCAGGCCACAGAGCTGTTCCCGACGCTGGTGTCTGAGCTCCAAGGCCTTTCTGTGGATGAGCTGATGGGACTCTGGCAACTTTCTTCCTCCAAAAGCCCAGACAACCGGTGAGGGTCTCGTCCCAGTGGGGTGGACTGGGTCTGGCTGAGACGCAGGGGGCGGTGTGGGTGGGGTGGGGGCTGCTGGATAGGACCCGTGGCCTCAGTTCTGTCCTGGGTTCCTGGTGAGGAATGGGTGTTGATTCTGCTCCTGACCTCTTGATGCTAACTTATCCTTCTGTCTGGAGATGTGTGCCAGGAAGGGGATTAAGTGGGGGGTCTGGGGTTTCCCAGGAGGCCCAAGCTCTGCCCTGGCCGAGACTAGAAGCAGAGGGGCCAGCAGATAAAGACACCATTGTTCCTTCCTCCAGACATATCCTCTTGTAGGAGCCAAAATTAGCATCCCAATGCAGGAAAAAGGGCAGGCCAGGGCTGGGGTCCACCACGGTCACCCTGCAGGGGCCTGTGGGAGGGTGAAGAGAGCCTCAAGCTAGGAAAGGACCTTTCCGGGAGCCCTGGGCTGGGCTGGGGTCATCTTGCGGACGCCCTCCAGACCTCTGAGGTACACACTTCTGGCTTCCAAGCGTTTCAAAGGCTTGCAAAAATCCTCAGAGACTTGAAACCTTTTACTCCAAAACATGAAACGAGTCCTCTCTTCTGCAAAATCAACCATGTCCAATGTTTCGTTGAATGACAGCACAATATGAGAATAAATGTGCAGATACTTCCTCCAGCCTTTTATATTTGCTCATCTAATCTCACAATAGTCCCACTGAGTCAGTGGTATTGTTATTTCTACTTCCTAAGCTCAGAAACCAAAGCACAGAGCAGTTAGGAAACTGACCAAAGTCACACAGCAGAGTTGGGATTTGAACCCAGGTGCTCTGTACCTCCTATCCAATTCTTATCTTAAACTTAAATGGTATCTGACTCGATCCTGTTTTAAGGATGCTGTATGTAGGGAGAGGTATCCACGTCTGTGTGTAGAACTGCCCGCTTTCCTGGTGACATGGTTTCTGGTCACTCTGGGTTTCTACACATGCCTCTGAGTCTATCTTATCTGTCTGTCTCATCAGCAAGGAAAAGACTCTCTCCAAGTCTGAAATTTTCCAAGAGAACCAGAGATAGTTCTGTCACCATTCCCCGCTCCTCCGTTTCCCCTGGAGCCCAGTTTCCCAGATGGACAGTGAGTAAGATGAGATCCAGGAAGAGCAGGGAGGATGTGTGGCTGATGGCTCCCCAGGGCGATGGTCATCCTGGGCAGTACCAGCCACCAATGTCCTCGTGAGGCCCCGAGACCGTGCGAGGTTACAGAGACGTGTGAGGGTATGAAGTGGCAGGGCCTCTGGCCCTTGTCAGGGCTGAGGGATCCAGTCTACCCCATCCCACCCCACCTGGGCACCTGCTACCTCAGGGCCCCTGAGCTCCGGAATCCACCCATCTGCTGTGATCTGGGGAGCCAGCCTCGGTCTTTATGTCCCAGGCTGCACAGGCCAGCAGCTCAGCCTCTTTTCAGTTTCTCCTCCTCTCGGCAATCCCAAAAACTAAAGGAAGTAAAACACCTCTGTGTTGGGCCGAGAGTATTAGCGGTTTAAGTTAGAGGCCATCAACAGATTGATCGGTGGTGGTTCCTGTCCAACACAAGGGGTGTTGGTGAAGTTTGCCTTTGTGGGTTCCAGCAGAGCGGGGGGGGGGCAGAGCCCCAGGGGCTCGACCTGGGCTGCCATTGCTGTGGCCAATGAGCTGCAGCCCCACCAGGGTCCCCTGGCCCAGCTGCCAGGCCAGCATCTTCCCCTCTGAGTGTGGGCATGTCCCTCTGGCCCTCTCTGAGCCTCCGTTTCAGCAAGGTGAGGCTTAGAGATGCTCAGAACACGGTGTCACCTTGGGGCCCTCTTAGGCAGGTGCTGGTGGACGCCCTGCCCTCTTGTGGCACTGAGCCCTGTGTGGGCTTCATGAAGGAGCTGATCGCATCCGGGGAGGTGGAGGCAGATGAGGCAGAGGCATGGCTGCAGTCGCTGGCCTTCGTCCTGCAGCCCACGGACGCCATGGTGAACACGCTGCTGGTGAGCCCGAGCCCCACCTACACCCCAGCCCTCGGTCCCGCTGATTGGATGCAGGGGAAGGGGTGACCTGCTCTTGTCCTTCCAGGTGGCCTGGGAACAGGTCAGGAGCCTCATCTCCCTGGGCTGCTGTGTTGAATTTACAATTTGGTATCAGTGTGAGCTTGGTCAAGGGTCAGCAGTGTGCCTTCCAGCTGTGTAACCCAGCCAGTGACTTTACCTCCCTGAGCCTGTTTTCCGATCTGTAAAGTGAGGATGGGACTGGTTTATCTACCTCAGGCTCAGAGCAATGATGTACCATCCATGAAGCAGTTCTCCTGATGCCCAGCATGCAATCTGAATGTGTTAAATTAGGGCTGCTGCTACTATCATAAACATTTATATTTAGTAAGGCCTGAGATTGGGAAATCTGTGTGTAACAAGGGCAAAAATAGGTAGCAGTGCCTGAGGCCTTATTTACCCTTAAGAAGCTCTGTGAAGTACATACTCTCACTGTCCCATTTTGCAGATAAGAAAACTGAGACTCAGTTTGTCCAAGGCAGGGCAGCTGCTCTGCCCATCTGTGGACTTCAGGTTGCATCCTCAATTGTTAGGGGCAAAAGTATCACTGTTGCTACTTGTCCTGCTGTCCCTGGATGACAGTGGGCAGCAGAAATGCTCTTCAGCTGGTGCAAGGCACACTGGTGGAGGGGACTCCGTGCGTGTGTCCATCCTTGGAGCTGCTGGGGCTGTGGCTGTTGTCCAGGGCTGTGAGCTGGGCTGTCTGTCCCAGGAGTGGGTGTGGTTGGCTCTGCTGAGTGGATAATCAGGCACCAGCTGGGAGCTGGACCTGGGCTGGGCTAGAGACACCAGCACCATCTGCAGTCTGCACGGGGCTTAGCTGGTGCTGGCCTTCATGAAAATGTCTTGTCCTTCCTTCTTCCCTCCTCTCCTCCCCTTCCCCTGCCTTATATGTCCCTCTGCTCCTTGTGGGCCTTGTGGCCACACCTGCCCGTTGGTACACATGCACTGGGACACACCACATACACACATGTGTGCTGGGGCACTCAGGCCCGAGATGCACACATAAGGGGATGCATGTGCATAGAAGTTCCCCTACACACACACACACACACACACACACACACACACACACTCACACACACAGTCACTCACACTCGCTCTGAGGCTCTGGAACACAGGCACACCGAGGCGCACATATGGACCTGGGATACCTCCTGTGCTCCGGGCAGGACAGCAGGGGCACCCTGCTCTGGGGCCTGTTCTCTCAGGAGTGAGCCTGGGGTGCGCCTCTGAGGAGCAGTGAGAGCCTGGCCTGGGAGCCACGGTCCCTGGTTCCGTTCGGGTGACCTGAGGCCAGGGGCACCCTCTCCGTCTCAGCTTTCTCCCTGCAAAGTGGAAACGCTACATAAGAAGATGAGGTTTACGAGGTGTGAACAGAGAGCCCTGCAGTGGGTACACGGAGGGGAGGACGGGAGAAGCTGGACGTCCGGATGGCAGTGACGCTCGGAGTGGGACCTGGACAGCCGCAGAGAGAAGCCTGGATGGTAGATGTGAAGGCCGTTTGCAAGCTGCTAGTTCAACCTAGCCATTTCAAAAATGAAAGACTTTAAGCCTGCATTTAGAGAAATTATGTTAAAAACAAAGGTATATTCTGAGAAGCTGAAGCAAGACGATCACGAGGTTAAATTTATTTATATATATATATATGTGTGTGTGTATGTGTATAAAGGTCTGGGCATAGCTTCGTCTGAAGACCCTGGTTCAATCCTTAGTGCCACAAAAAAACAAGCAACAAGGGTAGCAGCTAGTTATCTCTGCCTGGTTTCCTCGCCACGTGGTTTTGCCCTGTGGTTCCTGTTGGCAGTGGCGTGCACCCCGTGAGGAGCCTGGGAGTCCACCAGCCCCACCCCTAACTTGCAGTGGGTGGGGATGCTGTTAGGCTGTGGCCTCCTCTAAGGGATCACAGGGTGCCCCCTGTGCTGTGGCAGGAAACCAAGCCGGCTCACTGGCACGTTTTGCACTCCCTCCCAGAGAGGACTTGGGTTTTGTTCTGTGTGAGCCTCACAGATCCTGACAGCGGAAGCTGTGCCGAGGATCCTCTGCTGGTTCTCTTTAGGCCTTCACCCCGCTGCCCCCACTGGTGACGTGGCCCAGGGTGCTCCACCTTGGCCATGTCGGCAGAGGGGCTGGATAATTCTTTGCTGGACACGGGGGCTGCCGGTTCATTACAGGACAGTTCACAGAGTCCCTCCTCACTTCCTATGCCAACGGTACCTCCCTACCCCCGGTGTGACAACCAAAATGTCTGCAGAGGTTACCAGTGTCCCTGCCCCGCCCTCCATTGGTCCAGGAGTGAGGCTTCCCATCTGGGTGCAAATCAAGGACCCCCAGGTGGCTTTAGAACCGTCCCTTGAAGACTTGCTCTGTGCTGGGCCACCCACCAACCTGTGGTGGTGTCTGTCCCCAGCCACTGCTGCAGTCCCCCAGAGCCAGCCCCAGCGCCTTCCTTGGCCTCTCAGCCCTGGTGCATAATCTCTGTGCCTCCCTGGATGAACCCTGCGGGCAGCTGCCAGGAGTCAGCTCCTTCGTGAGGATCCTGGGTGAGGCTGTGGGTGCAGACTGCACCTCCCAGGAGCCCTCGGATGCTGACCAGGTGAGCACAGCCTATGTGTGGGCTCTGGGCCGAGCTTAGCTGGTGAGTCTCCGGCAAGTGGGTAGGGCTGGTTCCTTCCCCCAGGCCTCATGGCCCTGTGCCCCCTTGTTCCAGCTCCGGCTCATGCTGAAGGCCATTGGCAATGCTGGTCTGGCCGCTGCGGCCCTCGCCCCCATGCTGAGTGCCTGTGCCATGCTGGGGAGCAGCCCCCTGGAGATCCGGCTGGGCGCCATCCAGGCCTTCCGGAGAGTCCCCTGCTCTGCAGACGTGAGATCCTGGGTGCTTTTCCATGGGGTCAGGACTGGGGAGTGGTGTGGCTTGGATGCACTGTTAATTCACCTTGCTCATTCATCCTGGGTTTACTGAGACCTTACTGTGTGTTGGGCACCACCTGGGCCTTACTGTGAACAGGTGTCCAGGCCTCAATCTCACAGAGATTATTCACCAACTAAACACACATGACCTTCTAGAGTAGTGATTGGCCAACCGCGGGCCAGGGGCCATTCCCCAGCCTGCCATTTTTATAAGTAAATTTTACTGGCACACAATCGTACCCACTCATGTATAGAGTATCTATAGTGAGTTTTTTGCTACAGCTGCAGAGTAAGGCTTTGCAAGGACATTTCATGGCCTGAAAATACCACTTATCTGTCACTTTACAGAAGAAGTTTGCTGCCCCTGGTCTAGTGTCCTCACGCTCACTGAGTCCAGATCAAAGTCCTTACAGTGATCTACTTGTACCTCTTGGCCTCATCTTCCATGGTCACCCCACTCCAGCCATATTCCTCACTGTTGTTCCTCAAATACTAGGCCAAGGGCTGCCTCAGGCCCTTTGCACACGCTGCTCCCATTCCTGGAATCTTTTTCCCTTTATGTCCCCAGCCTCACTCCTGCACCTCTTATAAGTATCAGTTTATCAGTCATGTTCATTGTGAGTCTCTATTGACTATTTTACCTGAGATTGAACCTATTAGGTCCCCAGAGTCTCCAGCCCTTTTTTCTATTTTCTCCCCCTCTTAGCACTGACCACCACCTAGTGTGTTATATGTTTCACATGGCAGTCTTGTTCACGCTGCTGGAGTGTGATCTTCAGATAGCTGGGGGCTGTCACATCCCACAGTGGTAGGCGCACAGTAGGTGCCTAGTAAATGCTTATTGTGCTGTGCATAAGACAGTCACCAGGGGGTGGGGAGGTAGCTTGCTTATCAAGGGCACCGGTGGACACCAAGACATAGTTCTGCGAGAGGGGGACAGTGCCTTCCCATGGGGGACACTGACCGTGGCTTTCCTCCTGCCCTTCCAGCGGTCCGCACTCTCCCGCCTCTATGAATCCCCCGAGGAGGAAGCCGAGATTCGCATCCACGCCTACCTGGCCCTGATGCGGTGCCCGGGGGAGGAGGTGTTGGCCGTGGTGCGGCGGACGCAGGCGGGCGAGCAGTCCACTCAGGGTGAGCAGGCTGGCAATTTCCCCTGGGCCTGCTGAGGGGCTAAGGCGCCGAGAGGACTGTGGTCCCCATTGGCCCCAGCATCTCCCCTGACTTGTGCTGTTGGTGCTCTTATTTCATCTCACCCCTCCAGGGACCCTCAGAGGGTCCCCAGCCTGGATCGCAGTCGCCCCTGCACCTAGCCTGAAGGAGACTTAGTCTTTCAGGCCCGGGGTCTGACTGATTTTCACAGGCAGCTCTGTGAGATGTCATTGGTTCTCTTTACAGCTTAGGTCACAGGTTAAACGAGGCAGAGTGGCCACCTTAGGCCATACTGTAAGCAGTAAAGTAGGATTTGAAGTGAGGCCTACCTGGCTCATTTCACAGATGGGGAAACTGAGATCCAGACAGATACCATGACCATCCTGAGCTTGTAAGTGTTGCAGCTGGGGTTCAGCTAGGGTTCAGACAGGGGGTCTGAATTTCAAGCAGGACTGTCCCACCACATAGTCGTTCCCATCTGGAAGGCTCATCAGAACCCCGTGCCCAGGCCAGGATCCACGTTCTGTGAAGAGCCACTCCTGAGAAGTCCTCGTGTCTGGGAGGCCTGGGTGGGGTCCAGGGGCTTTCCTCTGGGCTGCGCTGGCAGTGGGTCCAAGCCTGGCTGTCTCCACCACAGTGGGTTCCTTTGTGTGGAGTCACCTCCTGCAGCTGCTGGAGACGGCGGACCCCCTGAAACGCAGCCTCCGGGACTCCCTCCCCGAGGAGGTCCTCAGCCGGGAGTTCCGCCCCGAGGCCTGGAAACACTCCACCTACTCTGAGGTCACCTTCCGCTCAGGTAAGCTGACCTGCGGCCCCCAGGGTGTGCGGAGCCCGGGGTGCCCCCTCTCCAGGGCGCAAGGGTTTCCCAAGGGTCAGGTACTTACGGGCACCTGCCTGGTAATCAGGTGTTGCCCCACAGTTCTTGCTGCTTTGGTTGGAAAAGGTGACAAATAATCACATTAGTGATTTGACAGCACTCAACTGCATTCTTTCTCCTGTCCTCTCTCTCAGTTGACTATTTATGTATTTATGTTTGCAGAACTGGAGATTGAATCCTTGCGCTAAGCTATACCCCCAGTCAGTACTTTTTAAAATTCTTATTTGGAGACAAGTTCTCACTAAGTCACCTGAGCAGGACTTTAACTTTGATCCTCCTGCCTCAGCTTCCCAGAGTGCGGGGACTATAGGCATGCTTCCATCACACTGGTCTTCCATAGGCTCTTTTTTTATTGGTACTCACGACTCCGTGCTTGCAAGGCAGGCGCTTATGCTGCTGAGCTAAATCCCCAGCCCCTCCATGGGCTCCTTTTAACTTACACTGATTTTATTTTTTTTTTTTTTTTTAATTTTATTTAAGGAGAAAAGAAAAAAAGCAGAGAAAGGGTACAAGTTATACAGATTTGCAGAAAAAAAAATGAACAGTAGGAAATTACTAGTTAATGGATTACATATTGTCATCTTAGAAATAATTGTTCAAGTCACAAAATTAAAGCTTGTAAAGTAGACATTCCATCAATGATACTGCAAACAGTTCTGTTCAATGATCCAATAAAACTCTGTGATATCATTTTCTATCTTATACACTTAAATATACATGCAGTTATATAGTACAGAGCACTTTCTTTTCCTCTCTTTTGTACAATGACTATTACACATTTTGGGTTTCATTGCTCCCATGGTTCTTATTACTTTTTTGGAAGAGAGTAAAACCAAATGTGACATAACAGAACAGAATCGGTCAAGTCAAAGGGGTGGACATAATAGATAATGTGAAAACATAATACAAGGTGATCAACAATGGTTACCATAATGCCTCCCGCTATCTCTAATAGAATTGCCTATATTGTTAGTTACAATACAATTGAACAAAACTGTAAAGAATAAAACCGACAAAACCAAAACATTGGAGACATTGTAGGTCTTCAAAAATAGATAAAAGTCAATGAGAATGGGCGTCATAATGAATCTCATTATCTTCACAGCTGATGCCTAAATTTTCGAACCTGATACTATCCAGCAAAACAGAATGGGGGAACATCAGTTAAAAACCAGATGGTGAGAGTAATACAGGGCTTTAAATCGAGGTAATGGAAAGTCAAAGTGGGTTACTATAATATATCCTGCTATTTTTTTCCTTTAATTAAAAGGATAAAAATAAAAAAGTAAATAATGGAGTGGAGATTGAGATAAAAGAGGGCATAACAACGAAACAGCACAGATCAAAACATAACCATTTAAGCAGAATAGTGTTTCACCACCAGATAATCCTGACCTAAAAGTAGTTACCATATTATCTCTTTCCTTGAAATCCTTGAGTACAACTTCGTATACTGTAGCATTAAGTATATCAAAACAATGTAAAACCATTCAAGAGAATGACAGCATTACAGAGTATTTAGAATCGACTAACAGAAAATGAACAATGGTTTCTGTATAATCTCCTTGTCTTTAAAAGGTTTTTGCTTATACTATCATACATAATAAAATCCAGTAAGATACAACCTATTTGGACCATTGGAGACAGAAGGACAAAAGCTAGATGAGACTTCAAAACAAGATGATACTAAATCAGTATTACCTATTAAGATGTCATTTTCTCCAAAATAGCTGTTCCTATCATCCAATCTTCTCTGCCTCATTTCTGTTGAGCTCTTATTCTGTCAGTAGCTGTCAGTTTGTCTTCTTCACTTTGTTCTCTGCTCCATTCGTTGTGGCCTCCATTATTTCTGGATTCTTTGTATTTTTCTTTTTTTAGAATATCCTGCAATACTCTCTGTAGAGTTGAATTGGTGGTTGCAAATTCCCCCAGTTCCTCTTTATCCTGGAAGCACCTTGTTTTTCCATCAATTTCGAGGGACAGTTGTGCAGGATATCTCAATCTTGGCTGGAGATTATTATCTTTCAAAGCTTGAATTATTTCCCCCCAAGCTCTTCGTGATTTGATGGTTTGTGCAGAGAAATCTGCTGTAATTCTGATGGGTGCTCCCTTGTAAGTGGTCTGCTTCTTGTCTCTGACAGCTTTTAATATTCTGTTCTTGTATTGAATTTCTGGAATTTTTATTATTATATGCCTGGGTGTTGCTCTGTTTGGGTTGTAGGTAGCTGGGGTCCTGTATGCCTCATACATCTGAGTATCTTTACCTTTTGCTAAATTAGGAAAATTCTCCTGGATTATTTCTGTGAGTAGCTTTTGTAGTTCATTTGTTTGTGTCCCTACTTCTTCTTTTATGTTCTTAATCCTTAAGTTATGGCTCCTCTTATCATCTTCTTGTCTTTGTATTATTGCTGTTTGTTTCTTTGTTATTTTTAAGAAGTTTTTCATTTCATTCTCCCATATTACAATTCTGCCCTCCAGTTCAGATAGTCTGTCCTTAGTTTCTTTCAAGCTGTTATGCCAGTCTTCGATAGACTTCTTAGTTTCTTGGTAGTCCCTTTGAACCTGCTTCACGTATTCTATGCTTTCCCTGTTTTCTCCATCAAACACTTCTCCCCTCTTTTTCTGTTCTTCCATTCCACCATCTGTTTTTTCTTGGGTGGTGCTTAGTATTTCTCTAACTATTTTGCATACTTCTAGCTTCAGGTCGTTGATAACTTCATTCCTGAATTGGTCTATGAGGCTCTCTATATGGCGCCTTATGTGTAATGGTGCGGTGTCTGTTATTGCCTGTTTCTCAGAATTGGGGGCCGAGGAGCCTTTCTTGTTGCTGCCTCTTCCCATATTCTCTGTTCCTTATGTATGCAAGCTTATATGAGAGGCCTAGCTTCTCTCTCTGTCAGCCACAGCCTGATCGAATTGCGCCAGTTAGGTGTTTCCACTCACTGCTGCACACCAGGCAGCCTACGCGGGGGCCCGCCCCTCCCGGCCTCCGTCAGGCTCTGGGATCTGGGTTGGGCCAGCCTACGGGGTCCGCCGGCAGCGTCACGCAGGCCAGGCACTTTTCACCAATCCCGCCCGACAGGGGAATGTGTGGCTGGAGTCGCCAGCGCGCCCTGCTCCCGCAGGACTGCCCGGGCCCAGAAAGTCCGCTGGAGTCAAACTGTGGTGGAGTGTCAGTTTCTCTCACTCACCTCGCCACAAGTCAGAACATGCCTCCCTGCCTGTCCTGTTTTTGACTCCGTTCACAGACTCCCGTTCTCAGAGTTTCCGTGCGTCTCTCTCCTTGCCGAGCCGATGTAGAGGCAGCCAGCCACCGCGCGGCGGGAAACCCAAATGGCGTGGGGTCCAGCCTCAGCAGCGAGGCTTTTCTGTTCCTGTTTTAGCACCAGGACTGCATTCCGAGTTGGTTTCTCTCAGCCGAGTTCGTTCCTGAGTCAGCAGAGCATAACTCCACCTGCTTATGTCTCTTTAGTCCGCACCATACCTGGCTTCTGAGCCTAGTTTTCAGAGAGCCTCCGGTAGTTGCTGTTATCTGTCCGCCATGTTCTCCCGGAAGTCACTTACACTGATTTTAAAAAGGAAACTCGCTCTCATGCTATCGTGGGGGAGCAGGTGATTGGGAAAGGAGATGGAGCGCTGGCGAGAGGCTTCTGTGAGGTTCTCCTGCGCCCTGCTGCCCTGTGCAGGCTGGGGGTTTGGAGAGCAGTCTTTCCCTGCCTGTGTCACAATTCAATGGAGCATCAAAGGGGAGTCGTTGCAGCAGAGGCCCCTCACCCCACTGCCACACTGGGGAGTGGGGGAAGGTGCTCTGATGCATCTTCTCTGCCTTCAGCAGTGTGGCCCTCTGTCCTGACTTGTCTCTGCTCTCTATGAGGCTCTAGGCTCTTTCCCCTCCTGGCCTGCGGATGCACTGTGGGTCTGGTCTGTCCAGTCTGTCCCGGGCCCTCGATGGTCTGCACCACTCATTCCCCACTTTCTCCAGCGTCCGGCAGCCTGGGAGCCACCCTGGAGAGGACCCTGCTCTTCTCTCCCGCCTCCTTCCTTCCCCGATCCGCCACAGTGAACCTGACCGTGCATGCCTTGGGCCGGGCCTTCAGCCTCCTGGAGGTAAGAGGGAGTCGCTGTGGTTTTTGCAGGACCTGCCCTGGACTTGGAGCTAGAAATGATCCCGTCTGTCTATCTGTCCATCCATCCTTTGCCTGCATTGTGCTAACCCTGATGGCGTCCACGCCCTCTGCACACATTCCCCATCCACCTCTCTCCATCTATCTAACCCCTCCTCTGGCCCTCTCACCCGTCCATCACTTACCCATCCATGTCCCCTTTTAGGTATGTCACTGTGTACTCTCATTTCTTCCCACCCACACACCCATCCCCACACTCACCTTTCTGTCCCAACTTCTGCCAGTCCATCCATCCACCTAGCCATCCATCCCCATACCTTATCCCCGTCTGTCCACCTGCTCCTCTGCTCCACCTTTCTACCCGCCTACCTGTCCATGTCCATCGTCATTCACCTACCGGTCCACCCTCCATCCGCCCACATTTGTCCTTCTATCTTCCTGCCATCCATTGCATGAACATTGATCCTCTGCCTGACTGAGAGATGGGTACCATGACACACGATGAAGAGGACAGAGGCAGTCCTTGCTGTTCACATCCTGCAGGGAGGCAGATGGTGGTGAGCCAGCCCAGGGTGAGGCTGCGGCAAGGCTGGCGCCACAGGGAGGCGAAGCCTGTGCTGGACCCGATACTGAGCCGGCACCGCCGTGCAGAGGCAGAGCCTTCGGGCCAGGGGACCAGTCAGTGCCTAGCTCCACAGAAGGGCAAGGGGTGGCATTTCAAGGGATAGATGGGGAGAGAGGAGGGCGGTGAGTCAGGCAGAGCGGGAGTGGTAGCCTGGAAGGGCCTTCGGACAGGGAGGAGAGGATGTGATTTGAGCCCTGGCTGTCATGTGGGAAATGGATTCTGGGGGTGACAGTGGAAGTTGGGGTATCTTTGAGGGGTCGTTTTCGGTAAGTGGACTGTCCTATGGCCCTCTGTCTTCTGGCCCTGCATCCCTGGAATCTGAGAGAGGTGCTCCACACTGTCCCAGCGTCACCTAACGACAGGGCACAGGACCCGGTGAACACAGAGGCAGGTGGTGGGTGCAGCCCCCCAGGTTTCTCCCTGTCTGCTGCCAGGCTTGTCTGCCTTGGAGGGAGAAAAGGAGGCAGATGGGTGTATGCGTGGAAGGAGAAGAAGGATGGATAGAATAAAGGAAGAAAAGATGAGCCAAGCACCTGTAATCCCAGCATTTTAGGAGGCTGAAGCAGGAGCATTACAAATTCAAGCCCAAGCTGGGCAATTTGGCAACTTAGTGAGATCCTGTCTCCGAACAAACACACAAACAGGAGTGGGGATGTAGTGTAGGGCACAGGCACAGGGTTCAATCACCAGCACCACACACAAAAATAGATGGAAGGTGAATGAACAGGGTTATAGGTGGATGGATGGGAGGATGAAAAGATGGAGGAGCAGCGAGGGGATGGAGGGCAGACGGGAAGAAGGAGGGACAGGAGGAGACATTCATCCAGTTTTGAGGATCAGCCGGGCTAGGTCTTGAGGGTACCTCATGAATGAGCTATGAGCCCTGCTGTCATGGAGGACCCCATAAGGAGCCCCACGGGTCTTAGCACCTGCTCTCACCTGCTCGCAACCTTGTGCTGGAAGCCCCGGTGGAGGAGACAGCCAATGGGGGCAGGAAGGGAACGATGGGGTGTGGGGAAGGGGTGATCAGTGCAGGGCCCCAGAAGCGGTGGCATTTGAACTGGGCTGGAAGGACAGGTGGGAATGCTTGCTATGTGCCACAGACCAAGCAGATACAGAGCCTGATGGATTTCCCCAGGTGGCACCCTGTTGCCCAGATTGCCCTGTGCAAGGCTTCGGAACCCCTTGGTCCAGTCCAGGGCTGCAGCTCTTGGTCACCATGGGACTGAGTTGCTCCTCCCTGAGCCCTGACCTCCCTTCCCAGCTGGGGCTTCGACTGGAGCACGCAGAGGAAATTGTGGACAGGCTATTCTTTGGTCCAAAGTCACACTGGGGACAGGAAGAGAAGAGAAAGGCCCAGCCAGACAAGCCTCGAAGCCCAGAGCCAGGGCCAGCCATCCCTGAGTGTCCAGGAGAAAGATCCAGAAAGATGAGAGACCTGCAACAAAAGGTAAGAGATGTGGCCACTGCCGCCCCCTCGACCACACATAGCGAAGCCCTGCCCGGCGACAGTCTTAGGCTGGCTCAGGATTTCAGAATGGAGCCTCACGTGCCAGTCAGCTCTGGTTCTGCCTCCTTTAGGGAGCAGCGCTGCTGCTGGTCTCATGTGAACAGGCAGCTGCTGGCCAGCCTCCTTTCAAACTATCACCTACGTTTAAGAAGTCCCCAAGTCCTCAGAAGACAGACAGATGCCTACTCCGCACACCTGGGTGATCAGCTGTTACCTGTATCACTTTCCTAGTTAGCGCCTGTCTCTGACGGAGGGAACCACAATCCCGGACTAGCAGTGCTTTTCAAAACCCAGCTGTGTTCAGCTATACACAGCACATCTGGAAGGTGGAGAAGTTTGGACACACATGTCCCTCTGTGAAACATCCCCTGACACAGCTAGTGGACTGTTCACCGCACCCACAGCACCTCCTCCTCCTCCTGGCGCTCTTTCCCCTGCCCTGTCCCTGCCCCGGGAGTTCCTGGGAGGTCTTGTACCTCTGGAGATTGGGTTGCCTTTTCTAGAATGTTACAGAAATTGGATTATGTAACATGTGCCACCACTGGGAATGAGCCCAAGCCTTTAGCTGAGCTACATCCCCAGCATTTCATCGCTCTCCTTTCATTTTATTTATGTTGTTTTGTTTTGCTATTTTGTGGCAGGGTCTTGCTAAGTCCTTGAGTTACTCAGGCTGGGCTCTGACTTGCAATCCTTCTGTCTCAGCCCCTCAGTGCTGGGATTATAGGGAATGTGCTTTTTGTTCTGCTAAAGGATGTAATTTTTTTGCTTATGCTGTTTCATTTATAGTTATTTTGAAATTCATCAGTTTTGTTGGGAGTGCTAATAGTGTATTTCTTTGTATTGCTGAACAATACTCCTTTGTTGGAATGTATCATAATCTAGCTATTCAGTAGTTGAGGATAAATAGCTTTTCATTTGAATTATTCCCAGTGTTTGGCTATTAAAATGAAAGCCACTATGAACATTTGTGTACAAATCTCTTGCATAAATATGTAAGAGTGGCTGGCCATATGGTTATGTGTGTGTTGAGATTTTCAGAAGCTGCCAAATTGTTTTTCAAAGTGATTGTGCTAGTTGGCATTCCCACCATCGTTGTATGAAGGTTTGTTTTTCTGTCCTTGCCAGCACTTCATATGGTTAGACTTTTTTTTTTTTCTTTTTTTGAGAGAGTGTCTTGGTGTGTAGCCTAGGTTGGCCTCAAACTCACTGTGATTCTTCTGCCTGAGGCTCCCGGTTCTGGGATTACAGGTGTGTGCCAGCACGCCTGGTTTAGACTTTAGCTTGGGCCATTCTGATGCCATGTGGTAGCGTTTTGTGGCTCAGTCTTCACTTCCCTAATGATTTTTTTTTTTTTTGTCTTTTTCATTTTTATCGGTACCGGGGATTGAACTCACGACCGCCTGCTTGCAAGGCAGGTGCCGTGGGCTGGTAAGAAGAACAAAGCATTCTTTCAAGGACTGGGAGCCGGAGGATGAGGAAACCAGTTTCACCTGGGGAGGAGAAAAGTTTTACTACTGCTATGACATGGCTTTAGAGCTCCTTATTGCCCTCAGGGGAGCTTACCCAGCCCTGTGAGCACTATAGGATGACTAGCTTTCATTCAGGCTCCAGCGGTGACCAGGAGAGAGTGGGAATTTCCTCCTTTGGCCCTCTGAGTCCGATGGGAAGGGGGAGGTTAGCTTTGGATGTCTCCTATATTCAGTTTATGATCTGTGGTCCTGATGCTTTGCTAGACACATCAGTTTGGAGATTTTGTCTCCTAGCCTGAGATGGACTTTTTTGTGAAGAGTGGAGGTTGTTAGTTTTGATAATGTTCATTCATTTTTTTTTAATGGAGAGTGTTTTGTGCTGTGATTTGGAAATCTTGGCCTAATGTCATGTCGTGGCGACCCCTAAAAAAACCCAGGCTGCAGGCTCTGGGCAGCTCTCGTCCCTGGGTACTCTGCCCTCCAAGGTCCCGCCACTGCAGTGCCCCCAGCCTGCAGCGCTGTAGTCAGGGAGCGCCCTGCTCAGCGCCTTTCCCATTCCCTGCTCACAGCTTGCCCTCAGGGAGCCCCTGCTCGCTGATCTCCCGTCTCTCTGGCCACCATCTCCGGAAGCAGGGTTAAGCCTGCCCCGGGACCCTCGGTCTCCTGTATGTGGAGGGCAAATCTGCCTCCTGTCATCCGCTTTCACTGGCCGTGGAAACGCACTCAGGTCCTCCTTGAGCTTTCTGTAAACGAAGGCTTCACGTTGTGCCCCTTTCATAAAGGTGACATCAGTGGAACTAATCTGAAACGTACAGTTCAGGGGCGTTTGGCACATTCTGCCTTGTGCCACCATCACCTCTGTTTAGTTCCTGAGCATTTCCTCACCCTAAAGGAGACCCCCCTAGCTCCGAGAGCCACTGCTCTCCATAACCGGCTTCCACCAGCCCTGGCAACCCCACACTACTTTCTGTCTGTGGATATGCCTGTTCCTGGATAGCTTCATAGAAATGGAATCACGTGCCTGGCTTTATTCATTTAGCATCATGTTTCTGAGGTCCGTCCACGTTGTAGCACTAGTCAGCTCCTTTTCAAAGCTACATCATATTCCACCGTGTGAGTATTGCACACTTGTCCTCTCGTACGCTGATGGACATTCGGGTCATCTCTACCATTGGCTCTTGGATATGAGCCACCTATGTCCTCTTTTCTGGTGTCTGACTTTGCTTAGGTTAGTGAGATTCCTCTATGCAGTAGTACATCCTTATAGTCTGATGGTTCTCCTCGCCGCACAGGATCCCATTGTGTGACCGCACAGCGGTTCCCTTATTCGTTCTGTTTCCATGCGCTTTTGCATGGTTTCCAGTGTCCGGCCGGCACCAGCAGTGCCCTGGGGGCGCTTCTTTGGCCAGTGTGCCACAGTCACATCCTGGATGGAGCAGCCGACTGCAGGCTGTGTGCATCTTTGGTCCTTTTCAGTTCCCAGGGCTGCTTATTTCCTTTTTCACGTCAGGGCTAGTTACACAGAAGAGGGGCTTTCAGTGTGTCACACGTGTACCTGAGCGAAACACACCGTGATCACATCCGCCCCTTTCTTCCCACTCTAAGTCCCTTCCTCCTGCCTGCCTGACTCCATTCTACTTTCATCTCTGCTTTTTCTTACTGTTTCTCTCCTCTCTTCTCCATTTCTGTCTGTCTGTCTCTCTCACATGAGAGAGAAAACAAGATGTCAAAATATACGGTCAGTATTTAAACTGAAAAATGTATTACAGTAGAAGTCACATTGCCACTAATCCCCCTCAGAAAACTCCCCTTGCTTCAGACCCATCTGTCCGTCACTCTTGTTACTTTTGAAGCAGCTGGAAATCCTCTTTTGTGTCTTTTCATGGCTGCCTCAGGATCCTGGACTGATTAAAAATGTTGATAGCAGTTAAAAATGTTCCTGCAAACTACACAACTTCATTCTTCTTTACACCTGCATACTACTCCAGCGTGAGTATCACCACATTTTCTTTATCCATTCACCTGTTGGTAGGCACCTAGGTCTGCTTCCGTATCTTGCTATTGTGAATTGTGCGATAAACGGGCATGTGGGGTCCCCACATCTGCTGGCTTTGATTCCTAAGGGTGTGCTTCATGCTGCAGCTGTATCCGTGGTAGCTATGTTGGCAGATTCTGAGGAACCTCCATACTGGCTGTACTAATCACATTCACGCCAGCAGTGAAGAGGGTTCCTTTCCCCCTCATCCCCACCAACTTTTGCTGTTTACTATATTCTTGCTGATAGCCACTCCGACTGGGTAAGATGCAATCCACTTTACAGTTCCCTGACGGCCAAAGGTGAAAAACGTTTTTTCAAATAATCGTTGGCTATCTGTACTTCTTTTGAGAAGTGTCGTTCAGTTTGTTTTCCCACTTCTTGATAGGGATTATTTTTTAGTTCTTTGTATATCCTGAATATTAATCCTCTGTTGGAAAAGTAACAGGCAAAGACCTTCTCCCAGTCTGGAGGCTGTCTTTTCTCTCTGTTGGTTGTTTCCTTTGAAGTGCAGAGTTTTTTTTTTTTGTCTTTTTTATCAGTACTGGGGATCAAACTCACAACTGCCTGCTTGTGAGGCAGGTGCTTATGCCGCTGAGCTAAACCTCCAGCCCCTGTGCAGAGCTTTTTAATTCGACATCATCCCATTTGTCAATTCGTGCCGTTATTTCCCTGAGCTGTTGATGAATGGCAGCAGCTCTGTCCTCAGTGTTGCGGGGGGACGGTGGGTGGCACACACACCTCAGCCAGGGGTGGCAGCTGCTGCCTGGCCCTGGTCACTTCCCTGCCTTTGCTGTTAGAGTGGAGTGAGTGGACAGACCAATATTTCCCTTTTTCACAGAAGCCAGACATCTGGCTTTGATATTAAATCTTCCCCCAGTTTTTAAATATTAGAAATAATTCCATTTGTAAAAGGATGCACTTTGCATGAAAAAGTAATGAAGACTAAGAAATTGTACAGAACAGAGAGGAGACAGTCTTCCTGACAGGTAGTGCAATCCAATCAGATCTGGAGTTCAGTCGTAGTGCTGCGCCAGCAGGGGCCTCTTATTCTGCCCCACGTCACCCTGCAATGTCAGCTGTTAACAGAGAGTGACAAGGGAGGGGTTTGTGGGAGCCCTTCTCACTCTTGTCTCATCTTTTCTATAAATGTAATGTTTTTCAGAATTAAACATCTTCCACACCACACACACACACACACACACACACACACACGCTGCTGTAGGCAGGCCTGTGCAAGGACCTAGATTGTTCCGTCCCCACACATCCCTGACCTTTCTGTGTGGCTGTCCACTCTCCCAAAGACCAGACTCTTTGTCCCTGCTGCCCCCAACCCTGTTCTTGGTCCGGGTTTACCCTCAGGTGGCCCGGAGGCGTGAGGCACGGCGGGGGCTGCGCTGTGAGCTCAGCATGAAGGTGTTTGGGCACGAGCTGAGCTTTGTGGACTGCAGCGCACTGGAGGACCATGTGGGGCACTGGCCCCTGAACCTGGCCGAGCTCGCTGGCAGGCTCCTCAAGGTAACCCCCAACCTGTCCTTTACCTCCCTCTTCTTCTACATGTCCCCTCCTGCCCACTTTGCTTCCTCTGACTGCCTGAGTTCAAATCTCCATATTACCTAATAGCTCCTTGGGCTTTTTATTTACTTGTCATGGCCTTGATTTTTACATCTGTGAAATGGGGATGTTTATTCTTTTTTGCAGTTCTGGGAATGTTGTCCAAGGCCTTCTGCATACTAGACAAATATTCTACCACTAAGCTATGTCCCCAGCCCTGATATGGGGAAAGTAAATAAGAATCACAGCATCCACATGTCCTTGAGGGGGTTGTCATGGCTTCCAAGCACAGAGGGAGCCCAGAGGCATATACACCATGTGGGGGACAATGGAGTGCCTCTTTGTGCATTCACACGTCTCCCTGAGGCTGGGCCTCTTTTCCTAAGCTGACTGTCTGGGATCCCACCCCAGCTCTACTCACTCTAGCTGTGTGGCCTTAGCAGGCCATTTGCATCCAGGACCTCAGTATCCCCATCTGCAAACTGGGGTGATGTGTACTCCAAAGATAAGTGAGGCCTGAGTGTGTGGTGATCATTTTGGTTCTCTGGCAACAGGGACAGGAGATGCGGGTGACCCGGAGGCTGAGCCTGGTGGCCGGGGAGCTCATCTTTCCCACCATGTCGGGTCTCCCTGCCCGACTGACCTTCAACACCTCTGCTGCCCTCAGTCTCCGGGTGCGAGGATCCACCGACTTCCAGCAGCACTGGAACTTCTCTGTGACCAGCTCCATCAGGCCCAGGTAGCAGCTCCTTGGAGCTGGGGCAGACAGGACAGGGACTGCAGAGTCTTGGGGGTCCTGGGGGTGCTGACATCTGCACGGGCCAGGCGGGATCCCTACTCTGCAGGCAGCCCATCACACTATTGATTTTTGTGCCAAAATACCATGAGGAGATGCTAGGTTCTCCTGAGGGCCCATGTCATAGGTAGAAAAGACTGAGGCTCAGTGAGGTGAAGTCATTTGCACAGGGCTGCATAACCCCTGCAGGCCTGGCTTTTGGTCTGTTGCCTAGCTGACCTCTCCCGTCCACCCCTCTTCAGCCTCCAGGGGGAGGGAGGAGCCACGCCTGTCCACTGAACCCAGACGGCCACCTAGCAAGGCGGCACTTCCTTATTCCTATTGTGAGTGAGAGAACTGAGGCTCAAAACAAGAGGCCACAGGCCTGGGGGGGCCCACAGTGTGAAAACATGAGCAGAATTTGTATGACGTTCATTCGAGTCTGTAGCCCTTCACGGCTTTGTTGGGGATTTGTGCCATCACCCAGCCACACCGTCCTTGGGATCTGGAGCCTGACAATCTGCACATGTACATTGGATGTGCTTCGCCATGAACCTTAGAGCACTAGATCTGGGTTTGAACCCAGACAACCTGGGTTCCAGCATCTCAGCTGTCTCCAGTATCCGCCACAGACAAGCAGGAAGCCCTCTAGAGGGGCCTCCGTTCCCTCATCAGTAAGATGGACACTGGTGAGGACCAGGAAGCACTGGACGGTGCATGTGGTCAGTGGTGGACATGGAGCGCTGCCCAGTTCCACACGCAGCACAGGAGGACCGGGGTGGCGCCTGGCTGGTGCTGCCTGAGCCTCAGAGCAGCCTGTGCCTCCCTCACCAGTGTCCTGCTCCGGGTCTCAGCCCAGATGGGCACAGGAGGTGCCCTGGGGCAGGCTGGGCTGCAGTGGGTGACCAGCGTGCATGCTGCTGCCGGCCTGGATGGTGGGATCGAGGTGAGGAGGGGTCAAAACCTCAAGGTGCATCTGAACGTGCCCAAGGAAGAGGAGCTGGAGCTGCTGGGGTTCAGGTGGGTGGAGCTCTGAGAGGTGAGGGGTTCACTGTGGATGGAGCTCCAGTGACCCAGCATATGAGCGTGCTCATGGGCACCTCTGTGCATGAGCCTCTATCTGAGGGTGATCATGTGGGTGAGAATGCGTGTGTGTATTTAACACTCATGTGAGTGTGAGTGGGGTGTTCCTGTGTCCACGAGAGTGTCAGTGTCCATGAACACGTACGCTGGCGAGTATTGCAGGTGTGGGTGTTGTAAAGGTGAGCTTGTGTGCACAAGGGTGGTATGTCTGTGAAGGAGGTATGGGGTGCCAAGGGTGGGGCATGGATCTCATACTCCTCAGCACTTTTCTGGGGTCTCTCTGGATCAGCTCATTCCCCCCAGATTTCAGAGGGAGCAGAATGAACTGAACTCCCACTCACATCCTTACCCTCAGGGTTCTTCTCCATAGTAGCTGGGGGCCTTTACAATGTAAGTCAAGCCACCTGCTCTGCTGTTTAAAGCCTCCCACTTGCCTTCAGATGACCCAACTCCCTTCCACCACAGGGCATTTGCACTTGCGGCTCCCTGGGACCACAGTGCTGGCTCCTCCTCAGCCTTTGGGGCTCTGCTCAGAGGCTACCTCTGAAGATAGTCTCACCCCAGGGAGGGGAGATGGGACCTATTCCCAAGACAGATTTTCCCCTGCCATCTGGGGGTCCTTGCCTTCTGCTGAGATGTTTCTGGAGGGTGTCCCTGAGACTTCGAACTGCTTACAGCCTGATCGTGCCCAGGCAAGGTGTCATTTGTCCAGTAAGGGAAAAAGAGTGACTGCTCAGGGCTGCCCTCTTTCCCCACCAGCTCCGAGGTGTATCTCGTCACCAGCAATGGCACAAGGAGCCTCAGTCACAGACACAACCCCTCCAAGGCCAGATTCTGCACAAGCAGGGAAGGTAGGCAGCTGGGCGTCCAGGACATCAGTCCAAGAAGGGGCCCCCAGGTGGAGGGTCTGATGCCAGCTCCCAATTTGGAAGTGCTCTCTACTGCAGCCTGTCCTTCAGGGCCTCTGCTGCAACAGCTCACCAGAGGGAACACTGGAGTCACTCTTCAGAGCTTATGCACAGAGGTGCCATTGCATTATTACTTACAAGAGCCAAAACAGAACATGACTCAAGTACCTAACAGTGGGCTAAATAGCTGCTTTAGATGAGTCTGTGAATGTAGGGTGGGTTCTTATATTTTTAAATGGTTGAAAAAGAATCGGAAGAGTGTTTCATAATTGAAGATTTTGTGAAATTCAGATTTCAGCCTCCAGAAATAGTCTTACTGGAACACAGCCATGCCCACTCGTCTGCAAATTGGGTGGGGTGTTCAGCAGTAGCAAGGGGTCATCGTGACAGAGCATGTGGCCTTGGTCCTGTGCAGAAAGCTTCTGCCTACTCTTGATGTAATTATTGAGATATTGTATAACTTTCAACCCTATTGTGAATGACGTGTTTTGGCCACATGAGAAAACTGTTTAATGGAATCAAGTAGCTGCAACAGAATTTGATGCGATTTTCATATGAGCAAAAAGATACGGAGGAATCTAAGTAGTAGCGGATCTTGCGGTTATTTTTGGAGTAAATGCAGAAGCTACTCAATGAACAGCTGTAATGTTTTCTTGCAGATGATTTTCCTTCTCCCTCCCTCCCCTTATGACATGGGGATGTCTTAGGTGCTTTTCTCTTAGTTGCTGGGATAAAATACTTGACACTGAAAATGAAGGAAGGAAGGGTTTGTTTAGCTCACAGTTTGTGGAGGTTTCAGGCTGTAATCAGCTGGCTCCGAGGCAGGGTGGATGGCACGGGGGCAACAGGTCAAGGCGGCGGAAGACAGCAAAAGCAGCAAGAGCAAAAAGCGAGCAAAAAAGCCTCTTTTCTCCCTATACACAGGCTGTGCACACTATATCTGGAGTCCTCTTGCACAAGATGAGTATGTTTACAAAGTGAGGACCCTGGCTCCCTGCTGAGTTGCTTAAACATCTCAGATTGATACAGTGTATCAACAATTAAAGAGCCTTCTGCATCCTCAGAGCTGCACCCCAGGCCTTTTTATTTCAAGACAGGCTGTCTTAAAATTGTCAGGGCTGACCTTGAACTTTTGATCCTCCTGCCTCAGCCTCCTGAGTAGCTGGGATTATGTAAAATGGAAAACTCAAAGAAACGTCTCAACTTTCTAATTTCCTTCCATGAACATGTGTTTTGTTTTTTTTCATGAACATGTGTTTTATAATCAGGGTGATTAGACCTAAAACTTATTACCAGGGGGTCAGCATGCTTTTGAACAGTTGCTGACTTGTTAATCTTCACAGTTATGCTGAGGCAGGAACTATTTTGGTTCCCAGCTTAAGGTGAGAAATACCAAGATGTTAAGTGGTTTGCCCAGTCACTCAGCTGGGAGGGACAAAGCCCTAATTTGAAGCAGGCAGTCTTAGCACTGAGGTTGTGTTCCACATAGCACTGTCTCATGTTCTTAGAGTCAATACCAGGGGTTCTCAAGTGGGCATTTCTGCCCCAGGACATTTGCTAGTGCCTGATGACATCATCAGTTATCCTAACTGATAGTGGGGGCTACTGGCATTTACAGGAAGAGGCCAGGGATACTACAAACATCCTATAATATACAGGATAGTCCCCACAGAAAAAGATGATCAGTGTAGAGGCTGAGAAAGCACAGTCTACACCGTGCTGCCTTGGGATTGATGTCTACGAAGCTCACAGAGGCAATTCGAGACACACTTTCTCACCGCTGTGAACAGTCAGGCTCATGCTCAGGACCTCTGCCCGTGTCATGCTGGCCCCTGTCTCCCTTTGCAGTGTCCCAGGCCTGTGGCTGGCGGCTATGTGTGGCAGTCGCCTGGCCAGGCCCTGGCCTGCCCTTGCTGCTCCCTGGGCCTGTGTCTGCAGCTGTGACGCTGAGGAAGCAGGACCCCGGGCTTCGGCAGTACCTGCTGGAAGTGGCCTACTCCCTCCACACTCAGGTGGGTCCCAGGGGCCCCTTCCTGCTGCAGCCCAGCCAGGTTGGGAGTCTCCCCCAGTACAGTGCTGGGCCTCACCCATGGGACTTGTGGCTCCACCCTGGGGCTGTCAGATTAGGATGATCCCATTGGAAGCCCTTGTCTGCCCCAGGACCTTCACACATGCTGTTTCTCTAGGGTTCTAGGACTTAGCACCTTGAACTCAACAAGGAGGTTTGTCCTGTCACCATGGGATGCATTGCATACTTGGTTCTTTGCCAGGACTCTGTCTTAGACCATGATATGAGCAATGTCCACCCTCACCTCCCAAGTTGCTCAGCTCCTGGGCCATGAGCAGGGCCTGTTTTTGTCACTGTATCCCAGCACCTGGCCCCAAAGAGGCTCTCAGCAGCTTTATGTCTCACCTCCCAGCTCTGATCTTCTCTTCCTAGCATCCGTCCACCACCAGTAGCTAGGCAGAGCTTCTAGGACCCCAAACAGCTCATGCCCTCCTTTGCCAAGGAACCTCCTGTGACTTGCCTTAACCTGAGAATGGAGAAGCATTGCCCAGCAGCCCCTCATGCCTGAGATCCTCCTCTCTCCTCACCAAGCTCATTGCTGTTCAGATACTGCTGCTCCAGGGCCTTTGCACTGGCTGCTTTCTCTGCCAGGGGCACCGTTCCCCAGGCATCCGAATGTACTGTCAGAGGTGGTTTCCCGTGATCATTTGGTGTAGAACAGTTCCCCGTGGGGTCCCTTTGTCTGCCAACTTGGTCAGCATGGCACCCATCAGCAGTGGTTACAATCAGGTAACCGTGTCCCTGTCTCTCCAATAAGTGGGCTCCGTGGAACATGAATTCATGCTGACTCTCTACCTTGCATGTCACTGTGGGGCTCTGTAACCCCTCTCCAGTGCTGTGTACCTTAGCCGCACCCCGCTGTGTGAGAGGCAGTTTGAGTCTATGGCTGTGCTTCCCTGAGGCACCTGAGCCTGGATTTGGGCTGAGGGGGTTTCTCAAGAACAGGCCCCTGGGGGGGGGGGCAGAGCAGAGCCTGGTCCCCAGGGAGTCCCTGAGCTGGAACCCACAGGCCAGGGAGCTATGAGTTTGACTCCAGGGCTGCAGGGCCGAGTTCTGGAGGTCGCATCAGCCAGGAGTGGCACACAGGGCTGGTTGGAGATTGTCTTAGTCACTTTCCAATCGCTAGGACATAATGCCAGTCACAATTTAAAGGCAAGAGGTTAAATGTGGCTTATGGTTCTTAAAAGATTCAGTCTGTAGCCAGCTGGCTCCAGGCAGAAGAAAGTTGCTCATGCCACGTTGGCCAGGAAACAGAAGGAAGGAGCTGGGCCAAGAATGCCCCCTTCCTGGTCACAGCCCCAGTGGCCGTCTCTTCCGACCAGGCCCCCTCTCCTAATGCCACGTTCAGCTGTGACCTTGTTGGTGGCTGCATCCCTGACCGTGATAGCATCTCCACAATCCGGTCACCTTCCACCACCCTGCCTCTGGGCACATTCTAGATCTAAACCAGACTGGAGCTACCTAGGAACCTCCCAGCTGTGCCTCGGCCATTTACTCGCTGTAGCCATGGTCCTGGGCGGCTCCACAGAGCTCTGCCCACCCGGCTTGCTGCTCAGAGCCCTGAGAAGCTCCGGTGGATTTTTTTTTCTTGCAAGATCAAAAGCTCAAGTTTCTGCAGTGGGGGTGGCAGTCTTCTGTGGGGAAGAGGGGCTACCGCAGGGCAGGGCAGGGGTGGTCTTTGTCTTGAAAAGTCTGCTGTCTTTCCAGAAGGACAGCTGGTTCCCCAAGGAAGCCACTGCCCGCCTCTTCATGGGCACACCCCAGTCGGAGGTGCCCCGGGACGTGGCTGTGGACGTGAGCTACAGCCTGCTGCGGGGGAGGTGCCGCCTCAAGCTGCTCCATCCCAGGAGGAAAATGGAGCTGGATGGTGAGGACACACTCCTTGGTCAATGCCCCCTGACACAGTGCCATACCTTGGCTGGGCCCCTGCAGTGTGCTTGTCCCTGGGTTCCTGATGTCAGGGATGTGAAGGCTCAGGGATCAGGAGACTGTCAGGAGGGTGGCTGCCAAGGCCCAGAGGATCCAGGATGTGGAACCCTGGTCTCTAAGCTCCGGTTTTTCCCATAGGCAAGATAGAGGCTCTGGGGAGCAGCCGTGCGGGGCACCTGGAGCTGGTGGTGGATGACAGAGACGTGTACTACATCAAGGTTTGAGCCGCATCCTGTGCCCATGGCGTCAGCATCTGCCATCCCTGGGTGTTTCCTGCCCGGTGTCCTAGCTTAACAATGGCCACTTCCTCTGGACCTTTACTAATTCTTCCTTTTCTTTTCCTCCCTCTTCCCATCCTTCCTCCTCTCCTCCCTTCCCTCCTTCCTTCTGGGGCTGGAACCCAGGCCCTAGCACGTACAAACAAGCTGTCTACCACTGTGCTGCACCCCCAGGCCTCAGTCTTACCCTGCTGCCACAAGTCACGTTTGTTAGTGCTTGTTACCCAGAGGAAGACAGGAAATGGCTCAACTCCCACCACTCGTGTAAAAATATTAATTAATTAAATATTAATTAACACAAGGTTTAAAAATTCAGAGTAGAGAAAGATTTTTCCACATCTCTTGAAGAGAAGTACTGGACTACTTACCAACAAACTTGTATTTGTTTCTGAAGCTGCAGCAACAAAGTTCCCCAAAGTTGGGGTCTCAGCAGAACGTATTCCCTCATAGTGCTGGGGTCCAGAAGTCCAAAATCAAGATGTGCGCAGACTCAGTACCTTTGGAGGTTTAAAGGGAGAATGTGTTTGTATCCCCGTCCTAGATTCCAGTGGCCTCAGGCATTTCTCCCTCTTTTGGTGACTGTGCCCTAATTTCCCCTTTATATAAGGACCCTAGTCACACTCAGTTAAGGCTGATGGCCTCCTTAACTGGGTCATGGGCAAAGGCCCTGTCTCCAAACAAGGTCGCATTCATAGGCACGAGGGGTGAGGGCATCTTTTGAGGGAACGCAGTTCAGCTCCCAGAACTGTGCCTTTGCAAAACCTTTTAGGTTAGGATTTTTGTTTCCTTGATGATACCAGAGTTCAACACAGGGCCTTCTGTGTGCCAGACAGCTGGTTTACCACTGAGCTACATCCCCAGGCTTTGTGTTTTTGAATACGAAAGGATCACATCCCATTTTGTGTTTGCTCCTCGCTTTTACACTATACTCAAAAATATATCGTGGCAAACTTTTATACCAGCATACGCTGGCGCAATTCAGACTTAATTTGTTTTAAAAAATGGATAAGATACTTAAACAGTTCAGAGTTAGAAAGATACAAAAGTTTGTAGCCAAGCAACCAATACAGTAGCTGCCAGCTCTTGATTGTTTAAATGTAAATTACTTCAAATGAGAGAGCGTTAAAAATTGGCTCCTCGGTTGCACTTAGCCACCAGGACCAGGGGTTCTGGTGAGTCCTCTTAGATTCTCCCCACAATCAGCACGTGGGACAGGTATATTCCAGACCACTTTTCTGTTAACAATTAAGTGCCCCCTGCATGGTTTGAGGGTGACGCTCGATCCTGCTTGGACAGGCGTGCCTCCTCTAGGGTCCTCTCCGGTGTGTGTTCTCAGCAGTGGGATTCCTGGGTCAAAGCCTGCAAAGACTTTTGCCAGGTGCCTCTCAGGGACCTGGTGCAGCCATATGGAGGGGTGTTGAAGCTGTGTGTGTGTGTAAGTTTTGTGTGTACCCTGTCCTGGGGGCTTGAGTCCCGTTCTCAAACGTGTGTGACTCCAGAAAGGATGAGAACAGCCACTCTAGACTCACCCAGGCTGAGCATGAGCTCCGGCGCCTGTGGTGGTGAATCTTGACTCTGCCTCAGTTTCCAGTGTCTTCTCACAGACTCCTGAGTCCGAGGATCTGGAGCCAGGGCAGGAGTCTGTGAACGTTAAGGCTGTCTCTAGTTTGGCCGTGCATTGTTAGGTGGGAAGCAGCTGGCATCAGGAGAGCCCTGCCCTCTTTCTCTGAGAGCCCCTGCAGCCTGGTGCTGAGACTCACCCAGCCCTTCCAGCATCCCCAGGGGCCTGAGCTTCCAACCACTGTTTGCCAAAAGTGCAAGTGCTAATGGCCTGTACCTTCTGGTAGTTTCTGGTCTCCCCAGGGAGCTGTTTGCAGCTGGGAAATGAGAATTTGCTTTTGCAGAAATTGTGGGTGTCACCACTTCAGATCATCACAAAGGCATTTACAGCTGGGCTATGGAACTTTCCCAGGCCCCCATTCATGCCTTTGGAAACCTCATTGGAGGAAACCGAGGTAGACACACACATGTGTGAATACTCAGGTAAACACTGTGTCAGCTGCTGAGAAGCACGAGACCCTGGGTGGGCCCTGGTTGCCTCTAAGGAAAAGGACAGGAAGGCCGAGGAATGGAACTGAAGTCCATTTTTTCAGTGTCTATGCAGTGACCACTTATCAAGTATGTTTGATGCGCTCACCACTGAGAGACATCTCACTGCTGCAAAGACACATCTCCTTGTGCAGTTCACTTGTTCAGAGAGGGAAATGACAAGGAAAATAAGCAAACAGCACTGTGTTAAATATGGGGGACAAAAGAGCTGCGGAAAAAGGAACCGTGGAGTTGAGTTGAGGATCTGGAGTCTTCTGAGAGCAGGGCTCTAGGGCTGGCTTCAGTTTTAAGCAGGCTAACAGTGAGCCATCCTGAGACTGCATTTAGAGACAAGGACAGCATTGTGGAGAAAGCAGTGTGGTGATCTGGTGACAGCATTCCAGGTGAGGACACAGGCCCTGGGGTGTGCAGAGGCCCTGGGTGGGAATGTGTCTAGAGCGTTAGAAGCACAGCATGAAGTCCTGTGTGGCTGGAGGAGAACAGAAGAGGGGACACGGGGAGATGGGGGATAGGCTGGCCTTAGTGCAGAATAACCTGAAGACAGTAGTTTGCATCTATTTTTAAAGGACAAAGGTAACAATAAGATTTATGCAAAAGAGAGGGGTCAGATCACAAGAGAAAGGACTGTGTAGGAACAGAGGGTATTACTCTGACACTGGGTATTTTTGTTTGTTTATTGTGGCACTGGGGATTGAGCCCAGGAGCTTTGCACTGACCTAGACCTTTTTAATTTTTCATTTTGAGATAAGGTCTTGATAAGTTGTCCTAGATGGGCTTGAAATTATGATCATTCTGCCTCCGCCTCCCAGAGTGCTGGATCACCCACCTCTGCTTTCACACTTTTGATGTCTTTTGGATAAACTGATCAGGAGGCGGCAGCAGCCAGGTCTGTGGGGCTGGTCTTCAGTAGGCAGGGCCGTCTCTGCTGGGATGAGCTCTCCAGGAACCTCACATGCAGCCCTGGGCAGGGGTGGCACCCTGGGCCCCAGGTGGGACCCTGTCATACTTTGACCTGGTCTGCACCACTGATCTGCAGAGGAGGCACAGCCTTGCTGGCCTTGGCAGGCTTAGGTTTTCCTATGGATGAGACAGCATGCCATGGTCGTGTGTGTTCATAAGGGGTTGGGGTGGGAGCCAGGAGCAGGATGTGGGGACATGGGCTCATGACATGCAGGCCTGAGGCTGGGGTGGCAGGTGGGGGCAGAAGCAGTCAGATTGTGGATGTGCTGTGCAGGACAAGGTTGGGATGTGTGTGACTTTGTGACTCAGGCTGCTTATTTGGACAACAGGGAATTTTAAAATGTGAGAGAGGACCAGAGTGGAAGTCATGGGCTAAGCCACATCTCCTGTCTTCTCTCTGGTCCAGTTTGTGTGACCAGGCCAAGCCTGGCCCCTGGTGACACTGGGGCCTTTACAGGGCAGGAGTGACCTGTGGCCAGCAGTGGGTCATGAGGCCCAGCAGCTCGAGGCCCAGCTGGAGGTGAAGCTGGTGACAGCAGGAAACCCTGTGGTCCTCATGGGGAACCTCACGTGGCAGGGGGACAGCAAGCTGGCCTTCTCAGCATCTCTGCGTCAGGCTCTGAGTGACCCGGCCTATGTGACAGGTAGGGAGTGGGCCCCTTCTCAGTGGCCAGGAGCCATCCCCACCCTGGAGCCCTCAGGATTCACATCCTGTGTCTGCCTAGTGCCCCTCCAACCTGCCATTCCCCCCAGGACCTGAGAGGCAGCGGCAGCTTAGGGACCATTAAGATTCTGACCTACAGGAGGAAGATACTGGGCATTTGGACCTGAAGATCCAGGGTGCAGTTTGAACACAGCCTGCCTGGGCCCTGGAGCTGGGGTCGGGGCAGTGGCTGTGGCTCTGCTCCTCATGTAGTGGTCTGGAAGATTCCAGGGGAAGCCAGGGCTGGGCTGGGGGCGCTTGGAGCAGTGGCCATGGACCAGTGGGTGCGGCTGTGTCTGGGATCCTAAGAGCCAGCGAGGCTGGAGCTGCGTGTCCTGGCTGCCCAGCACTGCCGTAGAAGCAAAAGCTGCAGAAAGGGAAATTAGCCAGGTCTGGTGGCCAACACTCATCATCCTAGCTCTCTGGGAGGCAGAAGTAGGATCATAAGTTCAAGCCCAGTCCTATTTCAAAATTTAAAAAAACTTAAAAGATTTTAAAAGTATGGGAATGGAGTTTAGTGTGAAGACCCTTGGTTCAATCTCCTGCACTCAAAAACAGTGCAATTTGGGGGACCTCGTGATGTGTCATCATTTCCTTTGGCTTCTGTCCCATGCGTTTGGTTTTAATCTGCTTTGGGTTGGGGCCCACAAATGGACATTGCTTTGTCTACCACCTGTTGTCACCAGGGAGGTAGATGTCCTCCCAGGTGGTTCCCGTGGCCCCTCCTTACCTGTGGCTGGGGTATCATCCTGAGGGTCATGCCACCCATGCCGCCCTGCTGTCCCCACAGGGCAGCTGGAGAAGAAGGTGGAGGCCGGGCTGCGGGTGGCTGTCTTGGGTGCTGAGCTCCTGCTGCCAGGACTGGTGGCATTGCGTGTTCTGGGCCTGCTACAGCAGCAGGGTCACCACTGGAGCAGCTCACTTCGGATCAAGTACAGCCTGCTGGGTAAGATGCTGTGTCCAGCTGGGACGGGGGTGGGGTCTGCACCCATTGGACCCTGCCTGTTAAATATGAGTGTGTGTTGGGAGACTCTGACCTGGCCCTTGAAGCCTCCGTGGCAGGGTCCAGTGCTGAGACATGAGGCAGTACTGAGCTGGGGGTTAGGCGGGCAGGTCCCCTCTCCTTGTGGCCCAGTGGCAACTGCCGAGCAGAGGTCAAGGTACCGCGCTGGCCACACAGGTCTGGGGAAGCAGCCAGCACACGAGTGTGGCACCAGCCAGAAGCTGCGGGCCGGGAGTGGCACAGAGGGCGACCGCGAGTTTGAGCTGGACCACGAGTTCCACTGCACCCAGGTCCCCACCTTCAGCCACAAGGTGGGTGTGCAGGCCACACGGGACTCGGGGAGGGGTGCCAGGTTGGGGAGGGTGTCCGAATGCTCTGCGCTAGTCCCTCTGGGAGAGGCATTTGCTCCCAGTCACATAGCTATGTGGGAACACACGGGGTGGGCACTTCAGCCTCTGCCTCCAGCAGTGCGGTTGGTCATTATAAACCCCATTCATGTGCCCACCCGGGAGAGACTGTAGAGAAAGTGACACCTGGATTCTGGCATCGTGTTGCTGGGCAGAAACGGAGTATGAGAGAAAAGTCTGATCATGGGAAACTTAATTGCCATGAATGGTAAAACAAAACAAAACAAAACAAAAAACTGATTTGGGTTCAGCAGCGCAGAAACCTTCTTTGGAATTAAGTATCATTGAAACTGAAAATTAAAATATAAAGCACTGCTGTTCGCATGGACATGTGCTCCAGCAGAGGCACAAGTGCAAAGGGCCTGGGGTCAGAGTGGGGATGGAGTGATTAGGGAATCACCAGACTACCAGAGTGGCCTGAAGGGTGAATAAAAGGGAGAGCTGTGTTGTTGCTGTTGTTGTTGTTGTGGATTTACTTGTTTAAGGTTTGTTCCTTCTCAACTGTAATGTGTATGGGGTTGGGAACTTGCCTTCTTCCCTGTCCATTCTTCCCAGGTACACCCAGTCTCTACTTAGTGCTCAGGAAAAATGTGTTCAGTGATCACAGTCTGGAGAAGGCAGCAGAATCCAAGCTCTGCCCAGGGAGCAGGGTCCTGGCCGCCCTGGGAGATACAGAGCGTGCAGCTTAGGGTTTGTATGAAGCAAATTAGGTGTCTCTTCTCCAGGATGACTGGCAGGGGCACTGACTCTTAATTCGATAGCAAGTGAGGCACTTTCCTCGGTCCCTCAATCTAAGGGGGTGCTACAAATTCAGCAGTCAAGGTGAATCTTGGTCTCATGTCAAGTTTACAATCACTGTCAATGTAAAACCTCCCAACTTCCTACAGAAGTGTCTCCCCAGAGAAGCAAGCTGACCTCCCTGGATTGGTGGCCTGTGAGGGCCTAGGGCTGAGTGGGCAGAGCCTCCTGGGGCTCACTGCTGGGGTGTCCCCAGGTCCGGCTCCAACACCAGGAGAGCCGGGGTGGGCTGCGCTCGGAGCTGGAGGTGAGCTACGGGAGGCGGTGGAGGGAGAGCGGCAACCAGAAGCGCGTGCACATCGGCCAGACCTTCCGCAAGCACTGGGGGCCTGCGCTCAGCAGCTCCTTCCTGGAGGTGAGCGGGCTGCGGGGGGGCGGGGGCTGTGTTCCCCCAGTGTGGACACTGGGTCAGGGAGCCCACGCACCGCTCCCACTCTGACTGCAGGCTTAGAGGTGTCCCTGGGAGGTAGAGGCAGGATCAGTGCTAGGACTGACTCCCCCAAGGGCCCGGACAGGCCGGCTTCCCCCTGTGCTTGGGGATTTGCTGGAGGGTTCTTTCCGGTACTCAGGATGGTTGGTTGAGGGTTCTCTCAGACACATAATTTGGTGTATTTACTTTTAAATCAGTTTTAAATTTAAATTTTAAAATTGTGGCTATATACATTATATATATATATATAATCTACTATTTGAGCCTTTTGTTTGTCTTTTGTTTGTTTGTTCTTTTGGTACTGGGAATTAAACCTTGGACCTTTGCACTGAGCTACATCCCCAGTCCTCTTTAGGGACAGGGTCTCACTATGTCACTAAACTGCCTGGGTTGGGTTTGAATTGGTGATTCTCCTGCTTAATCCTCCCAGAGAGCCGAGATTACAGGAATGCTCTGTGCCCGGCTCCTTTGGAACCATTTTTAATTGTGTATTTCAGCAGCAGTAAGACAGTCACATTACTTCTGTGAATTGCTTTTTTTTTTTTTGTATTGTTTGTTATCTAAACAAATATTTGCTTTTTTATTTTGATCAGTAGCAAGGCTCTACATACCTGCAGGATCTGTATCATGCTACTACTCTAAAATATGATTATTTCTTTTATTTGCTTGGAGTTTTTGTTTTCCTTTGTTTTATTTTAGACAGGGTCTCACTATGTATTTCAGGCTGGCCTTGAACTCACTGTGTAGCCTAGGCTGGCCTCCAACTCATGGCGATTGTTCTGGCTCAGCCTCCCAAGTGCTGGGATTGCAGGCTTGTGCCACTATGTCCTGCTGGTAATATCTTATTTTTGGAAAATATCTGGCCTCGGTGTCTTAGTGATGGGATTAGGGACCTGTGCCCGTGTTTATTGTTTCTGAAGTGTGAGCTTTATCCCCTAGCTGGCAGTGAGTGGAGGTGGAAGGGCAGAGGGGCAATGCCAGCCATGCCACTGGGCCTCTGCTTGGTTTGCTTTATCATTTAGCCCCTGGGAGGTGCTCATTATGAATCTTTGCTTTAAAAATGAGTAATTGGGTAAAAGGACTTGTTCAAGGTCTCTTTGCAGCCTGTTCGTGTCAGCATGGGATTGAATTTCCAGTCCACCTCCCTGCAAACCCCGTATTCTTTACTTTGTGGCTGGACCTGGCTGTGCTAGATTAGTTTATCATAAAATAATCAATTGAGTGACCCCTCAAGAGGAGAGAACACTTGCCCCTTCACACCCTGAGTTCAGTGTTATTCTGAAATCAAAACCAGACAAAGCCGTGTCCAAAAGGCAGACTATAGACTCTTAGGATACAGATGCAAAACTCAAGAAAATCTTATCAAATCAAATTCTACACCTCAGCCACCTTCCTTTTTTGACCGCACTCCATCTCTAAACCACATAGTCAGCTAGAACTACTCCCGGAACTCATCCATTGATGATTGTAGCACCCCTGGAGGGCTTTCCAAAAGCCCTCCCTAATTCTGAACACCAGACTTGGGGGAGGAGACATTTGAGATACACTAACATTCTGCTGCTGGTCTCAAAAGCCTCTTGTTTCTTTATGCAAAATGCATACGACCTATCTCTAAGAATTGCCAGTTGTAGTTCAATCTCCATACCAAAAAAAAAAAAAGAGAACATTTAACACTTCCCACATAGGGTAAATACTCCCATTCCACAAGGGAGGACAAGAAGATAGAAAGGAACTGGACCAATGCAAGATTGAAACCCAGCATGGCAAACGTTAAATCCTGTAATTCTGCGTCCTGCACTCAGGGCATGTGGTAGGAGAGGCGAGCTCCAAAGATCTTGGGCAGCCTTGCCAACTATGGCACTGCCAGTTGCAGCCCAGCCTCTGTCTTGGCCTGGTCCTCTCACTGCCTGTTGCTTTCTTCCACGTTCCTGGTGTCTCCAATTTCTTGGGGTCTCCACTGTACCTTTGGCTCACAGCTGTATGCAGTGCCCTTTCAGGAGCACACTGTCTGGCCCTTCCTTTAAAATCTGGGTGGAAGCTTCTTTGAACCTGTAATTCCTGCATTCTGCATGCCTGCAAAACCAGTACCACATGAATGACACCAAAGTATGCCGCCAGCATGAGCAGTAGCCTGGCACCCTTGGGTCTGTAGCCGTAGCAGCCTCTGAATGCTTGGATGGGCTGAGTAGGGTGGAATTAATCTGGGGTAACCAATTCCCTAGAGGCTCTTCTATAGCAGGGGGATTAGGTGGGAGGACTTGCTTAATTTCTGAACTTCCCAAGCTTGGCTCAACCTTGCCATCTTCCTGCTTCAGCCTACTAGAGTATTGGGATTATAGGCGTGCACCACTAAGCTTTCATTAGCTTTCCCATCTGGTTAGAGGGTGAAGAGCGTGTGGAAGAGCAGCAGGAGCCACACTGCAGTGGTGGGCTGGGGTGTATCCTTAGCCAGCCAGCTGCGCCTGGCTGGGAGAGAGCCAGCGGAATGCCTGAGGCCCAGAGCTGCACAGTCCATGGCTTCCCGGGTGTGGCCCTTCTCCAGTTTGTGCTGCAGGTACCCGAGAAGCAGGTGGATTGCCGTGCACAGCTGCACAGCTCGAGCCTGAGCTGGCCGCACAGGGAGGGCAGCACCCACCTGAAGGTGCAGCGCAGCGGGTGGCCGCCCCTTGTGGCTGGTCTGCGGTGGAAGGACACATCCCAGGCCACCCTGTGGAGATGGGAAGGTGAGTGTCAGCTGCGGGGCCTCCTCGATCATTGGTTCATGTTTATTACCTACAGATCTATACTCAGGCTGTGTCCCCCACGTGGGACACCTTTTTTATGTGCAGGGATAATACAAAACTCAGACCTCGTGCGTGTCTCACAACACTGGGAATTACACCCTAATTTCTTACCCTCGCTAACTGAGCTCACATCACTGGGCCTTGCTTCCTTCTCCAGCCGTATCTCACCTCATTCTCCCATTAACTATTATTTTTCAGCTCCTCAGACCTCTTTTATGTTCCCCAAACATACTTCAGGCTCTTTGTGCTTGCCGTTCCTTTCCCCTAAAAAATTATTTTTCACTTCTGAAAATGTGTTTACTGTAGTTTACTCTAAAATCAACTTTAATTCAAACCATCCAAAATGTAAAAGTGAATGAGTCTGTTCACGTTGGGTTAATGTTACTTAGGGGCTAATTATATTATATCTGTTAATGTATGTACGTAAGATGCATTTTTAAAAAGTAAAGTTTATATGAAAAATTATCCTCTGCCTCCCAGCTTCATATCCCAAACCTTGCTGACCACGGCAACCACTGTACATTCTTTCATGTGTCTCTTCAGTTATATGTTTTAAAGTAATATAATGAGGCTATTATTTCTTGACTTTTCTGTTTTAGGCATTCCCTGTAGATGTCTTAGCAGAAAGGATTGGGAATTCAGCTCTTACCCTTGTCATCTAGCTGTTTACCTCTATCTTCTTGAAAGCATTGCATCCTGTTAACATTAATATTTCAAAATTGTTAGCATTCAATATGGATATAAAAGGACTCTATCCTGCGTGGCTGAGGCATATGGAATAGTGCAGTATAACTTTTTGGTTTTCCTGGAGTTATAATTGCCTTTCCCCCTTCTGTGTTTGATTGTTTTTCCATTTTCCTCCTACTAATGTTTCCCAGAATTTTTAGCAACATTGCAAAACTCTTCTCCAGATGATCAAACACAGATGGCTTATCAGCTTCAATCACTTGTGATAGTTTCTTCAAAGACTCTTTCCAGAGCTTCTGGGGCCCCTTCACCACCATCCTGGGCGGGCATTCCCTTCCCTTCTCTGAATCACAGAGGAGACCCTATATTTTGTGCCCTTGTTATCTGCTTTCATTGTTTACTCTTTCGTTCTGATGAAGCACATCTTCCAGTCGCTTCCAGAGGGCATACGGTTTCCAACGGCTGCTGGAAAACGATCGCAAATTGAAAGTCTTAGAAAAACAAGAAGTGATTCTATGACAGTCCCAGTGTTTAAAATACTGAAGCCAAAGCGTCATCGGGCCATCTTTCCTCTGAGGCCCAGTGGAACTTTCCTTGCCACTGGGTGCGGTAATGTGCACCTGTAATCTCAGCGCCCAGGAGGCTGACGTAGGAGGACTGCCTTGAGTTCAAGGTCAGCCTGGGCCACATAAGTGAATTCAAGGCCAGCCTGAAATGCATAGCAAGACCCTGTCTCCAAAAACAAAACAACAGACGCACACACAAACAACTTTTCCTGCCTCTTCATGGCTTTTAGAAGTGACTGTCGGTGTTTGGTGTTCTTGGTTTGAAGCTGTGTCTGCAATCTCTTTGTGTTGTCTCATGTCATCCTTCAGGTGTTTCTGGTCCAGTTTTCCTTCTGCTTAGAAAGACAGCAGTTATAGCGATTTAAGGGCCCGTCTTACTCTAGTATGAGTTTGTTTTAAATAATTATGTTTGCAGTGACTATAACCAAGTAAAGCCGCATTTGGAAATATTAGTTTAGGATTATTGAGGGTGGGATTCAACTCATAGTAGGCTGTAAACATTTCGAGACCTTGACTGTTTAACATGTTTTTATTCTGCCCGAGTATTTGACTGGGTAAAGAAATCAAGACTGGAAATAATTTTCCCTTGGGATTTTGAAGTCATTGATTGCTGCTTGCTTCAAATTAGTTGAGAAATCTGAAGCTACTTATGACCCATCATTCTTGTGTGGGTCCTGTCTTAGATGTTTCAGGAGTTTCTGTTTATTCTTGGTGTCATTAAATTTCATTGCCGCGGGCCCCTTAGCACAGGACTTTGCGCTGTGGAAGTGCCTCCCTTCTGGCAGTTTTCCTGTACAGTCTCTTTGTTGATTTCCTCACTTCTGTGTTCTGTAACTTGTGTCAGTTCCCAGAAACGGAGCCCGTAGTTTTCTTTCCTTCCTCTCTTTTGTTCTCTTTCTTTGTCCTTTTGTTCTGTCTCACTTCCTCAGCTCCTATGGATATCTTTCATTTGCCTCTTTTGCCTTCTCAAAAGCTCTTCTTGTTTCTAAAAATGCCCTTCTCTATGAATGAATTATCCTTTCTTTTCTGAGAATATAAAACTGAAGAATTTGCATGGAGGTTATCTATTTCCTCTTAAGATTTTTTTCCTGTTTCTATATTTTCTTGTGGAGCCATTCCCCAAGTGCCATGTGCGTGTGTTTGAGGTGACTACCCAAAAACGTTGTTCCCCCTGGTTTTTCTATCATTTATTTTTGTCTTTTTGAGCCATGGTCTCACCGTGCAATTCAGGCTGGTCTTGAGCTCACTTTGTTTTCCAGGCTGGTCTTGAACTTGCAGCAATCCTCCTGCCTCAACCTCCCAAGTGCTGGGATTACAGGCATGCGCCACGACGCCCAGCTTATGTTCCCCTATTTTAAAGCAGGGTTAACTATGTTTTGGGGTATATTTAGAATTTGTTCAAGGATTTGATGATGATCAGCACTTCTGCAGAGTTTGTGATCTATTGTTCTGGAGCAGATTTTTGAAAGTTTGTTAATGAAAGCCTTTTTTTCTCTAAAACCCATTTGTAAAATCTGGAATACCCAACCAGATTTTTTATAAGGTCTGAGTGTGTCAGGTGCCAGCTGAGATCAATCAACAGAGATAAGATTGTATGATCCTGATACACATGAGTGAAACAGGAGAGGCTGGAGACTTTCCAAAGCTGTCTGGGAGGAGGCTATGTGCGTGGTGATAGGTGGGGGGGTCAGCAGAAATCTGGGACCCAGCTGTCCTTTGACCTCCAGGGATTCCTTCCTGTGGTTCTCATCTCCTCTTTTCTGTTCTGATCTTTTTCTCTTCCTCTCTTTTTTCTTTTAGTACTGGGGATTGAACCCCAGGGCTTTTGCACTGAGCTACATCCCCATCTCTTTCTATATTTTTTGAGAGGTAGGTTGCCCAGGTTGGTTGCTAACTTGCTCAGGCTGGGTGTAGACTTGAAATCCTCCTGCCTCAACCTCCCAGAGTGCTTGGATTAAAGGTATGCACTACCACACTGACATCTTAGTATTTCTTTTTCTTAACATTTTATTATGAAAAAAACCTCAAACATACAGAAAAGCCAAAAGAATTTCACAGTGGACCCCAAAAGCCTCTTGAACTAGAATCTACCAGTCACACTTTTCTCTATTCCCCTGCTCCCACATCTGTGTCCTCTATATCCCTCTTCTTGTTCCAAGTAAGATCTAAACATCGGTGTATTCTGCCCAAACATTAACCGGAGTGAAGGCACAGCTCTCCAGGGTGCCACCGGGTGAGTTTAGACAGGTGCGTGAGCTGTGTACTCTAGGTTCCTGTCAAGATCCACAGCATTACTTACTCGGGAAATGGCAGGAGCTGTTGAAGCTGGAGGTTGATCACATGTGTGGGGCTAAAGCAAGGGCTTCCCAGAAAAAAACAGAGACCAAAACAAGCTATGTGTACAAGTTGTTCCAGCACCAAGAAGGCAAGGGGCCCAGACCTGCCAGGCAAACAAGTTGCTAGGCAGTGGGGTTGAAATCGACATCCTTGGGGCTGGGGATTTAGCTCAGCGGCATAAGCACCTGCCTTGCAAGCAGACAGTCCTGAGTTCAATCCCCGGTACTGATAAAAATGAGAAAGAAAAAAAAGAAATTGACATCATTTTTTTGGAGGTATAAATAAATGCATTGGATGAGCTGTTCCTTTCCTCCCATCAGGAGGATAAGGCTCCACCTGACCCCAGCTTTGTCTCTCCTTTATTTTTCTCATCCTCTTGGGGTTCTTAACCCCAAGAACCTCAGGAGCCACATGGGTTGCGGCAGGGAAATTCCTCACATTCTATCCCAGGGGTTCTTGATTTGGAGATGTGCTTGTGAAGAGACCTTGGAGCCTCTTGCTGCCTGCCCAACTCTACCCACCCCACAGGAGCCGTGAACCTGGACAGTCCGTGGCTGACAGTCTCTGAGTCTCACAGATTGTCCTGGCCCCACTCAGCCAATTTCCATGCTGTCCTGGAGCTGACCCTGAGCAAGGCGTGGACTCTCAGGGACCTGGCAGTCAGCGTGGTGTGCAGGAGCCAGGGCCTCCACAGGGAGGGCACGATCCAGGTGTACACCAGGACCACCACCTACCTTCGGGTGAGCAGTGCCGCTGGTCCCTTCCCTCCCATCGGCTACCTCGGGCTCCCTGCCTCTGTGCAGAGAGGAAACTAGAAGGTGGGAATGGGGATCCCGCCTGCAGATGGGTGCACTCTGGCCTTCCCAGGGCTGAGAGCCATCAGAAGTGTTGCTGAATGAATATATGAGAGAAACGGCCTTTAGAAAGAGCAGAGATTTCCACGTTACTGTGTAGAGGTTGACGGGGAGCAAAGTAAAACTTTGAAAGCAGGTCAAAGAGGACCTTGGAAATAAGTAGTCCTAGACTTTTGTCAAAAACCAGAAGGAAAACATCAAGGTCTCAAGGCAGCTTTATGTCAACTGCTAAGTACACTGACGTGTTTCTTTGTGCGTGTTTGGCACAGAGGCTGACACTGCTGGGGAGAAAAGTGACTATGTCCACCTCCAGCGGGGTTCCTGGGAGCCAGGTCCTAGCCACACGCACAGGTGGGGTGGTGGGCAGGCTGAGCTACTCCCAAGGCAGGGCGGGGACTGCCAGGGTGGGGTCCAGGCAGTGGGATCTTCTGCTGACTGAGGACTGGAGGAGGCACGGGGCAGCAGGAAGAGCCAGAACAGCAGTGCAGCAGGCGGCCCATCCCTGCAGGTGGCCCAGCCAGCAGAGATGGCAGCTCAGCAATGTCCATATACCAGAGCTGCCAGGTTTGCTGGCGAGCTGGCTATGGGGAGGGAGTGCAGAGCAGGAGAGAGAATACTCTCTCATCCCCGGCAGCCGGGCGGAAGGAAGTGCTGTTTTCCCAAATAGGGAACCCGGTGCAGGGAGACCAGAGACTCGAGCAATGCCCAAGAGTCAGGGACGTAGAAACAAAGTGGCCCTGAGTTGTAGTGTTTGACCAGAGGTTTGGCAATGGCCCCTGGAGCCCCCTGCGGTTCTGTGTGAATGAGGAGACTGCAGCCAATAGGACCCGGGCACCGTGTGGGTCCAGTGCCGGGCAGTGGCCACAAGTCTCTGCTTCCCAGACCCAGTACAAGGCAGAATCATCAGATCTCTCCAGGGCTCTGACAAGCCCTGGGTCAATGAGAAGTCGCTGCCCGTAAGCACCCCTCAGTGTCCAGAGGGCCTCTCACTGGTAATAGTGGTCCAGTGAGATCATATTTCCTTTCCAAACTGAAGAAGGTACAGCTATGAGGTGTGATAGAAATATATGGCAAATGCTCAAATTTTAAAAATTTATTACAGTAAAAGACACATTGCTAATAATCTTCCCTCACTTTGAACACACGCATACCATTGTTCTGGCCACCAGCACTGGAAGCCCTCTTTCCTGAGTGTCTCCACAAGGGAACAGAAACACAGTGAATGCTGCTGTTGAGCACCATCCAACAGGAAGGTTCACAGAAACGTGGTGGTGGGTCCTCATTCATCTTGTTCACGGCATCTGTCACTGTGTGACTTCTGGCTCCTCCCCAGAGACAAGCTGACCCTGAAGGGTCAGTGTTGGGATTAATTCAGGGCATTGAAGCAGCCATGATAGCACAATTAAAGACAAACCCAAAGAGGGCTTCCACAACAGCTTCTGGAGGTGGCAAGATGAGTGAAGCACGGTGGAAAATGTATCTTTTACTGTAATAACTTTTTATTTGTACATTTACCTTATACTTTTATCACACCTGATAGGTCTGCTAGTGTCAGGGGTGATAGAAAGTTTTTCTTCCTTCTGTAAGGGATAACCAGCTCATCTGCGTCAGTCAGGATAGGACCTATGGCAGTGCCTTTGGGAGGAATGGGTTTTGAAGGGTGAGTAGGAATTCACCAAGCAGGAAGGAGCTGATGTGGCATTTCAGGGGGAAGAAATGAGGTGTTCATGATTTGGTCATTCTCCCTGCCTTGCTGTAGGTTTCCATGCTGATAACCATGGCCCCAAGCCTCTTCCACAGCTGGGTGGAAATAGAGTCGATTTGGAGCACCGCGGTACAGAGCGAGGTCCACACTGAGAACAGCCAGAACCAAACGATTCTTCACTGCTGGCTGAAGGGCGCCCGGCGGGAGCTGAACCTCACAGCAGCCTACAGGCACACAGAGCGGGTGAATCCTGAGCTGCACACTTGCCCCCTCCTTCCCTCCCTGCTTGGATTCCAGCCGCATTAGCGCAGGCCCTGAAGCCCAGACAACCTGCTCCCCGCTGGCTCCCTAGGGAGCTCTAGGTGCAGGTGGTGGTGGCCATAGGACTTCGTGGGAGGTCCAGACACAGCAGGAGCTCTGGTCCTTGGGGTCTAACAGAGAGAGGCTGCAGCTCACTTAGCAGCCTTAGGTGGCAGAGCTGAGACCACCCTCAGGCTGCCTTCCCTGGGCAGCTTGATCAACAACCCATGTCTCCGTGCAGCCCTGGAAGACCCAAGCATCACTGGCCGCCCTGAGCACCAGCACCGGGGGCTCACTGCATGGCCTACAGCTGGAGGGTGGGCTGGAGGAGCAGCGACACAGCAGGACACTGTTTCAGAAGCGAGGCTCCCTGTTCCTCAGGTGTGTGTGCCCTTCATCCAGCTGACCCCCTTGGTGTGATAACAGGCCAGGTTTCTGTTTCTTCAGCCTGGAGGGAGACAGTAGCACAGGTGGGTGAAGCCCTGGGCCTGGAGAAAAACTGCCTCTCCTGACAGCCCCACATCCCTACTCCCAGCGGTTAGCGGAAATGGAAGCGGAAGTCTTTCCAAGTCCTTGCACACAGCCGATGAAAGGCTCTTCCTCCTGGTCAGGGCCAAATCACCTCCCAGCAGAACAGCAGCAGTGAATGAAAGTGGCAGCAGCTGCCATTTGCAGAGATCTCATGTGTTTAATTCCATTTGCACTACTGAGCATCTACTGTGTGCCAAGCCCTCTGGGCACAGGGGAGGCAGCAAAGAACAGAGAGAAGGGGTCCTTGCCCTTGGAGCGCTTGTGTTCACAGCAACTGCATTGTCTCTAATCAACCACTGTGTGATGAGTGATGCTATTATCATTGCCTCATGTTACATATGAATGGGGAAACTGAGGCATAGAAGTCAACCCTTCTACCCACCTCACTGGCACGGGGAGATGGCCACTGGTGAATCCTGAAGCCCAGGGCTGCCACGGGTCCTGCTCTTCTCCTCTCTGTGAGCTTAGCTCTACAAGCTTGGGACAGGCCTAGCCTGAGACTGTGTGTCCTGGCTGTGCCCAACCTTGCCATGTGATTTAAGGGTTTGGCCAATCTTCCCCTCTACATGCCAGGCACCCCTGGCACCTGCCTGTCCCGCAGAGCCTCCTGCTGGAGGGGACCTTCACCACAGACAGGCGACACCAGCGTCACTCTCTGGAGACAAGGCTGGTCCTGAATGGTCAGGAGGAAGCAGTGCAAACTGTGGTCCTGGGCTGCCAGGCCAGGCACCCCTATGTGAGTGGCTCCTGGGGTGGGGGCCGGGAGCAGGGCAGTCCTTCCACCCCACCTCCGACCAGCTCTGCAGTGTGTGGTTGTCCCCAGGTCTGTGCAGGCCTGACCCACCCCTTCGATGACATGGCTGTACCTAGGAGCTTGGAGGGATGCCTGGTCGCAGGGAATCAGCACCACGTAAGTGAGCAGACCCCAGAGCCACGGCCCCAGAAGGTACCAGTCCAATAGCCAGAATCCCTCACTGGGACTAACAAAAGGGTTCCCCCCAGTGCCCCCTGCTACCTTCTGCTTTTCAGTCAGGGGCTCTGCTCAAAGTGCCAGCATGGGCATGCACCTCACCTAATGCCCTCATAGCTGCTCCTGGGCTGACCCTCTGGTGGTGCTGACTCTGCTGTTTGGGTTTGCTCCATCCAGCCTCCTCATTCCCTGGCTTGATTCTTTCCTGCTGCAGGACCTTTGCATATTCTGTTTCTGGAGCTGCTCCAGCTTTGCCTGCTTCCCTCCCATCTGTTCACCATTGTGGGTTAAGCCCAACATCACATCTTCTAGGAAACTCTCCTCTCAACGCCCCTCCCATTCTCAGCCTCTCAGGACCCAGACCTTTGGCCTCCAGTGTCCTCCCCTGATCCCAGTTCGGTTTTCGTGTGACAGTCGGGTCAGTCTCTGTTTGCTCTGCTGGCCTGAATACTCATGACTGACGCAGGAGAGGTGCTGACCAATCAGGTGTTGCCTTCATACTAGGAAAAACCCATTGTCTTCCATCATCCAGTGCAAGGTCAGCTCGCTTTCTGGAAAGAGCCAGACAGTAACTGTTCCAGGCTCTGTGAACCTTGGGCCTCTGTCATAATGACTCGGTTTTGCCCAATCTATGGGGAAGCCCCATAGATTGCAGGTTAATAAGTGGGGCATCTGTGATCAGTAGGACAGTGGTGGTGAACCTGTGATACATGTGCTGTAGCCAACTGTTTGTTATTACTGATAACAAGCTCTAAAAGGTTCCCCGTCACTGCAGTAGAACCTCATTCCAGGCAGGCACGTCGGTGCACACCTGTGATTCCAGGACACTGGGAGGCTGGCAGGAGGATCACACATTCCAGCCCAGCCTACACTAGCAGCTCAGCGAGGCCTTGTCTCAAGCAATAAAAAAGGCCTGGATGTAGTTCTTTGGGAAGGTCCTAGGTTCAGTCCCCACTACCAAAAACCAAACCAAATCAAACTTTAGTTACAAAAGGAGTCTGGATTTGACCTGTGGGCTATAGCTTGGCAACCACTGGCTCAGAGGGGCTGGCATTTAGCTTTCTAGGCAGGAAACTCACACTTGCTGTGTGTCCCTGACAAATGGTTTCACACCTCTGGTTCTTAATGTCCCTCCCTGTCTAGTAGGGCAGCAGACTCACTCCTCAGCAGTGGCTACGAGGGAAGACATGAATGTGATGTCATGCCAAGTATGGAAAATATGACAGCCTCATTAGAATCCCTCCAGGGGAGTGATGCTGGGGTCACTGTATTTTGCAGCATGCATTTATTGAGCACCTACTGTGTGCTCAGCCCTACAAAAGACTAGGGTGCTTTCCGTCATCTTGGAAGGTGGGTGAGTCCTGGAACCAGCCCTCCTGGGCCTCACTTCCTGTCTGACAGAGGAGGCTGTGCATGGCCCCTTGAGGCTGGGCAGCAAGTCCTCAGAGCTTTGCAAGGATACAGAACAGGATGTCAGCCCACAACACCTGCAGACACAGCTCCCAGTGGACAAGTTTACAGTTTCCTCAACCGGAGATTGCAGGATGGCTCTCAGGACCAAATCCAACCTCCAGATGTGTTTTGTTTGGCCTGCTTAGGATCTAAATTTTTACTTAAATTAATTTTTAGCATTCAAAAATTGGAAGGTTGAAACTAAAACCTGGGTTTCTACTGTCTATAAGAAAAAAAAATCCAAAGTTCTTACCACACTGGGCCTCAAATCCAAGCTGAAAATTACAGGCTGAAACTGAGTGTGGGGGAGCCTTTAATGTAATGGAGCTCAGCTGTGTGCTTTTTAAAAACTGTCTGTGTTTATTGACACACATTTTTCTACTCTCTTGGGCTCTTCTAGCATTCCAGTTCCAAAACAGAGTCGTAGATTCCTTTGTCTTAAGCTTTCCAGCAGTGACACAATCCTGTTGTAAATCAATACAGCTAGGAAAAGCTGCCCCTGTGTCCCACTGTGTGCTGGGCTAAATGGTTGCTGTGTGCATAAATGACTAGCTGTATGTAGTAGTTTCCTACTGCTGCTGCTACAAGTTCCTCAGAACGACACAGATTTCTCTCAGTTCTTCATTTCTGAATTCCAAAACAGCTCTCAGCTTCGCTAAACTTGTGGTGTCAGCAGGGTTTAGTTCCTTCTAGAGACAGAAAGGAAAACTTCTTGCTTAGGGTTTCCAGCTTCTAGAAGCCACCTGCCCCCTTCTGTCTCCAAAGCCAACAGTGGCTGCTTCCAGTCTCTCATTCTGACCTCTGTGTCTGTTCTCATAAAGATTCTGTGGTTACATTGGACCAGCAGATAATCCAGGATAATCTCCCCACCTCTAGATCTTTAACCCAACCCATATCTGCAAAGTCTTTTTTCCATGGAAGGTGATGTATTCATAGGGTCCAGGGACTGGGACCTGGACTTAACTGCGGAATGGGTACTCTTCACCTGACCCCTGCGGGTTACATCTTCTTCCACTCCATCTTGGCTTTGACCCTGGGCCTTCAAGCTCTAACTAGTGATTCTGCATTTGTCCAAATATTTATTGTGTCATCATCAAAATAGTTAATCAGACTAAATGTTACCTAAAAGCATAAAACAAGTGAGTTCTAAGTTTATTCACTAAATAGCAAGCCACTCAGTTTGGAAAAAAAGTGAGAAAGGGGTTACCGAGTCTCATGCTGAAGCTGGGCTTTGAAGCTGTGTGAGTGGTCTAAGAGACTTGCAAGTCATGAGTTTGGGTTTCAGTAGGGTGCTCTATTCTTTCAACATAGGCTGGAATGTCCCAATTAAGTAAGAGTTCCCTGCACAAAGAATGATGGGAAATGGATGACCATACCAGCAATCCTCTGAGTAATTTGGACAGCTCACATTCTTTCCTAGCAAATATTTGCACTGAAATTTTTTTCTCTATTTACAGATAATTGCCTTAATTTCTTACTTGCAAGTAGTAATAGTACAGTATCGTAGAAACTGGGTCAGTTTAGCTGGGGGTGGTGGTGATGGGTGGTTATGAAAATGCAGTTGCCTGGACTTCATTCTCTTTTTAAAATCAGAACTGAATGATATTTGTAAAATAATGAAAGGAATTTTGAGAAATTGAGGGGTAACATTAAAATATTTATAGGGTCGACTTGATCGTCAGGAATCTAGCAGTGAGGAGAAATAGATGACTACCAGGGCCCTCTTTGGAGGAGACTGCTCTTACACGCCCACCTCACCACGGTCCTTGTTGGAAAGGTCCTGGTGCTTCCTGCCCTGTGACTGAATGAGTGTGGGTCGTGCTTCACCCCATCAATCCTGTCTCCCGACTGCTGGGTTCTAAAGGTGGCTTCTGCCATCATGTAGAGATGGGCAGTGACTTCTCTCAGTGCTTCTGGTTCTTGCACACTCAGGCTAGGAAGAGAGAGGTCGAGGCCACTTTGAAAGTCAACCAGGAAGTCATGCTGCACCTAAAGGGTTTGCACCACGACAGATCACGGCACAGAGAAGTTCGGCATAGTGTAGCCCTGGACATGGCCCATTCCTCACAGGTATCTGTCCCCAGGCTGAGCAGCACTGGTTTATGTCCTGCACAAAGAGCTCAGCTGTTGGCTTGAGCAAAGAGTTCTGCTTTTTCTTCCCAGCTGAGATTCCCCCATGTCCTGAGCGTGGGTGGGGACGTTGTCTTCAGATGGAGTCACCAAGGAGGAGCCTTTGACTTTGGTGTGGATGCTCGAGCTGCTGTCAACCACAATGCCACATTCCAGGTCAGAGCTGAATTCTGCTGCCTCACTGAGAGATGTTAGAATGAATCCCATGTGGGATGCTGCAGAGGTGGTGGGGTGGCTCTGGAAGGCACACCCTTATTTTGGGTGCTGTTGTCATAAATGTTTGCTCTATCATGAATATGAGCTGCCTACTCATGTTGCAATTCAGTGTGCTCTGTCCCCCAAGGCCGCTCAGGTGCAGGCAGGTGAGGAGGGGTGGAGGATTCTGTAGGATGTGCTTCTGTGGGCGGTCACATAAGTGACACCTGTCATGCCAGCCTTTTTTCTCCTGGCTGTAACTCTGCAGAGGACTTACCTAGTTGCCAAGGAAGCTGAGAAACCATTTAGCTGCATGTGATGCAGCAAAGGAGATGCATTTTGGTGGACATAGGCAGCCACCACAAGTGTGTCTGTTCATTTGCCTTCGATTACAGATTGTGTCTCTGCTTCATGCCAGCTCTGTATGAGGTGACTCAGATGACTCAGTTTCTGAATCCATCTCCAAGGAGCTTTTGATCCAGTGGGCATTTAGCTTCATATATTCAAGTTCAATTCCCAACTCCTCTGCTGACTAGCTGTGTGACCTTGGGTAAATTGAGGCTCAGTTTTGCTACCTGGGAATAGGCATTATAACACCAACCCAGCAAAGCAGTGTGAAGGTTAAATGGGGTGATCATGTGAGCCCAGGAGCACTGTGCCTGCTCAGAGTAGGGACTCATTGGGAGCTGTCTCCCCAGTCCCACGTCTGAGATATCGCTCCCCAACTTCCTTCACAGTGGCCTGAATAGGATGTAAGGCTAGTGTTTGGGGAAGGTAGAGGTTTCTGGACTTTTCTGGAACTTTGGGCAAAGCCCAGAATGACTTGTCCCTCCCGGTGCCCAGCCAGCTGCCTCTGGGCCTTCTGGAGCTCGTCCCTCCACTCCCTCCGGCCTCCCTGACCCCCCAACAGGTCTCCTGTCAGGGAATTGTTCTGGTTCCCATTTGGCACTTTTCCTCCAGCTCAGCCTCCCCACGGTCCCCCATTTCCTCTAAACTTCCATGTACGGATGCCGCTCCCTTTGGGGTGACCTTGAGTTGCCTGCCAAGCGTCTTCGAGAAGCCAGGGTGCCAGGAGACGGCAGAAGGAGGGGAGGCTGGGGCCCCAGGGAGGGACCTCAGCATGAGGCGCCCCTGCAGAATCAGGACCAGATGGCAAGAAGGCGTCCAGATCTGTCATTTGGAAGCGGTGTGCAGCCAGCTGGATTTTTAGCTCCCTGGGGGATGAAGGATCATGTTTCACCTTTGCAAATGGAGAGAAACAAAATTGTCTCCAAACTCCGTCCTGTATCGAAGCTTGGGAGAAACCATATGATCCTTCAAAAAGATCTATCTGCCTCCCTGGCTGGCTGGCTGTGATACTGAGGCTTGGATCCAGGGCCTTCCCACTGAGCTACACCTATAGTCCTTTCCTTATTTTTTTATTTTTTTGTCTTTTTCGTTTTTATCGGTACCAGAGATCAATATTTTTTATTTTTGAGACAGGGCTCAGACTTGCAATCCTCCTGCCTCAGCCTTCCAGAGTGCTGATGCTATAGACACGCATTTTTGTAATTATGAGTGTTTTGCCTAGGGTTGGGTAGAAACTCAGAACAGTTTCACTCTGAGAAAAGGAAGGGGCTGAGAAACATCCTGTTGCCTGGCTGTCTCTAGTCACATTTGCAAACAAATTCCCGTTCAAGCCCTAGCTCCACTGTTAGCTAGTGATGTGACCTTGGGTTATTACTTAATCTTGCCAAGCCTCTGTTTTGCTACTGGGACATAAAGATCCCCACGGCTTGTGGAGCAGGCAACCTGTGTCATGTACATGCAAATTGACAGTGGGGGAAGAGAGCTAGAGATAGAGACAGGCAATCCTCGTGACCAGGCATGCAAGAGAGGCAGGGTGCTGTGCCCAGCCTGGTGCCAGCCATTTTGAGCCTGAGAATGGCCAAGAAGGGAGGAGCTGTGTTCTCAGATGCACACGTTTTCAGGGGCAGCTCTGAACTCTTTGATGTGGACCATCCAGTCAGCAGGCTCCTGAGGCAGGCAGTAAAATCACATTGCATCTGAGAGCCGCAGCTCCCAGGGCTGGGGAAAATGCCGCTCTAGTGACGATTGTCCTGGGACAGCTCTCCCGTGAGGGCTTGCCTCCTGCGGGACTCAGTCCTAAGCCCATTGCAGGTTCATCTCACGGACACCTCTGGAAGATGCCTCAGTTGTGCCGTTTTGTAGATGAGCTTCTGAGACACAGAAGTAACTTGACTTGCTCAGGGTCAGCAGACTCCTAAGTGGCGGGTCCTGATGGAAACCCCAGAACCCTTGTTACCCCTGAAGTCATTAAGGATTGGAGTTCAGGCCGCTGGGGGCCTGGATGGATGGAAGCCTTAGGGGTTTAAATTTTGTTCCTTTCTAAAGCACTGGACCCCTTTGTTCACACTGTGCTAGTCACAGAAGGACTGGTGTCCTTCCTGACCTTGGCCTGCACCAGGGTATCTTTCTACATACGTGGATTCATCTTTATTTTCATATTTATTTTTCACTGCCCTCTCAGAAGCCTTTTTGGACAATTTTCCCTAATTGTCTTTCTCTAAGTTGAATTCCACAGGGCCGCACATTGCTTTTTACGTGCTATGTGCGTGTCTGTGCTTTATACCCAAGAGACAAAGACCTCCTCCCCAAAATCAGAGTGTGCCTAGGTGGAGATCATGTGTCCCCAGTGAGACCCAAGCCATACACACCCTTGGTGCACACAGGGACCAGTCAGACAGAACAGGAGTGTAGCTGCTGGATCATCTGGGTAAATTTGGGGACACTCCTGGGTCCCAGCCCAAGATCCTGAGGTGTCTGGTCAAGGGTAGAAGGTATCTCTAGGACTTCTGTATTTTTTTTAAACCCCAGACTTAATCTTTTGAGAGCAGGTTTTTTAGGTTTATAGAAGAACTGAACAGGTCAGGAGTGATCATGTACACCTGTAATTCCAGTACTCTAGGAGGCTGAGGCAGGAGGATGATGATAAGTTTGAACCTAGCTTGAGCAACTTAATGAGGACTTATCTCAAAAGATAAGTAGGGATGGGGATGTGGCTCTGTAGGAAGGTTCTAGGTTCTAGTCCAGTATCACTGAGAGGGATGGGGGAAGGAAGAGGAGAGAGAAACAGAGACAGAGAAATTGAACTGAACAGATCCCGCCCGGTTTCTCTCCCAGAGCTGGTGGCCTGGGGGGCTTCCTGAGGAGGGGCCTCCCCCGGATCCTTCTGTCTCCACCTCCTCAGGTGCAGGTGGCCGCTGGGCACTACAAGCAGCGCAGTGTCAATGGCTCCCTGCATGTGCATGCGTCTGGCCAGGAGCTGGTTCTGCTGGAGATTCGCACCCACCGGGACTCCCGGAGAAGCAGCCAGGGTGGAGCTGTGAGTGCCGTCCTCCGCCAGGCTGTTCTTGGGGCCCCCCGTGTTGCTCAGCTGCAGCTCTCCAGCAAGGTCACTGCGGCAAGGTAACATAACAGTTTCAGATGACCCAGGGGCTGGGAGATGGGACATCGTCAGTCCTGGCCTAGCTTCTGCCACTCTGAGGCCATTACCTCTGTGAGGCCGTCCTGGGTTTAGGAGCATTGAAGGAATGTTGGAATTCACTTTCTACTTCATTCATTTTTCTTTTCTTTTCATTCTGGGAATCAAACTCAGGGCCTCACGCTTGCCAGGCAGGCGCTGTGTCACTGAGCTACATCACTGGCCGCATCTATCCATTCTTATGAGCACATTCATGTGGACAACTTGAAAATCATAATGGTGTGTAAAGAATGAAACTAAAGTCACTAGAAACAGTCCCAGGGAGAGAGTGTCCCCTCAGTGTCCCCCAAACCTCATATTCACATGCTGCTACAGCTGTTACAATGTGAGGGGCAGAACGGGGGTCCAGGCCCTTTTCTGTCACTGCTTCCTCTAGAAGCGCTCTACAGATCCTACAGGCTCGGGCTCAGGTGACTGTCCCTACTTCAGACACCAGCTGCATGTCCCGGGGTTGTGATCTGTGCTCCTGGACAACCTACTGTCCATAGGAGGCCCCGGGGACCCAGCCCTGCTAGGGTGGTCCCAGAGCTCAGGACACACTTAGCTTCTGGGTCCTGTTTGTTATAAAAGGTGCAGCTCAGAGGAGGCCCCGGGAAGAGAAGCCCTGAGTGTTGTAATCACGGAGGTGTGGCTGATTACCCAGCCTCCACCTGCTGCCCTTTTGAGAGGGTGAGAGCTGGACCTGAGATTCCAAACTTCGAACCATGCTGCAGTCTTTCTGTGACCAGCCCCTGTCTGGAAATCCAAGGGCAAAAGACAGAGCCAAGGAACTCCGCAGGGACCTGGAGGTCTCTGCAGGAGCTGTGGCAGAGACCAGATTTCTAATCCTTCTTGTGTCTCAGTGGCATAAGCTCCCTGTGTCCTGGTGCAGAGTGTGCCTGCATTAGAGGTTCCCTTTGCACCCCAGCTTTGTCCCCAGCAGTGGCCTGGACTCAGGAGACCCATTCTGGACAGCCTGGTTCCAGAATTGCCATCTATCACTGTCTGTCCACTCATCCATCTGTCTACCCATCTGTCTCTGCCCACTCTCCCTATCGAGCAAAGATTGGCAGATCATAAAAATGTACACATTCTACGTCAGGAATTGGCAGTTGTTCAGTGACAGGCCAGATGGTGAGGATTCTGGGCTCTGCGGGCCATATGGTTCCTGTCACAAGTACTCGGCTGCACCTTTGTAGCACAGACATATCAGACTATTCGTAAAGTGAATGGATGTGACTGTGTTCCAATAAAACTTTAACTATAAACAAGACGGCAGGCCAGTTTTGGCTCACAAGTGGTAGTTTGCCAACCTTTGTTCTAAATTTTGTTAAAAATGAAGAAACTAGGGACAATGGAAAAAGAAAAACTTGAAAAAGAAATTGGATAAGGGTTTGAACTGGCACCAGTAAACACAAAGTGTGTCGTAAGGGTGTCTACATTTTCCAAAACTAAGCCAAAGATTTGGCTCTGAGCTTTCTAGAAGCCAATGCAAAAAGACCAAGCAGCCAGTGGCATTGTTTGTAGCAGCCATAAAGAAGCACATATACCCTCCACAGAGCCGTGTGCCATGCACCAAAGAGTACTGGGGGCCTGTTTGGTGTTGGTGCTCCCAGGAATGTCCCCCACGGTGTCACGGAACATCCAGCTATGACAGGACCCCCTCCGCCAGCTGGATAAATTCAACAGCAGCTTCTCAGGGGTGCTCTTCTCTCACTCCTCACCACGATGCTGTCTGTTGATCACTAGTGATATGTCAGGAGCAAACACTTACAGTTCCGAGTTTGTTTTAGTCTGAAAACAACACTGCATAGTAGGTATTGCTAGCTGCTTATATGTGCTTTGGGCAGATTCCTGGCTGTGTGCATCAGTTCTTCCTCTGTGTGATGGGCATCTAATACTGAAGGCTTTTGCAAGAAGTCAAATAATGTATCTGAATGGTAGTAGCAGTGTATCAATATACAGTGTACTTGTCTGCTACTGCTGCATGACAAGCAGCCCTGAAACACCATGGTTAAGTAAGAATCATTTAATGCAAGATTCTGCAGTCAACCTCCAACTGAGTAAGTTTTCATCCAAGCCAGTTTCCAGCCAGTATGTGACTCCTGGGGTGGATGAGCGATCCAAGAAGGATTCCCTCACATCCCTGGCACTGTGGTGTCTCCCACGTCCTGTCTCTTCACATGGCTGCTTAGGCTTCCCCCTGCCATGGTGGGCGTGGATGAACCAGGCAGACTCTCAGCAGATGGCTGGGGCCCTCGGGCATCAGGCTGCAAGAGCTGCTGCCTCCTGGAGGCACACAGCCCGCTCCTACTCTTCCAGTGGTCACCCAGGCCTCTGATTCACACAGAGGAAGTGGACCCAGCTCTTCGCAGGGGAGTGGCAAAGTGATAGTGTGAACGAGTGCAGAGGCAGGACAGCCTCCTGTGGAAAGCTGTCACCCGTGGGTTAGCACAGGCCAGCATCAGTGTCCACTTCACTGCTTCTGTTTCATTTCCTGCTTTGTGGAAGAAGAAAAGCCCAGAGACGCTGCATCCTTGTCCGAAAACACACAGCCATAGCACCACTGGGATTTGAACCCTGGCCCCAAAGCCCATCATCTCCACCCCTGTACTTTGCTTCCTCCCTGGGGGCCCAGGACTCAGTAGAAATGCTCCTGTGACAGCCTCAATACTGCTGTCTGGAACTTGCCTCTTGGGAGCTGGCTTGCTTGCTTGAAGTGGAAAAACTCCAGGCCCGGGTAAAGGAGCTGACCTTCACTGCCCCTTCCCTTTCTCCTAGGCTCTGGCTGTTTTCCAAGGTGCTGCTGGACCAGAGCACAGCCCAGCTCGCCCTCAGGGTGTCGGAGGCACGCAGGAGTGGCCGGGTCCTGAGCCTGTGGAGCCAGGCCCAGCACTCAGGCACTGTCTGGGCTGCGCTGCCCCGCCTGCTGCGCCTCAGGGTGGCGCTGACCTGGAAGGAGATGCTCCGAGAGGGTGAGTGTGCGGGTCCCTGGGGCATGGGCTGAGGGTCTTGGGTGAGCACAAGTGCATTGACACTGCAAAACAGGCAGGTGGACATAAAGGAATACAGATGCTGCCCCTGATTCTCCTGACAAAATCCTCTGTCTCCAGACTGAACAGGTTCCCTTGTGCAGGACTTGTCAGAGCCTTTCTGTGCTAATAGGCATGTACTCCTGTGGGGTGAGCTGGGTACCATAACTTTTTCCCCTAGTGCAGGTTGAGCAGCCTTTATCTGAAATGGACCAGCAGTGTTTCATGTTTCCGTCTTTCGGATTTTAGAATATTGGCATAGATTTTATCAGTTGAATATCTCTAATCCTCAAACCTGAAATTCTCTGGAACGGGAAACCATTTGAGTCTCAGGTCAGTGCTCAAGAACTTTTAGATCCTGAAGGATTTTGGATTTGTGATTTTCAGACTGCTGCTCTGTTGTACTTTTTTGTTTGATATAATTTTAGACAAACGAGAAGTAAATAAATAGTGGGGAGACTCCCGTGGTCTCTTTACTCAGGTTCACCGGTTACTAACACTGTACCTTGGTTTGCCATTCTCGTAGTCATATCGTCTATGTGTTCACAGAGTCAGTCTACAACTTACCTAAATACACTTGGTACTGCATATACGATATTTCATTTCGGAAGCACGATTTTCTGAGTGAGTTGCCAACACGATGGCTCTTTGCTCCTAAACACCTCAGTGTCTGTTTCCTGCAGCTAGGCTTCCTCTTTCAGTCCAGAGTTCTGCTAACAAAATCCCAAAACCCACAAGAACACAATGCTGTCTCTGTCTACCAGCCTCCGTTTCCGCCCATTGTCCCGTTATGTCCTTACCATCCTTTATGGTACAAGACAGCCGCAGAGCACCAGTTGTGTCCAGTCGTGCTGTCTCCTGTTCTTATTCTGGGGTGGTTTCCGTGTTTCTTTCTCTTTCTTGGGCTTTGTTTGGTTTCGAGGTGCTGTGGATGGAGGCCAGGGCAGGAGCGTGCGGGTGGGGTGTGTGTGTAGGGGTGACTTTACCTCTGCGCCACAGCACTGCTGGATGCTTACGGCTGTGAAGCATTGGTGGTGGTCACTCTGTGGAGTGTCCCTTCCTGAGCCCTGCCTGACACTTCCCGGGGCTGCCCGAGAAGCCGCGGTCCTGCTGTCCTGGTGATGGTGACTTGGCTTTGGTCTGTTTGGGTGATGCCTGCTAGGTGATTCCACTGTAAAGTTCTGGATTTTTCCTGTGTAAATTACAACTAACCTGTGGCCAGAGAGTTGAGGTCATGTAAATATTCCGTGTCTGCGTCAAACCCCGACCATGAGCTTGGTGAGTCCTGTCTGAGCCTGTCATTTCTCCCGAGGGGCTGAGTGGTGACCCCAGTTTTCCTGGGGTTTTTTGTTTCTTACACAGTAGGAAGAGCTGTCGCTTTTCTCCCTTCCTTCATGCTTTTGTTCCCTGCGTTAGTCAGTTTGGACTCACATTGTTGTTTTCTTCTTATTTGTTCAGTGATCTGTCACTGTCCCCACTGATTTCCAAGCTGAGTGTTCCCACTGGCCAACACGAGTCCCCTGAAGGAGGCTGTGTAATGTCTTCATCTCCGAGACTCCAGGCGCGCAGGAGAGCGGGCCACAGTGACGAGTGCCCCGCGTGCCCCTCAGTGTCAGGGTGGCGGGTGCTGGGGGGGTGCTGTCCTCAGTCCCCTCTGCCCCGCCCAGCGGGCCACCGCGCTATTTCAGATGCTTTTGTGGCAAGACACGCAGACACCCAAACATCTTGGGCTGCGTGTTCAGGGTGCGCCCTTCCTCCTTCCCGGGCAGCTGCTGGTGACGTGCGAGGTGAGCTCTGAACACATGGTGACTGGTCAGATTTCAGAATTCATTGGAATAATGAGTTCTGCCATGGTGTTTGCTCCTTTCTGAAGCAGCTCTCTCTTGAGTGCGCTAGTTGTCTTGAAGTCCTGAACGGATTCGGAACATTGGCCTTTCCTGCTCATCTTCACTTTGGAGAAGAGCCGGGAGCTGTGTGGTGGGTAGGGTGGGTGCGGTGAGGAATTCACACCTCATAGAGGCACAAAAAGAGGACGCCAGAAAGTGATGAGAATGACATAAATGTGTTTGAAGTGAAGGGGAATATTTCGAGGGACTTTAATGGCAATCTACCTTTTACTGTAATAATTTTTAAATTTAAACATGCTACAGTTTTTAAAACCAGTGCATGTAAAATTGCACACAGTGAAATGCACGGACCTTTTGTGTCATGTAGAGGCCGCAAAGGTGTCTATAGAATTCTGACAGTTGCATGTACCCTGAAACCTAAACCCCAGCAAGGAGAGGACATGGCCAGCCCCTCGGAAAGGTCCTCAGTCCCCCTCCACTCCACCATCCAGAGGCCTCTGCTCTCCTGAGCATCTTTGCTGTAGACTAATTTTGCCTGTTGTAAAACTTTATGTAAGTGAAAACAGACTGTGTATTCTGTCCCATAGGAGATGCTTTAGAGACTGGCCCACGCTGTTCCAGGCTCCCAGCAGTCCTTTGTACTACTGAGTCACCACGTGATGATGTTTTGGTCAACAGTAGACCCACGAAATTATGCTTCCCGGGATACCCTAGCCATCCTCGTTTGTGGAATGCCCCTCTGTGATGCTCACAGCACACGAAAAAATAACCTAATGACTTAGTTTGCAAAATACCTCCCCATCATGTGGTGCCTGGTAGGCACCTGGGTTATTGACCGGCGCAGCCCCCCAATGAGACAGAGGACGCTCTTGTGGGTAACAGGAACTGCCGCTTTATTTACGCGGGCTCTGGTTTATATATTCGGCCGTGACCAATCACAGGCCGCCACGAAGAAGCAGGGCGGGAATGGGACGCAGGCTCTGGCTACTATACCCAGCTGTGGCCAATCAGGGGTTGCCACAGAGTCGGCACGGGGCGAATACGGAGTGAGCACGAGGTGCGCACGGGTTGGCTAGTTTAGAGAGGGACATAACGCATTGCGGAAGCTGACGTGGTCTTATCGTCCCGGGCGGGGTGTGTTGAGCGCCTGCGCCCGACAGGTTATTTTCAGCTTGGGGTTAACATGAATAGAGTGCTACAATAGCCCAAGGGTTCTGCCTTTACACTTAGGATCTGCATTCCTCCTGGCAGGTACCTAGGTATGGCATCACCAGGTTATGGGTAATTGTTAAACATAACTTTTCTACGACACTGCCAGTCTCACTTCAGACAGTTTTGTATTGTTACTCCTTTGTGACATCCTGGTTGCTCCAGGTTCCCACGAACATTTTATTTTTAAGGATCTTCATTTTTCGGTGTCTGGTTGTAGCTCGCTTGGCTTTAGTATGTAGTTTTTTTTTGAGATAGTGGCTCACTATGTAGTTCAGGCTGGCCTTGAATTTACGGCAGTTCTCCTGCCTCAGCCTCCCAAGTGCTGGGACAACAGGCGTGTGCCACTCTGCCCGGCTGTACTTCCTTGATGACTAATAACGTTGCTTACTTCTTCACGTGCACAGTAACACAGCTTCTTTGCAAAGCGTCAGATCGATGGTTTCATCTGTTTATTAAATTGGTTATTTGTCTTTTATTGAATTGCAGACTTTTTTTAAACCGGGCACTTCACCCAGGTCATTTTTTATTTTTCTTGAGCCAGGGTCTTGCTAAGTTGCCCAGCCTGGGCTCAAAATTACAAGCCTCTTGCCTCAGCTTCCCAGAGTGCCAGGATTACAGGTGCGTGCCACCACTCCTGGATGAACGGAATCATCCTTTCACATTCTAGACCCCAGGTTCTGACAGATTTCTGCTTTGCAAATATGGCCTCCCATTTGTGGCTTGCTCCTTTGCTAAGTGTCTGTTGATAAGCTTTAGCTTTTTATTCTGAAGTTTAACACATTTTTTTCTCATTTTTTGTCTGTTGATTTCTTTTTTTTTTTTTTTTTTTGTCTTTTTCATATTTATCGGTACCGGGAATCGAACTCATGACCATCTGCTTGCAAGGCAGGTACTTATGCCGCTAAGCTAAATCCCCAGCCCCTGTCTGTTGATTTCTATGTCCTAAGAAGGTTGGCATCGTCCCAGGTTACAAAGATATTCTCTTATCTTCTGTCCTAGTGGGTTTATGTCGTCAGGAACTGGTTTTTGCTTGTGATAAGTACCGGTCCTGCTTCGTTCTGACACTGATGTCAGAGGGCCTGATGTCGCCTGTTGATAAACCTCGTCTTCCCTGTTGAATTGCTTTGGCAACTTTGGGACACATCAGTTGGCCATCAAAGTTGAGCGGAGGGATCTATTTCTAGGTTTTCTATTCTGTTCTATTGATCTGTTTAAAGTGCTACCCATTTTTGTCTCTTTTTTTCCTCTTCAGATGTATTTTGACCTATCTCACTGATTGTCTTCTTTACACACCTGTTAAGAGCAGCCAGCGGGGCTGGGGATTTAGCTCAGCAGCATGAGCACCTGCCTTGCAAGTGTGCGGTCGTGAGTTCGATCCCTGGTATCCCCCCACCAAAAAAAAAGAACAGCCAGCAATTTTCCCTTCATTCCTTCCTTTCTTCCTTTTTCTTTCTCCCTGCTACTCTTTCTCCTGAGGTATCTCAGTATGTTGCCTAGGTTGGCTTCAAATTGCTTAAGCTTAAATGATCCTCCTGCCTCAGCTCCTGAGTAGCCCAGCATGTTTGTTTATTGATTGTGTAGATCTAAAATTACCATTGGGTTTGGGTCTTGGTGCAGTCTGTGTTGCTATAACAAAGGACCCGAGGCTGAGTAACTTTTTCAGTAAAGAGATTTATTGTTGGCTGGAGGGTCCAGGCAGCACAGTGGCAGTTTCTGGCGAGGGTGTACCACGCCATGGCAGCGAAGCAGAAAGGGAAGCAGCCGAGTGCCAGAGAGGCTCACACACGAATGAGGAAGTGAGAGATGCAGGAGAAAACGCCAGCTCCACCTCTGACAGCTGGTACCGGGATTCACGCCTGTGGGCTGAGGGTTTCTCTCTTACCCCCTCCCCCAACCCGACCCTTAAACTTCTGCTGCTCAGCATGGCCGAGCTGGTGACCCAGGGTTGAGGATGGGACTCTTCAGAGTCTCCAAAACAGAGTGGTTCCAAAACAAAGTGGTTCCTTCTCGTTTCTGCTTCTCAGCTCGGATTTTCATGCTGTGCATCCAATGCGATGTTTTCTGTTTGACCTGGAGCACAGTTACAGTCACTCTTTTGTATCTGGCTCCTAAGTCGTTGTGGACTTGACCTTCATTGACTGCTTTCTCTTGTAATATGGGCCGCATTGTCCACCTTCTTTCTAGTAATTTAAAACTGTCTTCTGAAGTGCATGCAGTGGCACCCACCGATAACCCCAGCTACCTGGGAGGCTGAGGCAGGAGGATAAAGTTTAAAGGGCAGTTTATTGAGGTCTTGTCTCAAAATAAAGAGTACAAGGTGCTGAGGATTTAAGTGAGTAGCAGAGAGCTTCTCTAGAATGCATGAGGTCCAGATTTTAATTCCCAGCATTGAAAAAATGTATTCTGGACATTTTAAATGATATAGAAACTCTGGATTCTTTCATATTTTTTCTGAGGAATATTATTATTATTTTTTGGTACCAGGGATTGAACTCATGACTGCATGCTTGCAAGGCAGGTGCTTATGCCACTGAGCTAAATCCCCAGCCCTGGAATATTAATTTTTTATTTTTATATTTTAACAGGTGATTAATTTGGCCAGACTCAAAGTCTAAACTCTGGCTCCCTGTGGTGGAGTGTAGCTAAAGTCAGTTCATTTCTCTTATTCCTAACTGTACTTGTTGGAGCCTGTCCACAACATGAGAAATTCAGGGATCAGTCAGAAATTTGTACAGAATTTAATTTGTTTATTTAATTTTGGTTCTGGGGATCAAAACCAGAGACTTATGCAGGCTATGGCCACACTGCTGTGAGCTATACCCTTAGCTCTGAACAGAGTCTATAGGCAGAATTTTTACAAGAGAAAGCCAAGCATGAAATATAAATAGAAAACAGTGAGCCGAATTGTGTGTCGTGGGAATAACATACTTCTCTGACCCTCTCGAGGCCCCGTCTCTGTTTCCCCACTTCCGTCCTCACCTCGGGCTCTACCCTCTGAGTCTTTCTTCAGCGAGACTGCAGATTCCCGTCAGAGTTCTGCCCACTCTGAATAACAACAGCAAAGTGTAAAACCCAGAGCCTGCTTGTGGCCTGTCCTTTCCCCAGGGTGCCCTGTGCTTGGTGGTCGCTTTGGAGGGAAGGGTCTCACTAAGTCCTTGAGTTGCCCGGGTTGGGCTCAAACTTGTGAGCTTCCAGAGTGTTGGGGTTACAGTGTGCACCACTGTGCCTGGCTCAGGCAGGGCCTTCCTTGTATTTTGTCTCCAGTTTCTAGCTGCTGCCTTGAAGGGCTGACCAGTCAAGTTTTCCCACCACTGATGGAAGTGGATTCTCTCCCAGGTCCTTCTGATGCATCCCTGTCTTCAATTTTGTCCTCCTTTATGGCCAGAGGGTGTTCCAATCTCATATTTTCCCTGATGTAGAACAAGCTATTTCTGCAAACGCTCCTTAGTTTCTGTCTCTGGAAAATGGTTTTTAGAAACTAAGACTAGGGGGGAGGGAAGAAAAGACAAGAAAAGAAAAAAGAAAGAAAAGAAACAAATACATGGGCACTGGGTGTGTTCACTCCCAACAGGGCATCACTTTTCTTGGTCCTCTGCCGACCAGCCTGGACGGCTGATGTAGGAGCACACATGTCTGTGTCTGCTTACACAGATCCGAGCGTACAAAGCATTCTATAAAGCCATGATTGGTGCCTACATACACGTGTCTGTATAGACAGAAAACTCTAAAACTGTTAGCTCATGCTGATGTCTCCAGTCCAGTTGTCTTCATCTGTTTCCTTTTTGCTACAACAAAACACCCGAGGCTGGTTACTTTATTATCCCAAAAGAAGTTTATTCAGCTGATGGTGCTGGATGTTCAAGAGCATGGTGCCAACTCAGTTCTGGTGGGGGCCTCGTGACAGATGTCAGCACTGTGGTGGACGTGTGTGTGGGAGCAGCGGCAAGTGCAGTGAGCAGAAAGGGGGTTGGGGAGATACCAGTGCCACAGAACAGCTAGTCCTCTTGGGAGCAGGGCCCCCTAAGCACACCCCCTTCCACTGGGCCCCGCCTCAACCTCATCATGCTGGGCACCCAGCTGCTGGCGCACAGATTGTCGGGGGACACACGCAACCATATCCTAACCAACCACAGCACCCGTCTACATCAAAAGGCTCATGCTGGCTTTTCCCAAATTCCTATTTCAAATTCCCGCCTGCTGTTCTGCTCTACAATATGTTTACTCACTTGCTCAGCCCTCCCGCATAGATAGTAGTTGCAGAATTACAAGCTCACACCTCTGAGAAAGGGAAAGTTCTTCCTGTCTCTAGCTGCAGGGTGTTCGGCAGTCACCTGGGGGGGTTTCCCGCCACCCGACCTTCCTGCGTGAGGCTGTTGTCCTGTGAAAACGGTTCAGTTTGCGTCACTGGTGTCTGCTTTCTGTTTTTACGTTTCTCCTGCCCGTGTTGTTTTTGTGCCTGTATCTCTTTGACCACCTGAGGTATGAAGAAGGCTCCAAAACTCAGAGTTACACAGACAGGGACCCTGCGCTCAAGTGGGCTGGAGTCTGGCACTCTCCTGGCCTCATCTGGGAGCCTGCAGGCACAACCCGCAGGCTCTTCTACTGACTTTCGGGATATTCTTCCTCTAGTTTGGGGTGATGTGGAAACTGATCATGTCAACCGACCCCATCTAATTGGTTAAGTTATGACAGAACCAAATTTCTCAAGACTTTTTTAAAAAGATTACATTACATAGGCTTGAGAAAATTTAAGCCCAGTTGAAGAAGAATTGTCACAATAGAGTACTGTCAGCCCCCCTAGGGTTACAGCTGTGATCTGGCCTTTGTGAGTGTTATGGTTTGAGAACTGGTGGTCAACTTAATGCCAGCTGGATTACATCAGCATGGCATTGAGTGAAGATGCTCTACCTGAGGAAAGTTGCCAGGATAAATACGCGGAGAAGAAGGGAGGTATAGAGGGATTGAGGTGTTAAGGAGGCATTGTGGGTTCTCCTACGAGTTGCTGTCTGAGCTGTTGGTTCTCCTGGAGAAGCTTTGGTCCTCACATCAAGCATTGCTTCCTGGCTCCGGAGGGGAGGCCATGTGCTGCTTGGTCTCCAGGATGAACTCGTCACGCTGCTTCCTGGCACGTACCTGACTGTGCTTGTCGTCGGAGGAGCTCAGGGCCTCCGTATCGCTGAGGACAGCTGTGGTGCCTTTCAGGACAGCCCCGCTCTTTGTTCTGGGTGTGACTTCTCGGCTCCAATGTAGAACCCTCATCCCACTAGCACAGTTCCTTCATCCTGCTGGCATAGACTTTCGGGCTTCCACCGCTGACCCTTGGGTCTTCCCGGCACGAACCCGTAAAAGAGACTGGCGTGAGTCCTTGTGGGCCCTGGACTTCCAGTTGGACTCGTGGGAGGCGTTGTCCTGAGCTCTGGGTTTTTATCTGGACTCATGTGGGACATTGCTGTGGGATTTAGGCCCTTGACTAAATAATTTATGTCTTTGGTGTTGTGGATAGATTTCCTGCATTTTCCTGTGTTAACTCGTGGTGACCTTTATAAAAATATTATAAACTCCATGTCCTAATCCTAGTTGTTCTCTGTGTACAACCCCTGACTACAACAGAGAGGTTCTTTATTTGCGTTTGACATGCAGCTCCATGCAGGCCTCTGGATGCCCGGTGCCTCATTTCTGAAAGTCAGTTTACTTTCTCTCTCTCTGTCCCTCCCTCTTTTCTTTCCCTCCCTCCCTCCCTCTCTTTCCTCCCTTCCCTCCCTCCTTCCCTGCCCGCCTCTCCCCTTCCCTCCTGACTCCCGTTCTCTCCCTCTTGTACTTTTCTTTTCTGTTTCTTGGATTGAACCCAGGACCTTCACACTGAGTTATTCCTAGCCCTTTTTATATTTCATCTTAAGTAGAGCTTACTAAATTGCTCAGGCTAGCCTGGAACTTGGGACCCTCCTGCCTTGGTTTGCCAGAAGTTCTGGAATTACAGGCATATGCCGTGGCATCTGGCTCCCGGCCCTTTATTATTTTTAATTTTTAATCGGAGTCAGAGTCTTGCTAAGCTAACAAGGGTAAGGCTGAAGTTGAATCCTCCTGCCTCGGTCTTCAGAGTGCTGGCACTGCGTGTGTGAGCCTGGCTGTGCTATGGAGATACAGGCCAAGTGTGACAGCGCACACCTCTATGGTCATCTCAGCTCCCTGGGAGGTAAGGCCAGAGGATCTCAAGTTGGAGGCCAGCCTGGGCAACAGACTCAAAATCTGAAAAGAGTGGGGATATGGCTCAGCACTCCTCGAGTTTCATTCTCAGTACTGTAAGACAAGCAAACAAAAACATTTAAGGTATAATTTCCATATGAGGGGGCCCTTTTTAGGCTGCAGCTCTGTATGTTTGACACGTCGCCTACCTGCCTGATTTACAGCCGTGCCATCATGCCAGGGTTCTCTCTGTTGTCCTGGCCCCTGCCACACTCTCCTCCTGCCAATTGTGATGTGCTTTCCCGCTTACTTAGAGTTTCAGCTCTCCAAGTTATAAGAATGTCTGGTAAATGGAACGGATGCAGTAACAGCCTCTGCGTCTGACTGTCTTCGGCTAGCATGCTGTGTCTGAGACTCACTCAGGGCCTGCATGTGTGGCCCCTGGGTTGCTGAGTGCTGTATGAATGTAGCACTGATTGTCTCCTTAGAGTGGAAGAATGTTTGAGTTGTTCTCAGCATTTGGCAATTAGGAACAGAGCTGCTGTGATCACTGGCCTAGAAGTTCTTCTGGGAAGGCACAGTTTTATTCTTCTTGGGTAAATATGTAGAGTGAAGAATCATGGGCTGGAGGGGAACCAAGCAGCCAACCTGCACCCTCTTGTGAGCCAGCTGGTGCACTGGCTGAGAGCCAAGAGCCCCCACCAAGCAGCCAGCTGATTCAGAGGAACACAGGCCAAGATGACAGCAACTGAAGTAGAAAAACAACTTAATGCTTATATTATTTGATTGCTTTTGCAGGCTTAAAGTCAGTAATCTGAGCATTTATTTAGGGTGGACAACAGTATGTAATATAGCAACTATGGGGAGATTTCCTCCTGTCTTGGTTTTGAAATCCAATATTGCTCTCACTTTTTTTTGGTCCCATTTTATTGTTTTGCTTTATTCCCTTTAAAAAAAATACCTGAAATGGAATTATGGGGTTGTATGACAAGTACCTGATGTGTGTTATAAGCAGGTGCCAGCAGTCTCCAGAGTAACTGTGTCGTTTTGCCTTCCCACCTGCAACAAATCCAGTGACAAATTGTTTCTCAGCACCTATGCCAGCAATTAGTGTTACTATAGACAGCTAAATCAGGCTGGGCTCTTGAGGGGATCAGTGCAGAGGATGAGGACACATTACAGTTCCACTGAAGGCCTTGAGATAAAAGTGGAATGACCAGGTCTACCTGCCTCCCCAAGGGACGAGCAGTAGATTGAACATTATAACTGTATCACGTGGTCCAGTAAAATCTAAATAGATATCAGTCACCCAGGTGGGTGACAAAGACCTCCTGATCCATCCCTTCCTAAAAAATGTCCTTGTTCTTTCCATGGACACTTGCTGTGTGACCTGCTTCCCCCTGGACTGATACTACCTAAGTGGTCAAACTTACAGTCAAACTTATTGGTTGATCATACTTTTGACCCCTGTTGTGCCCAGCTGGTGATTTTGTGCTATAAAACTTCCTCTGTAAAGTGGGGTCCCCAGCAATGCACTGTCAGGTCCCCTCCTGCCTCTCATGAGCTATTTCTCTCCCTCAATAAATTTTTCCTACTATTAACCTCTGCTTCCTACTGTTCCTTAAAATTCATTCTTCAGTCTTGGGAAGCATAAACTTGATGTATCTCATGTCTCTATCAGCCTTACATTTTTGGTTTTGTGTAGTTTTATTTGCCACTCTAATGGATGTGAACAGTGTCTCATTTTGGGTTTCATCTTCTTTTCTCTAGTGACTGATTACCTTGAGCATCTTTTTGTTCTGCTTGTTTGTCATTTATGTGTTTCTTTGGTGAAGGAGCTAAGTATTCAGATCTTTTGCTCATTTTAAGTTGCCTTGCTTTCTTACTGTTGAGTCTTGAGCGTTGTTCATACAAGTCTGTGATTGGTCTGTGTTGTTTTCCTCTTATTTGGGGCGTGGTTATTGTGTTCTGTTTTTTGAGATGGGGTCTTCCTGTATTGCCCAGGCTGGTTCAAACTTGCGATCTTTCTGTCTCAGCCTCTTAAGTGACTGGGATTATTGTTTTAACAGTACATTAAAGGATAATTTTTTTAATTTTAAAGAAGTTCAATTTATCATTTGTTTTCATTTTATGGATCCTGCTTTGATCGACGTAAAAGAAATTCACCTCATTTGAGTTCACAAAAATTTTCCCATGCTTTTATTTCTAGAAATTATATAGTCTTTGGCTTTATATTTAGATTTATGACCCATTCTGAGTTAATCTTGTGAGGGCAGTTTCTTGATGTGGAAATACCCAGTTATTTTAGCCTGGTCTGTTGGACAGACTGCCTCCCCCTTGGCAGAATTACCTTTGAACCTTTATTGAAAATCAATTGGCTATGGAGAATCTGTCCCTGGGCTCTGGTCTGTTTGGCTGACATGATTTCTTTTTGTCTCTGCAATAATCTCGTGAAATTTCACTCTTGTTATCTGCATTTGCAGTCAAGGTGACTGAGTCACATCTTGAAGGCCCTGGTAACCTGGGTCGCTCCGGCTGTCACAGGAAGTCTGTTCAAAGACAATTGCAGGGCTCTGTGAGAAAGTTCCGACTGTGTGGGAAGTGACTGTATGGTCACGCATGAGCTACGTGACCATAAGCACGGGACACAGGGGCCTACCCAGCCTCAGTGCCGGAGGGCTGCGGAGGTGGCGGCCCCTTGAGTCAAATCTTGAATGATAGGAGCAGGCTACAAGGGCGTGTGGGTCCCATGGGGCAGGAGAGAACCCTGTGGAACAGCAGGTCCCAGATTCCTGAGTTAAATGTGAGCCTAGGGACCTCAGGGTGTGGCTGTCCTTCCCTGAATGGGGTCACCTCAGAGCCATTTTTCTTGCCGGGGCCTCCAGTTTGAATTCCTGGGGCTTCCCCAGTCTTGGTAGTGTCTATACAGTGGGTCCATTGCAACTGGTCTGCAGCTCCTGGGGCAGGAGTTGAGTGCGTTTTGCAGAATTCTCCTTAGCTCTTTTGGTCCTCAGAGTACGCTGGGGTGGGGATATAATTATAATTGTATAATTTGGTCCATTTCACAATTGTGCTGTCTCGTATATGAACAAGAAGCACATGGAGCTAAGAACTTCCTGCCTGGGATTTTCTTCACCAGTCTGAGGCTGCTCAGATTCCTGGGGCTACTCTGTTCTCCATCCTCTGCAGGCACCATCCAGGTCACTGCTGACTCAGCTGAGCTGAACTTCCTCCTCCGGGACAAGCATGAGATAGCAGGGAACAGTACCAGCATGTACAAGATCACCTGTGTCCTCTCCCAGAACCACACCCAGGACTTGCCAGAGGAGCTCCGGCTGAGGGGTTGGGTGCGGGCCCAGCCCAGGAGCCTCAGGGGCTGGACCAGCATCCAGGCCGATGCTGCCAGCCTGGCTGTGGGCGGGGCCTGCACTTGGGGCCCTGGGCGTGGCCAGTTTGCAGGCAGCCTAAACCACAACATCAGCATGCTGAGTGATGTAGGTAGGATGGGCCTTCAAGGCTGGTGGGCTTCTGCCAGACTCCTGGGTCTGGAGCCCAGAGTAGGGGATAGAGGACCCCCTTAGGCCCCAAATCAGTGGTGCCCTCCAGGTTGTGTTCCAGGACCACAGTTGGAAAATAACTCCAACACCTCCAGGTCCCACTTCTTGGGGTCATTCTCCAGAGGTCCCCAAGGTGCAACGAAAGGGAGAGGATATTCTGTCACCTGTTCCCCGCTTCCCAAGATTCAGCCCTATCCTGAGGAGCAGGGAACTCAGACAGGTCAAAGATCTTACCTGTGCTGCACGTGGGAATTAGGGGATTAGGTTAGGCCTTTTCTGTGGAATGTGGCCCCACCTGCTGTGTTTGGGGATGCGGTAGCACCGCACTGGGGGACCCCCAGAGACAGGGGAGCTGACCAGACCCTGTCTGGCTTCTGGGACGGGCTGGATAGTGGTCCTATCTGGTCCAGCCCACCCTGGCCTCTCACCCCCAGGACTCCCCTCAGAGGCAGGGCTACACTTGCTGCTAGCCCAGGTGAATTCCAACTGCTCTGCCCACCTGGCCCTGTGGAGCTCAAGGGGTCAGCTGGACACCGCTCTTGGCCTGCGGGGGCCAAGCCCCAGCTCTCCTGGCCACCAGCTCCACACCAGCCTCAGCCACACATTGCCAGGCCTTAGGCACCAGGGCCTGCCCCTCTTCATGGATGGCCATGAACATTTCCAGGTGGGTTGGTGGGGGCCTGGACTGGCTCCATGTGGGACCGCAGGTTTGAAGAAACCCACAGCTCTTCCTCTGCTTGGGTGGCAAGACAGTCTAGTGGCTGGGCTGGTGGTGAGCTTGGATGGCAAGAAGCCCCCTACAGCCCCAGGGAGGAGCACTGAGGGTGACCCCTAGGACCAGGCCTGGGGCTGTGGGGGGCCCTGCCCACCCTGCTGCGAGTGAGTCAGCTTGGCACTCCTGAGTACCAGGCTGTGGCCAGACTGCACCCCTGCACCTTTTCCAGATGTCCACTTGTCTCGTTCCCCATCTGCGTCCCTCTCTTCCCTGCCTGCCTGACCCTCCTTCCTCTGAGTCTTACCTGCCTCCCTATACCTCCCCACATCTGCGCTTATGACCCTCACCTTGTCTCATCCTTTCCTGACCCTCCCCACCTGCCTCCCATCCACCCACCTGCCTCCTGTCCTCCTGTCCTCCCGTCAGCACTGCCCACTTCCTCGTCCTCTGTCTTCCATCCTGACCCTCCCACCAGGGGCAGAGCTGCAGGGCACAGCCACTTGGGGCTCTTAGGCCTTGCCTGGTAAACTGGGTCCTCTCCCCCAGCTCCTCCCCGACCCCTGAGAGACCTGCAGTGAACGGGGTGCATCTGCATCTTCTCTCGCTGCTCTCAGAAAGAGAGCCATCGCAGTGTGTGGAGGCTGAGTATATGAATGGTGGCCAGGCCTAGTCCAAAGCCAGGCCGCTCATCCCACACACACTGTGTAACCCCAGGCAAGTTGCTTTGCTGTGCCTCAGTTTCCTCACCTGCACAGTGAGCTGTTGATAGATAATCCCTGTCTCCTGTGGTGACTGAGGCTGACATGGAACCACATCACACAACCTAACCCACAGAGGCTCTGCAGGACAATGTTGTGGTCCCTCCCATGCACAGTGACACAGGGACTCAGTTTTCAGGCCTCTGCAGACCTGACTTGGGGGAGCAGTTTCCCATGGTAGTGTCCCCACAGCGGTGGAGCCAATATCAGCACTCTCAGCTGCAGCCCTCTCCGCACCCAGCCCCAGGTCAGAGTGGGGAGGAAGCTTGCTGACTGCATCCCGCTGCCTCCACAGATCACCTGCCTCGGAGATGCCACGCCTACCCAGCTATCAGGACAGTGCTGGGGAGACAGCCCAGGGCGGCCTCTTGAGGTACAGGGGTCACGACGGGCAGTGGTGTGTGGTGGTCCATCTCTGGGAGCCCAAGCAGTTTGACTGTGAGCGTGTTCCAGGGCTGAAGTCATCAGGCACTGTCCCTCGTTGTCCTCTCCTGAGCATTCTGTGTCCTCAGATTGAGGTGCCAAGGCTCAGTGTGCCAGGCCTTGAATAGTCCCTTCTATAGGCAAGGCCACATGGCAACCCAGAGTCCCAGAGTTTCAAGCCAGCCTCTGCCACAAGCAGCCTGACTGTGGGCTCGGGGCTTAGGGCTCAGGGCTCAGGGCTCCGCACACGTGGGCATGAGGTTGCTCCTAGGCTGTGTGTGTGCTCTGGCTCACGACTCAGGATCCTTAGGCTCTCCTGGCCCTGTAGCTGCTGGCCCTGGCTGAAGGTAGGTTGCACTGTGGCCACCTCTGACCTTATGAGTGCTGCCCACAGGCAGCTGGGAAAGGCCTGGCCGGACGGCGGGGCTGCACAGTGAGTTGTAAGCCTAGGATCTGCCTGCAGGGACTGAGGTGTCCCTGCCCCCTGAATGTACTGTTCATTCTTCCTGACCTCAAGGTCAGTGGGAGACACCAGTAGAGGCTCCCTGCTGCCCCTCCCGGGACAGGTCGGGGTCAGGGCCCATAGAACAGGACCCTGTGGTGCCTGTGGCGTGGGCCCCTCTATGGAGCAAGTGTGGCAGCTGAGTCTGCAGGGCTGTGCAGGCCCAGGACTCTGCATTTCCAGCAGATACTCTGGGTGCTCTACATGCTTCTGGCCACACAACAAACCCACACCACAGGCAGCAGAGGTTGAGGATGCCCCCCATCCTCTGTCCCTGACCCCTGTCTTCATCCCCATCCCCCATCCCCATACCTTGTCCCTTCCCTCATTTCCATCCCTCACCCCCTCCCCATCTCTGTCCCTTACCCCTGCCCTGTGCAACCACCCTCATCACTGCCCCACCCTTTGTCCCTGCCCTTGTGTCCCTGATTCCTATCACACGTGCCCTCCCTCCTTGTGGTGAGAGGGGGTGGGGATGTCACTGAAGGTGTCCCTGGGACGGGTGGCAGTGGCATGGGACGGAGGTTTGTTTCACACCAAGGTCAGCAAACCTTTTCCATAAAGGGCCAGATGGTCAGTGTTTCTGGCTCTGTGACTCTGGTCTCTGTTGGGACCCCGTAGCCACCATAGGGGGACAACAGCCCCTGGTAAGAGGAAATGCATGCCCGTGGCTGTGTGCCACTAAAACTTTGTTTGCAAAACCAAGTGCAGTCCCTGGTGGGTGCAGGCTGTGACTTGTGTCTGCCTCACACCAGCCAGGGTATTTTTACCTTCCTGGTCGTCTCCTCTGTGGCCACATCCCTAGGCCAGCCTCTTCTTGACTTAGCTCTTCACATTGGCTCTGCCAGGGAACCTGCTTCTTCTGAAGTCTGAGTCCTTCCCATGCCCGCCTGGGTAGCACTGTAGGCTCCTGAGCCTTGTGGGTACTGCCAGCTAGGCCAGCTGGATCTCTGCCCACGAGGGATCAGCATCTCCTCGGTGTCACTGCAGGTCTCTGTGGATGTCCGCAGCAGTGGCTCTGGCTTGGAGCGTTCGGGACATGTCTGGACAGGCCCTGCATTCCTCAACTATTCTCTGAGCTACTGGTACCACGATGGGAACTTGGTGCTGTCCGGATGGGGCCAACATGACAGTGACACCCTGCTGCAGGCTGGAATCCCTGGCGAGGCTCACCTTGACGCCGAGCTGCAAATGCAGGGTGAGCCACTTGGCTGCAGAGCCCGTGTCCCCCATGCCTGGGCCAGGCCACAGTCTCAGGGATTCACCCAGGCAGACTGTGCAGGCCCTGCTGGCCCCCAGCTTGGGGTACAGTGAGGCAAGGGCCTGAGCCCAGTATCTGACTCTGGAGTCCCGCTGTGATCGCAGGTAGATTGCAGGGACTAGGCTCTTGACTGACCAGGACCCCGTGTGACTCCCCAGTGCTCTTCCTCTGGCCTCACACTTTCCCAGCTTTGACCCTCAGCCTACTCTGTGGGGACAAGGCCCTGTGTCACAGGGATGTTGCCAGTCTGAGCTGGCCTCAGGCTCCATTTCCCCGCCTGAGGAGTCCAGGGTGGCTACTTCCAGTGACAGTGACCCACTGCTGTCCATGTTCAGGTGTCCCAGCTCCTCGAGGGTCGCTGCCTGCCTAGTGTTAACATTCCTGGTGGCCCTGACAGCTGGGAGTCCCTGGGGTGAGGGCCACATCCCCTCGCCCTCCCCACAGCAGGCTCACGTGTTAATGCTAAACAGTGAAGGACAGAAATGTGTTTCCTGAGACCTGTGCCCCCCACAGGTCCTCTGGGGCTGTTAAACTGGGGAAATTGAGGCTCAGGCCACCAGGCTTGGCCACCGTGCTGAGCTAAGTAGTGAGCTGCACCTGCAGGACCCTGTGCGACACCTGGTGGGCCTTGGTCATTTACCCTGAGGCTCCTGGGGTCAGCTGGACTCCAGCTGGAGGAGTTAAAGTCAAAGGGTGACAAGGACAACCCCTGATCGGGGACCAGGAACCTAGTGTGGGAGGGAGCAGCCTCTTAAGCGGTGGCTCCTTGTGTCATGGCAGACGGAGGATGTGGGGTGGGGAGGTGATTCAGGGGGCTTCTGGGAGGAGCTGTTGTTTCAGCACTGAGCCTGGGGGCCAAGATCTGGGACACAGATGCTGTAACAGATGATGTCATGGAGGCCCAGGGAGGAGACAGCCTGGCCCAGTGCTGATCAGACGGCCCCACCCACATGGAGCTTTCCCGGCTGTGTCCATGGGCCTCAGCCCTGTCCTGCAAGGGGGATGTGACTGAGCCTCCAGCAGCCCACGTCCTCTTCTGTCTCTAGAGGCCCAGATGCGAGCCCATGTGGCCCTCCATGATGGGGACGGGAGCACAAGCATGAACGTGACAGTCCTGGTGGCCCAGCAGCTGGACAGCACGCAGGAGCTGGTGGTGATGGCCAGCCACACCATGCCAGCTCTCCAGAGGCTGGGCCTGCCCTTCCTCAGCCAGGTGAGGTGCACATGGGGCTCCCTCTGTGGTCAAAGGGGGCTTCACACCTTCCGTTTCTCCAGCCCCTTCAGTTTGCAGAAGCTCTGTTACCAATACACACAGTCGCGTTCAGTGTCCGCTGAGCAAATTTTCTACTCCCAGCCAAGGAGCTGGAGTCTGAGCCCCTCCTCATGTCCTTTCTGCTCACCAAGTCCTTAACTCAGGGCCTGGTTGCACCTGCTTGCTGTGCTGGTCTTCTCAGGGTTTTGTTTTTGTTATTTTTGTGGTACTGGGATCGAACCCAGGGCCTTTGTGCTGAACCACATTCTTATCCCACTTACCTTCCAATTTAAGACCCTAAGTTGCCTGGGTTGGGCTCGAACTTGTGATCCTCCTGCCTCAGCCTCCCAGAATTCTGGGATTAGAAGCATGACTACCATGCCCAGCTATTCTCAGGGTTTTGTGTGCATGTCTTTGTCCTGCTTTCTTGTGGTCCAGCCAGAGGGAAGATAGCACAATCTTTATGAAGCTCATCTTTGGAAGATCCTAGCTCCACCATTGCTAGCTGTGTGACCTTGAGCAGATTTCTTAGCCTCTCTGTGTTCTCAGCCTCCTCTGCACAATAGGGATGATAACTGTACCTGTAATGTGGCAAATGCACGTTACACACTGGTCTCAGCAACCCCTGTACACGCAGCCGAGTGACCACGCACCCTCTCTCCCTGGGCTTCACCTCTTCAATGGCCTTGAGGCAGGCAGCAGGGAGAACCCAGCTACTGGGCAAGGCTGGACCTGCTGGACACCTGTAGCTGCCTCTCGGACTGGGGACAGGGCTGCTGGGACTGTGGGTCATGCTGCTGTCCCTGTCTGGCCAAGAAGACCTCAGGCTCTTGCTCTCTTCCTGTCCCCTCCTCAGCTCACAGCCCGAGGACACTGGGCTCTGGAAGAGCTGAGCTACTCTCTGCAGCTGACCTGTGATTTGCAAGACCGCCTGCTTCTCCACATCTTTGGCCAGAACCAGGAGGACAGGTAAGTGCTCACAGTGGCTCTGAAGTTGCCTGGGAGGGAGGAGCCTTGCATCGGTCACCTACCGTGCACCAGCCAGACGCACAGCATCTCCTGGACCCTCTGTACAGCCCTGCTGCAGATAAAGAATGGGAGGTTCAGACAGGCAGAGTCAATTTTCCAAGCTCACAAATCTCTAAAATATCTCCTACCTCTGTCTGGGTGTGGTGGTGCCTGCTTGTAATCCTAGCACTCTGGGAAGCTGAGGCAGGAGGGTTGCAAATTGGATCCCTGCCTGTGCAACTTGGCAATCTATCAAAACCCCTTCTCAAAATTTAAAAAATAAAAAGGATTGGGGATGGGTGTCAAGGCCCTGGATTTAATCCCCACTACTGAAAAGCAAATCAAAACAAAACCTCTCAGCCTCTGGGAGCAGCACAGAGATGCACTCTGGTCCATTAGCGCAGTCCTCCCAGGGCCCTCAGGAGTTCTCAGGAGTTAAAGCTGGGGGCCTTTCAGGCAGGCTCAGTGCCTGGAGCTCTTACATCAGGGCAGGAGGCTCTCCTGCCTGTTCCAGCACTCAGACCCTTACAACTTCTGTGGGGGGACCCCTAGGGCAGCCTGATGAGGGTTAGCTGCTGTGGGAGGGCTGAGGGCCAGGTGCCTGTATGGAGACCAGGCCAGGGCAAAGCCTCCATCAGGCCTGGCTGGCAGCCCAAGGGCTGGGGCTGTGGGAACCCCAGAGTCTCTTGGCCCTCTGTACTGATAGGAAAACAGGCTTGGAGAAGCATTTGCTCCAGGTGTCAAAACTGGGCAGAGGCCACTTTGGGGTCCTGGGGCAGCCCCTGATGCTCAGCCCCAGCCCCAGCCCCAGCCCCAGCCCCAGATGTGTAAGGAGGCCTTTGCAGAGCTGCCAATGGCCTCGTGGCTCTCTGGGTCTCTTGAGGATGGGACTGGGTCTGGTGCCTGGTCCAGTCCTCTCTTTCCTTCCTTCCAGCAAAGAGCTGCGGGTCTGGGGCCGGCATCACCTCCCGTCCCTCCTGGGCCACTGTCCCAGCACGGTGTCTGCCACTGCCAAGGTAACTGCCCCAGCCACCGCTAGGCACCTAACCCCTTCCAGATGTCCAACGCGGAGGGGTGCCTGGCACATGAGCACATCCGCATCTGTCTGCAGCCCCAGCAGCCGACCTGGGAACCCCTGGCTCCTGCTCTTCCAAACATACCCAGATTTACATTCCTTGCAGCCCCTAGTTGGGCCCCAGACCCTCAGGAAGGAGCCAGGAAGCCCACCCACCCAGCAGCTGGCGCCACCCCTCAGCTTGGCACACCTGGCAGCTGGACCAGCTGGAGCAGAGCAGAGCAGACACACACTCCTCACCCCTGCACGCATCCTGAGGGACCTGGGGGTGGCCCGGGGGTCTGCTGACTTGGCCGGGGTCCCTCTCTGCCTCTGGTCTCATCTGCCTTGCCTGGGTCTGGATCAGGAATCACCCCTCAGGGCAATTTGGCAAGTATGCCCACACCCTGGCACAGGGCCTGGCACAGACTAGCTGCGTGGTGAAAGATAGAGCCCTATCACACAGGCCACTTGGCCCCCTCAGTTTCTCAGGCCACCGAGATCTGTTAAACACCCTCCTGTGTCATGGCCACAGACACCTTTGCTTATAGTGCGGCTGCTGTAGATGTCCCGGGTTGGTGTGCTGGGTGAGTGCTCCCCAGGCACCTGTGGCCCTGCACAATCACGCAGGGGACGTCTCTGTTTCACCCCAAGTTTTATCTTGGGTAATTTCAACCCATGCAGCAGTTACTATAGGACAGTGACTGTGTACAGGCGTCTGCGTGTTTTTCTGTATCGTTGCGAGTTAAGATGAAGTCATTTCTGGAGACATCATACTGCTCTACTCCTAAGTACTGCAAAAAGGATTTTTTTTTAAATAGGACATGGAGATATTTCAAAATCCAGGACATTTAATACTGAAACAGTACTGCTATCTAAGAATAGTCTATAATAACATTTCCCAGGGCCCCAGTAATGTTCTTTCAAACATAGAGTCCAAGATTTAAATGCAGGATGCCAGCCAGGGCCACACAGGACTCTAGTTTCTTTAATCCAGAGCAGAAGTCTGTACACTTTCACTCCAAAGGGCCAGACAGTAAAACCTTTCTGGCTTTGCCGCTGATCTCATCTCTGTCACGACTTAGCTCTGTCATTTTAAGTCGAAAGCTGCTGTGGGCAGTGTGTCAGTGATGGACATGACAGTGTGACAAGCAAACTGGGTTTACAAAATCCTGCTGCAGGCCAAGTTGCCCGGAAGGGTGGCTTCCCCCTCCCCCTCCAACGTTTTATTAGGAAACTTTAGACAGCACAAAATTCAGATGTTTTTACAGTGATCTCTTACCCACATCTTACCTCATCACCCATCTTCACCCATCATGCTTTTGGATCCGTTTCAAATACTTCATTATCGTTCACTGCCTAAACATTCCTGCGCTGACAGTTTTGACTCATCCAGGTGGTTCCCTGGCAAAACGCGCCCATCTGTGTTTGTCAGATAGCTTGCTGAAGGTGAGATGCTGTTGGACAGTTTTTCGTGGTGACCATGGAAATACCGATGCGTCTGGCCAGCCCTGTGTAAATACCAACTCGGCCCTCTTCCCAGAGATTTGGGTTCTGTGGGACTTAATAGGAGGCCAGACTGTATTTTAGTAGCCCAAGGGATTCTACTGTACAGTCAGCCTGGAATTTGGCGCATTCGTTCATATAATTTTCACAATAATCCATTAATAAAGGAGGTATAATTGGCCTCATTTATTGGATTAGAAGATTAAGGCTTGAGTGGCTAAGGAGCCAACTATAGATCACCCGCCACTTACGGCAAAAACCAGACTGGGAGAGGTGATCTCTCTGAACAGCCCTGAGCGTTATCCTCTGTGATACAGTGCCCCCTGCTGGCGAGACTCATACCACAACTAGAATTCTTGCCTACTGGCCCCAGGCCAGTGGCTGTCTTCAAGGCAGTGTTACAGCCCACAAGAGGGAGGTGTTGTCCTGGCCCCGCCTGCTGGCCTAACCTGAGGCTCAGGACCCTCATCACTGGAGCTGTCCAGAGCAAGAAGCTGCGGCTCTCATGAGTCTGGAGCTCTGGGAGGCAGGGCCTGCAGCCTGAGCCGGCCTCTGCCTGAATGTTCTTCAGAGACGGATGAAATCTCATGTGAACTCTTCTCTGACAGTTGCAGTCCTCTAAGGGTGAGGCCCAGGGCACCTTTGACTTGGGAGTAGGAGACCATCACTTCCACATCAGCAGCAGCCTGTGGGCCTCTAAGGCTGGTCTCACTGCCACCACCAAGCTGGAGCAGACCTTCCCCCAGGTAAGGGCACAGTCCAGGCAGGCCAAGGGGCACCCGTGGAAGCCCTTTGGGCTAGTCTCCTGGGAGGAGGACCCAGTGCAGACAGCCTGTGAAGTGGGCAGGCTTGCTGGCTGGGCTTCTCTGTGGCTCCTCCTTTCTCTGTCTCTCCTTCCTTTCTTCTGTGTTGTTAATTGAGCATCTAAGAGGTACCAAGCATGATTCTAGAAGCTGGGGTGTGGCATAGAACAAGATTCAGATTACTGACTGTCATCAAGGGTATAGTCAGGTGGGAGCAGTTCACAAAATGTTTTATAAATAAGAAAATGAGTGGGCATGGTCCACAAGCTGAGGCAGGAGGAGCACAAGTTTGAGCTAACCCTGAGCACCTTAGCAATGTCCTGTCTCAAAAATACACAAATAAAGGCTAGGGGTACAGTTCAGTGCAAAGGCCCTGGGTTCAGTTCCTAGTACTGATACTGTGGGTGCCAAATAGTGGGATATAATATATACTATATTAAAAAAGAAAAAAACAGGGTGAGTGACCATGTACTAAAGTTGATTTATCCTAGGTACCCAGGAAAGGCACCCCCAAAATGACACATAAATAAGCCCTAAGTGACAAGCATCAGCCTTTTGAAAATCTGGAGGAAGAGCATTCTAGGCAGATAGAGCAACATGTGCAAAGGGTCTGGGGCATGAATGAGATTGGGAAACGGCCACGAAGCTTCTGGGCTGGAGACGAGCATCTGGGTGGGGTGTGGTGGGGTGGGGGGTCGTGGCAGTGTTTTATGCTGTTTGGAAGCTGGGTTTTATTCTGTCTGATACTGGGAGGCTTGGAGGACAGAATGTTCTGTCTGGCTGCTGTGTGGAGAGGGACCAACAGATGGCAGCAGAGAGACCACTGAGCAATCATGAAAGAGGTCAGGGCAGGAGAGAATGGCGCTGTGGACCTGGATGGGGACGGTAGCCATGGGTGTTTGAGACACTAAGGAGAAAACCACCCCCTGGCAGTCCTGGACACCGCCTAGTGGGGACCAGCCTCTCCCATCTCACCCCGCTTCCCAGCTTCCTCTGCATCTCTCCTTCCCTCGAATATTTCTGGCGGCCTCCACTGTCACCCTGATCCCTTCCCTGTCTCTGACTCCTCCCCACCAACCTGGGGGCCCCTAGGAGCCAGGTTCAGGCCTGGGCTGTCTGTCCGGTGCTGGGCTGGGGCATCACACCTGTTCCCGCAATGCCAGGGAAACTGAACCAGGATCAGGCCCCGGGCTGAGCACATGACTCAGATTTTTCCTCAGAGCCTAGCACTGTAGTCTTTCTGTTTTCTCCTGTACTCTGGGTATTGAACCCAGGGCCTTTGCACTGAGCTGCATTCCAAGCCATTTTTTATTTTGGTAAAGAGCCTTACTCTATCCCTAAGCCAAGCTGGGCTTGAACTTGTGATCCTCTTTCCTCAGCCGCCCAGACTGCTGGTATTGTAGATGTATGCCACCATGCCTGGCTTGGCACTGTTATTTATGCCCCCATTTTATACATGAGGAAACTGAGGCTCAGTGCCTGCCCAGGCCTACACAGTGTGTAGACAGAGCCTAGAGGTAGCTGTCCTGTCCACAGGGATGTGCCACCTCCTGTTGGTCACACTCCTTGGTGCCTCCCCTTCCTCCCTTTCCCCTCTTCCTCCAGCCAAATTCTGGCCATTAGGAAGCATTTGGCTCTGTGACCCCTGATATGTGACCACTCAGTAAACCGGGAAGGACCCACACATATGGCCTTCTCTGCATCCTGTCCTCCTTCCCACCTGCCCGAGTGCCCGCCGGTTCCCCTCTGATGTCCCCCCCTCCCCTTCTCTTCCAGTTCCACACCCTGCCCAGGGAGCTGGTCCTGCAGACCGTGTACAGGCGAGCCCAGGGGAACCGGCTTCTGGTCCAGACCATGCTGTGGGATGGCCAGGAGGTGGCTTTCAATGGGAGCTTCTCTGGGCCAGTCCCCAAGCTCACCAAGAACCTCCGCCTGCAGGGTGAGTGTCCCCAAGCCAGAGATAGCCCAGATCCTCCCTTGCTACATCAACAAACCATCAGTGGACAGCAGCTTGTCCCAGCTGCTGTTCCAGGCACTGGGGATCCAGTAGGACACAGGGTGACTCAGGTCTGGGCACTCAGAGAAGGCATTGAGCAGGGAAATACATCAAGTGTGATGGTTCCTGAGAGAGGGCAAGCACTGGGAGACAAGGACTTACTGTGAGGGCGCAGGGTTAGGTGGGTGAACTGGGAGGCCTCATTGAGGAGGTGATGTCCAAGCAGAGACCTGAATGACGGAGGAGCTGGCCAGATAGAGAAGCAAGGTGTGGCATCATAGGCAGAGGGAGCAGGTGCAAAGGCCCTGGGGTGGCAGTGAACCTAGGCAGAGCAGCAGCAGCGAGGCCAGTGTGGCGAGGCTGTGGAGAGGGACAAAGTCACACAAGGAGCTGGGGTTTCTCTTAAGACAGAAGAGCAGGCATCCTGAGGACAGTGCCTTGTGCTCTGAAGTGTGTGCCCTAGGCAGCCAGAGACTCAGTGTCTGGCCGAGGAGCCCCATGGCCCTGAGCAGAGCTTGATCTGCTGCCCATCCTTGGGGACAGTGCAGACCCTGTCCTGGGGGGGCACAGCTTGCTGGCGGCCTGATGAATTCTCCCAGAGTCACCCTTGCCACATGTGTCCCGGGGAGGTCATGGGGGATGACAGATCCTCAGCCAGCCAGGGTGGCTCGTGGGTGCATATGGGTGTGTGCATGTGTGTGCCTGTTGAGTCTGTGCATGCACATGTGTGTGGGCACAGTGTCCTTTGGAGCCAAGCAGCCTGAAGTCCCACACCGCGTCTAGAGCTGGGCTGGGGTCAGAGTGTGGAGGAGGTGAGGGCCTGTGTGTGGCCTGTGGCAGGCAGACCCTAATTCAGAGGGCACAGACTGCCCAGGTGTTACCGCCCACATGCATAGGGGACTGGGGAGACTCTTGCTTTGAGGATGTGAGAAAGCAGATTGTCTAGTGGGGTCTAGTGCTAAACTCGCTCTAGGAGATGAGGGATGAAGTCCTGGGTGGAGAGACCATCCCCTGGGAAGCTTTGCTTATGGGGTACCTCCTGTGTCACACCCCAAGAAGAAGTGAGGGCAGCAGATGCCCATCTGAGGAATGGGGGAGTACTCCTGAGGGTTATGGGTATACCTAAGTGACACAGGCTGTCAGGGCTGCACCTGTCAGCTACTGCTGTGTAACAAATTGTCCCAGAATTTAGTAACTGAAAACCACCATTGGTGCTCGTGAGGCTGCAGGTCTTCTGGGCAGCTCTGGTCTTCCTTGTGCACCAAGGTTGGTTTCAAATTGGCTGGGCAGCTCTGTTGGCTTCTCTGGCTTCACTGACCTATTGAGGGACTAGCAGGCTGCCAGCTGATCTAACAACCTCAGCTAAAACAGGATGGCATCACTGTCCCATGGTCCAGCCTGGGTTTGTCCAGTGGTGGCTGGGCAGGAGAACAAGAGAAGAAGTGGAAGCCAATGCCTCTTATAGCTAAGGTTTGGGACTAGCCACGTTCCAGCAGGGCATGAGGCCACCACCAGGCCAGGCTGGGGAAGTGGGTCCCACCTCTGAGTGAGGTATCCCCTGTGAGGGGAGGGAGACCTGGGGCTCCCACAGGGCAGCAGCGACAGGCAGTGTCTGAGTTTGGGAGAACCGGCCCAAGCCTGTGGCTGCCTGCCCGAGCTGACGCTGGTGTCCGCTCCCAGTTCCCTGAGCCCCTGTGCCCTGAGCATTGTCCTCAGCTCACTCTGCTCTCTGTGTGTCCCCATCACCCAGTGGCCCTCTCCCAGCAGCTGCTGCTCTCCCTGCCGCAGCACTGCAGCCTCCTCCTGACCGCGGAGCACGAGGGAGGAAGCCACCAGCACGAGCTGGCCGTGAGCTGGGACGGCAGCGACCAGGTAGGCACCGGATGCTGGGGTTGGGCAAGGCCGAGCTCCGCCCGGCTGCCTGAGCAGAATCCTCGGTCCCCGGCCCATGAACCCCATACCTGCCCCAACAACCACCGTCCCAGCAGGCTGCTCTCTTCCCTACCTTGGTGTGGAGGCTGTCTGGGCTAGGGGGGCGGAGACTGTGGCTCAGCTGTCCCTTCCCCAGGTGGCAGTCGCCTCCTCTCCGCAGCTGGGGAAAGGCCAGCTGGCCGCCCAGCAGGCCCTGGCTCACCCCTTCCCCCTGTCCTGGAGGCATGCTGAGGCCAGGGTCCTCGCCAGGAGCAGGGACGGCAGGCAGAGCCGACGGGTGAGTGAGGAGACACCGTGCAGGAGGCCCGGTGGGCTGGGGAACAGCACGGCCTCCGGCGTGGGGTTACTGAGGGGCCGCCCAGGAGTCCTGCCTCGCTCGTTCCTTCAGCAACGCCTGGCAGCACAGCCTCGTGCCTAACACGGAACCATTTGCTGCTGGATCTCCAAAGTCCTTTACGCGGTTCCCTGCTCTGTGGGCACCTCAGGGTGCGGAGGGTGAGCAGGGCAGCTGTGCCCTCCCACCTGGCTGGCAGCACTGGCAGCACACGCTGCCTCTCTGAGCCAGTTTCCTCATTTATGGATGACAGCAAGACAGCAAAACAGGCAGACTCAAGCAAACGGGAAAATGAAACACTCAGAAGTTGCAAATTTATGCAGGATTTAGCTCAGCGGCATAAGCGCCTGCCTGACAAGCATGAGGTTGTGAGTTCAATTCCCCAATACAAGAAAAAAAAAAGCACCATGAAGCAAGCCAAGGGGACTGAGGGTCTGGCTAGTTAGGCCAGTAGTCAGTGAGGGTCCCTAGGGAAGTTGCTCATCAGCTGAGGACCCAGGGTTGCAAAATAGCCGGCTGCGTGGAACTGCGGGTGGCAGGTGCAAAGATCCTGTGGGCAGAAGACTAGGGGATGTCAGGAAAAGCTGGAAGCTAGGAACAGTGCAGCAGAGCCGGATATAAGAGAGGGAGAGTGCTAGGAGAGAGATGAAGTCAGGTGATGAGTAGGACAAGGAGCACACGGGGCCCCAAGGCACCAACAAAGGGCTCATCTGGGTTCTGGCTCTGGAAATGCCTGGTGTGTGTTGGAGCTGGGATGTTTTCCTCCAATTGTACCTTCTTTTCATCTGGGGGGCCCTGGGTTCTCACAGAGCTTGGCAGCAGGCAGATCCCCCACTCCCAGTTCCTGACAGGGACAAGGGTGTGCTTCTCCACCTCCACGCCCTCCCCAACTCCATGCAGGTGCAGCTGGCCTGGGACAGGGGACAGCCTGTGACCCTGCAGCTCGCCTGGGCCCACAGGTGCTCCATGCACAGCACAACCTGGGACGGCTGCCTGGCTGCTTCTTTAGGGCAGGTATGCACCTGCTGACAGCCCAGTCACACGCAGGGCCACCAGGCTCCCGGCCTTTCTGCTGGCCCACTCACACCCCATCTTCCTCCCTGCCAGCTCCGAGGACCCTGGGGCCCGGGCACCCTCCAGGCCTGCGGGGCCTTCGCGCGTACCCCAGCTGTGTTCAGTGAGCAGCTGGATCTGACCTGGGGCCGACACCGGGTGCAGCAGAATGTGACGTATGAGGTGAGCCAAGAAGCTGGGCTCACTGCTGCAGAAGGTGCTGCTCAGGGCCCTCGGGTCTGGGGCTCATGTCTAGCTGCACTGTGGGATCCCGGCCCCCTCGTTTCTGTGCGGAGCCTCCGTTTTCTTCTCTACAAAGCGAGTACACTGTCCTTTCCCAGGGGACTGTAGTGAGGACTGGGAGGATAAAGTGGGTGCACGGCAAACCCTCAGACTTGCACCAGGATCAGAGGGCGAGGATTCTGAGGTGGGCAGAGGCTTGGGGACATGGGTTACCCCAGCACCTCTGCCCATCTAGAGCTTCCGATCACAGAGATGGGTGTTCTGCAGAGCCAGGGACAGGAACCAGGCCATTGAGAAATGACGAAAGTTGGTCCTGACGGCCCTTCTTCCTCCTGGGCCACTACCCAGTTCCTGAGACCCTTGGCGTCACAGTGCCCCAGAGTCCTGGTAGTGGCTGTGACAAGGGCTCTGTGCTGGGATGCTGGCTGTGTCCCTGTAAGGCACCCCCAAAATAGCTAGCATGGTGACCCTTCATTCCAGAGGCATCAGCCACCCCAATCAGCCAAAGTACGCGTGGAAGCCACACTGGGGCACATCCTCCCGGCCTCCTGTGGCCAGCAGAGCCTCCGGGGAGAAGTGGACAGGGACTCGACACTCGGGCTGCACCACACCCCCCACCCGGAGCTGTGTGACCTACCCAGGGTGAGTGTGCCCTGGGCAAGGGCCCACTGGAGGGAAGGGGGGACCTCTGGGAGTGGGGGGACAGCGTGTGCAGAAGGCAGGGCTTGAGGGAGGCAGTCAGATGCCAGCATGGTGGCTCTGCTGTCTGGTGTCCGGGTGACTGGGCAGGGCCTGTCTGTGAGCTTCCCGTGTTTGTGAGGGGCGGAAGAGGCTCTCGGTTCTAGTGTGTAGGGCGCCTGAGGGTTCGAGGGTGCGATACAGGGCTGCGGATGGGGAGATACTGGGGTCCTCTTCCTCCCCTGTGCCAATTCTGTCCGTCCATCCCCCGCCCCCGCGTTCCTACCCTTTCATCTGTCTGTCCACCCCTCCACCCACTGAGCCCTTCTCCGTAAAGGGACAGAGGGTGAGCGTTCCAGGCTGCATGAGCCACACGGTCTCCTCCTCCTCGGCTCTGCCATTGCAGCAGCAGAGCAGCCTTGGTGATAAGTCCGGGAACTGGTCCCTGCCCTGAGGGGGGCCAGAGGCCAGGGGTGGGTGTGTGCTATGTGAAGAACGTGGCAGGGTGGGGTGCCGTCAGGAGACTGCTGCCCACTGGTCCAGCAGTGGGCCCAGCTCCTTTGCTACGCAGGGAAACTGAGGCTCTGTGTGGTGGGAAAAGATTGGACGTGCATTTCTAGAGAGGCCTGTCCTGCTCCCAGGCAGCAGGGAGGGCCATGGACCAGGTGCTGGGGAGAGGAAGCTGCCACCTCTGCAGCTCCATGACCCCCAGCTTGGGGCTGTCCCGCCAGACCCTCTCCGTCTCCGGGGAACATAGCCTGGGCCCCGGGCAGTTCCTGCTGCATTCCCGCTGGCAGCTGGGCCTCGCTTCACACTCGGACCCTGGCCTGAACCTCAGCCTGACCCTTCGCAACCGCAGCAGTCCCCTTGCGTCCAGCTTCTCCGGGGAGTTGGAGGTGAGTGTCCTTGACTGCACCAGGAAGACGCACCCCATCCCCACCGCCTGGGCTGCCCTGCCATCTAGTGGCCATGTCTGGAACTGCATGTCACCCCAAGTCGACAGTCAGAACCTATGGGGGACGCTGCCACGCCCCTTGGCCTGACCCTGTCCCTGACAAGGCAGCTCCTCCGTTACCCTGACACCTGACCCTTGCTGTAGCTGAGAGATGGCAGTGGATTGGCCCAGTCAGGCCTCTTTCAGGCAGACACCTTCTCCCCTCCTGTGAGAAGGGGAGGGTTAAGTGTTAGTGCACATAGGTCACCTTTGAAAGAGCCTGACCGGACACAGCCACTGAGTATTCATGATCATTACTGACCAGCCCTCTCCTCTGTCCCCAGCAGCCCAGGGCCTGCAGCTCCCCCACCTGACGATGCGTCTTTTCCAAGGGGCTTCCCCTTTCTGCCCAGGGAGCAACCGTAGGTGGTCTGTCACTGTGCTATTCCCCAGCCTGTGTCTCCTGGCTGGGTGACCTCGATGTTCTGATTTTTCTTCTCTGAGCCTCAGTCTTCCCTTCTGTTGGTTGGGAACAGATATGGCCGACTTTTCAGAGATGTTAGGCTGAACAGACATCTCCCCAGAGTCTACACACAGTGGGCACTCGTGCTTCCTGAGGCCTCTCTCCCTCCCCCTGGAGCCTGGGAGTGAGGGCCCCGTGGCCTGGCACATGCTGGGTCCTTGGCGAGTGCCACTCTTCCAGCCTCTCCATCCCGAGCACCTCTTGGCGGCTCCTGCCTGTGTTGCTTGGCCCCCAGAGAGGACGGCAGCTTCTCCCTGTCTGTTCGGTTCTTGCACCAGTGTGGTGCTCCCTGAGGGTCAGCTTCAGGGAGGGCAGCTCCTCACTCAGCCCCACAGAAGAGAGAGTCCTTCTTACGCAGTGGGGCAGAGCTGTGGGTGGCAGTCATCGGGGGAGGGCCCCCAGCCCCAAGCAGGCTGCCTGTTAGTTTTCATGGGGATCCCTGGGCTCCAGCCCTACCACCCTGGAGGCCTCGGGGGAGGAACCTGTATCTACCAAGCACCTGCATCAGAGTCCTGGGCCAGTGTGACAGATTATCTCCAACAGAGGGGCTTCAGGCAACAGAAACTTCTGTCAGAGTTCTGGACGCCCGAAGCCCACGATCGTCAGTGAGGCAGCAGCTCTTGGGGAGGGAGCTCCCCGCCTCTCCTGACTCCAGGTTTCGCTGGCAGAGCTGGCGTGGGGCACTGTCCTTCCAGCCTGCCTCAGCTGTCACATGGCGCTCTTGTAAGGACATTGGATCCGTAGCCCGCTTCCATCAGGATGAGCTCATCTTTCCTGAGTTACAGCTACAAGGAACTTATTTCCAAATGAGATCACATAAACAGGCCTGGGGGATTCAAACTTCACCCCACCCCTGAGGAATACAACCTGTCTGTCTGTCTGTCTCTTTCTCTCTCTCTGGTCTCTGCTGAAGTTTTTTTTTTTTTTTCCTGCTAAGGTTTGAAAAGCACGGTTCTACATCACATTACAGATTTTGAAGCTGAGGCCCATGCTGAACCAGTGCTGAGCCAGAATAGAGGGCAGGGCTGGCTTTCCTCTCACCACGGCTTCTCTCTAGCCCTTGTCTCTCCACTGCAGGGTGGCATCTTCTCTGGGGGCTCTGTCCCCTACCATACCAACCCACCCTGTGCTCCTCCCTCGAGGCCCTGGTACCCTGCTCAGTGACCTAGGCTGATGCCGGGAGGTGCCCACAGGGCCTCCTTGAACTTGCTAAGACCTTTGCAGTGGTTCTGATGCAAACCAAGAAAGCCCAGGTGCTGCTGGCCTGGGGGGTTCTCCGTGGGTTTTTCCTTAGGACTTCTGCACCTTTCTGAAGGGAATCTGAACCCTGCAGCAGGGTGGGGTAGAGGCCACTGTTTGCCCTGTTTCCTGCAGCTCCGAGGCCCCACAGCCCAGTGGGTTGGCCTGCAAGGCCGACTTTCTACCTCGGCTTCCCAAACCCTGGCCCAGCTGGAGGGAAGCATGGACAAACCGGGTGAGAAGGTGAGGCTGTCTGTGTCTCAGGTCCCCAGCTGTCTCCAGGCCACCGTGGCCCACGAGGAGGGTGAGTGGAAAGTGGCCAGGCCCTGCTGTGGTACCAGTGAAGACAGGGATGGGTGCTTAGAACTCCAAGGACCCTCTGTTAGGACTCCATGGCACACCCTCCCCGCCTCTGTAGTCACCTGTGTTAACTGCTGGGCAGATGACCTTGAGAGGGTGGGGTCCAGTTAATGAAGATGGGTATATGGGAGCTTCAAGTGGGCAGGAAAGCTCAGATGGCACAGCTCAAGGCCTTCAAGTCCTTGCCCCGACCACTTGGGAGCTACAGCAGGCTGTGCAGTGCAGGAGGACTGGGAGCAGAAGGCATGGGTACAACCACAGGTCCCTTTCTGGCCCCAGGAAGCAGAGCAGAGAGCGTGGTACTGCAGGCGTGTGCCCACAGGCAGACAGCTGAGGTGGAGGCTCTGCTGCAGGATGGGGAGCAGCCTGCCCAGTCCCTGGGACGCCTGGCCCTGCAGGCTGCCAACCAGAGCCTCCGCCTGGAGGGGCATGGCTGCCCAGGGACCCTGCTGGACCTCGTGGAGGTGAGAGGGTTGGGCAGGGACAGGGGCTATTGCTGGTCTCTCCAGGCAGAGGCCAGCGCACCAGGATCCTGCAAGTCTTTTGGGGGCCTCCATGCCCAGAAGACCAGAACAACTGACCCCAGGGCATGACCCATACCGTCCTGGGTCCCTCCAACTGGCTCTGAGACCCTTCTTTCCTCTTCCTTCCTATGAGGCCCTAGACCCACCCAGCCTGTTCCTCTGTCCCCACAGTCCAGGATCGCAGCGGTTGGGTCCCAGGTGCAAGCCCAGCTGGAAAAGAAGCTCCAAAGCATGGGCGACTATGCAAGCAGGTTCCAGCAGCTGGTGGGTAGACTGAGGCAGAACAGAGCAGTGCGTGGGGAGCCCGCTCCAGCCCGACTGTGCCCCTGCACCCGGGCAAGAGGGTCTGGAGTGCTCTGCACCTGGGGCTTTCACACAGCTCCTGCCTTGGTTTCCCTGTGTAGGTGCAGCCGGTGGGTACCCTGGACAGCACAGCAGGCTTCCTACTGCGACTGTCCCAGGCAGGGCTGGGGGCCTTGCAGAAGAGCGGCCAGGCAGTGGCCTCCTGGTGGGGCCGGAGCCAGGTCCAGCAGGTGCTGACCCGCCACCTGCTGCTCTACCTGGAGTGGCTGCAGGCGGAGCTGGAGCAGCTGCACCGTGAGCTGGACCGTGAGTGTGGTGGGACGCGCCCTACACACAAGACCATGACCACGACCAGGCACTGTGTCAGTCACAAGGAGACCTTGTTCCCTGGGCGCCTCCAGCCCAACTTCATGTGGACCCACTCATTGTTCATGGCTGTATGGCCTTTGGCCCCGATTTCTTTTAGGCCTACTGCTGTGATTTCCTTAGACCCCTGTCCAGCTCACTGCTGCAGGATTCTAGGGCCTCTGTCCTGCTTAGGAAACATCCTGTGCCAAAAGGCCCTCAGGGCACCATGAGCCTCTGCCCTGCTCACTGTTCTAGGGTGACGCCCAGGGAGGCCCTGGTGCCATCACACAGGATGCACTTGAGTGCCCTGTGACCACCCTGAGAGACCCTGTCCACCAGGGAAGCCCTGCACCTGGGTGTTGATCAGAGCTGGCCACAGGGATCCCGAGGTCATGGACTCTGGTAGTTTAGGCAGGTGTGCAGGCCATCCACACACAGCAGGGGCACAGGGACCGGTCCTCCTTGGTTCTAGGGACAATGTGAGCTGCTCCAGTCAGGTTCCTGGTTCCAGACAAACACCGGGCTTGTGACGAGGGCCTTGAGAGGACACCACTCGGGCCTGTGTGCCCGCTCCTGTCTGCAGTACCTCTCGCCTGCCTTCTTCCACAGAAGGGCATATCCTTGGCTGGGGTAATAGGGCTGTGGACAGGCCCCAGTGTCTCACAGCAGGTGATGGCGGCCTGTTGCAGGGCCCCTGGCCACTCTGAAGGATGCCTACTCGGAGGTGACGCTGCGGCCCCTGGATGAGGTGTGGCAGGAGCAGGCGGAAGAGGCCCTGCAGTGGCTGCAGGCCTGGGTGCCCACGCTGCCGGCCGGTTGGAGGCCGAAGCCCATTCGGGCAGCCCTGGAGCTGGTAAGGTGGGATGGGGGGGCGGTGGGTCCTGGCCCAGTGACAGTGGCCCTGATGGCTCTCACTGCCCACTCCAGGTCGCCCATCAGGTGCTGTCTTGGGCCGAAGCCACACTCTCGAGGGCACTGAGGCGGCTCTGCAGACCCCTACTGCACATGTACCACTTCTCAGCCAGGTAGCCAGCAGTGACATCTGTGTCCCTGCCACAGGTGGGGCACCATGCTGAACACCTGGACACCTAGATTCCATTTACTCCTTCCCTGGAAGCATCAGTAGTCCCCGTTTTACAGATGAGGAAACTGAGGCTCAGTCTTCATTCCTTAGGTATTGTAGTTCTTTCTCCACAGAGTGTTTTGGACACTGCCGAGAGTGAATGAGATGGACACTGTGGAGCATTTGGGCTCTGTGAGTGTACATTTTCTAGCTTATCTTTAAATTCGTAAAAACCACTTCTGGCCTGCAGACCAGCCAGAACCAGGCCACAGACTGGCTGTTTCCGATCCTGAGCGGTGGGTTAGGAGCTGGTGCTGCAGACAGCGGCTCTGGAGTGGCCACATCTGCTCTTCCTGCTGCTTTCTCCCTTGGGAGGACACTTCTGACTGTCCTGATTCACCTGCACAGTCTGCAGTCTCCCCTTCTGTAGAGCCTTGCTTTAACCCACCCTGCAAAGCTCCTTTGGCCATGTAAGGTCACAGTCCCCTGGTCTGGGGACTTGGGTGTGGACATCTTCAGAGCCCATTCTCTGATACAGGATTCCTTCACAGGTGGCTCAGTGTGAGAAGCCACGGGGCTACTTAACAGGTGATGGCCAGCCAGCGTGCAAGGCCCAGGCTGCCGAGCACCTCGGGTGCTGGGACAGAAGTCATCAGCCCTGGAAGAAGGGCGGAGCCAGTCTCTGTGCCAGGCCAGGGACTGGGGAGTTTGAGCGCTGAATCCTGGTTTGAGTCCAGCTTTGCCTCTAACTAGGGCTTCCCTGGATCAGTGCTCTGTGCCTCAGTTTCCTCACCTGTAAAACAGGGCCAGATAAAGCTGCATCAGGAGGATATTATGGGGGGTGACTTGGTAGGCAGTCATGTGAAAACAGAGTAGGGGCTACCTGGTGACAGAGTGGGAGCTGTCACCCACAGGTGGGGGACACAAGCAGCAGAGAGGGGTCTGAGACACCTCCTGGGAGAAGGTAAATGACACCACCTGCTACCTATGCCCCACCCCGCCTACTGTGAGCTGAGGTCAGCCCGACACCCCGTTATACAACCCGAGAAGGCTCCATAGGGCCCCCCTAAACTCCAGAACTTTTAGTGCCCCTCAGTTCCATGGCGATGTTCTTGCAGCCCCTGTTTCCCCCACAACACAGTGCACAGATGTGGGCCTTGAAATCTGTACCTCGCATGGCAGATTGCATGCAGCCACCCAGCACGTGGTCTGATGTGGGGTCCTTATACCAGGGTGTTGGCTTCCACATCCAGCCACCTCCACATCCAGCCACCTCCACATCCAGCCACCTCCACATCCAGCCACTTCCACATCCAGCCACCTCCACATCCAGCCTCCTCCACTTGGCTTGTGATAACAAACCAGTGTCAGCAGAGGGGCTGTGATGCTCCCTGCTAACTGACCTTATTTTGGAACCGCCATGTCACGTCCTAAAGTAAAGGAAGGTAGGACCCTGGCTTTCAGGTCTCCAGCTCCTCCTCGTTCCCTCCAGGAACTGCTCAGTGCTGGTGATGTTGCCACTGCTGCCTGCAACACACGAGCCCCTGGACATGGTCTGGGTAACCAGCTACCTGGTGGAGGAGAAGCTGCTGCAGCCTCTCCAAGAGCTATACAGGGCCAGTGTGCTGGCCGAGTGGTACGGGCTCCACCACCGCCTGCTGGGGAGCCCCTTGGATTGTGAGTCCTGCCGTGGGAGCCCCTCTATACTGCACTGCAGGGCACAACAGCAGGAGCCTGCAGGGCCAGTGTTGAGGAAACCTGCAAAGGTTTAGCATCAGTGCGCTAGGGCACGAGGTCATTCGGGGAATGCAGAACCTGACCTTTGCCCAGCAGAGGGGAGTTCAGAGCCGTTAGGGCTCCAGCCCAGCTCTCTCCCCCACTGCCACGCTGCGGAAGCGGAAGGCTGACCTCCAGCTGCAGCAGGCTAATTGGGTCCAGACTTGTTGCTCAGGTTGGGCCGAGGGCCAAGAGCCCTCCTGGACTGGGGCCAGTTCTAGGAAGCCTGGGGGAAGTTTGCATCCTACTCAGCCTTGCCATAGGGCCCACTGACCACTGACCACTGATTTCGTTTCCTCCTGTGTGAAGCGGAGGAGGCACCAAGGTGGCTTGTGTAGGTAACAAGCATGAGCCACAAGCCCAGGTACTTCATAGAGAGGCCATGGAGCCCCAGGCTGGGCTGGGTAGTTTATTCGGTGGGAGTTGACCTCAAGGTGGGGACACTGACACTGGGGAGGAGCACTCCATGTCCTGACTGTCTGGTGTTCAGCCTGCTTTGGCTTTTCTCCCCAGACCATGCTGTGGTGGCCAGGGCCCGGCACGTGGTGACCTTCGATGGCAGGGTGTGGGACCTCAGTGCCCACTGTAACAGCATCCTGCTGGCCAAGGACTTTGCTCACAACATGTTTTCTCTGAGGCTGAGCTGGCTGGGCTCAGGGCTCAGGGTTCTGCATGTGGCGGTGAACCACACAACCCTCGTCCTCTATCCCAGTCTGCAGGTCAGTGGGAGGGTACAGTGGAGGGGACAGAGCCTCCTAACGGGTGGTACTTAGAGCTTGTCAGTAGCACATCTGGCTCAGTCCCCACCTGGTTTCCAGGCCTACAGGCTGTATGACCTCTCCCTGGATGGGGACAGCTGTCTGGACTCTGGCTTACTCCCTACCAAGATGAGGAGGGACGTGCCCAGGATCGAGCTGACCAGTGAGGATGGCGTCTCTGTCTCCTGTGATGTGCGAGCTGGCCTCTGTGGCCTGACCCTGGGCCTCTGGCACCATGGTGGGTTTGGGTCCCATAGCATGGGCCCTGTCTGGAAGGGCCTCTTTCAGCTGGACCACAGCCGACCTCCGAGGAGACCCCAGGCCTCCAGCTCCTTGGGGTTCACAGTTTAAGCGGCCAGGGGACCACAGCCCAGAGGTTCAGAGTAGGAGGCACCTCCCTGGCCAGTCCTCTGCTGAGACAGTCCCTTCACCAGGGGTGAAGGCCATAACCAGTGGCCCTATCTTTAGCATGGCACATCTGCTCTTGGCTTCTTAGTCCTACAAGTTGCCAACCCATTTACAGATGATCCAGGCTGAGATCAGCCCTCACAGGTGCCCTTTACTAGCTTATGATGAATAACACCATGGATGCCACAAGAAGGAGCAGGAAGGGACACAGAAGCTGTCCTCAGACACTTCCCTTCTCTCCTGCTTCCTCCCCTCTGAGTGATGCCCTCCAGTGTGGAGTGGGCAGGATTACGCTGTACCCAGGGTGCTTCAGCCTCTTCCCACCCACATATCCTACAGGAGCAGGGACACAGGGTTTCCCAACACACCCGTCCTGCCCCACAGGTATCTCTGCTGGCCTGTTGGGCACCAACAACAACGAGGCAGGTGACGAAATGATGTTGCCAGATGGCACTCTGGCCCACAGCCTGGAGGAGCTGGCCCACGCCTGGCAGGTGAGCCTCCATCTCACCAGGACTCAGGTGAGGGCTGGAGACTCAGGGCCAAAGGGGCTCTCACCCAGGAAGCACCCACTGGGTCCGTCTTGTGTCTCTGCTGAGGCTGATGCACCGGTGGTAGTGGGGTCTGACCATGAGAGAAATGGGCAGCAGGAGGCTCATGTCTTGTGTCTGTGCCCTCAGGTGGGTGGGGACTGTAGAGACACGGAGAGGACACAGCAAGCATGCCCGGGACAGAGCTCCAGCTGCCAGGCCTTCTTCCAGGACACCCAGTCTAGCCTGGGGACCTGCTTCCGGGTGGTGAGTGCAAGGTCAAGCCTGGTGGGAGGCTGCTCAGATGGACCATAGGAAAAAGAGACGTTTGCCCCATCCCTTGGGCTACTGCCAAGGGTGCAATGAGCAAGAGTAGTGATGGGCTGGTGCCAATTTCAGGTGGACCCTGCACCATTCCTCAGCCTCTGCCTCCAGGACACCTGTGAAAGCCAGGGGCTGTCAGCTGTCTGCAACCTGGCAGCTGCCTACATACACCTGTGCACTCGGAGTGCTGTGCCCCTGGACCCTCCTGCACAGTGTGGTAAGTGTGGTCTGTAGGCACTCTGACCCTGATCTGGCCTCTGCTTCCCTCCCAAAGGGAAACAGTTCCTTTCTCTTAACCCCTGCCAAGGAAGGAGAATACACACTCCATTGTCACACAGGGAGCCAGGAGTCTACCCTAAGGGTCTGTGCAAAACACATAGCAGAAAGAGACAAATCTAAAGCTTCCCCATGCTGCGTGTCTAGAGCATCCCGTCACCTGGAAGCCAGGCACTGGGGAGGCTGAGGCAGGAAGACTGTTGCAAGTTTGAGGTAAGTCTAAACTACGCAGTGAGGCCCTGTCACAAAAAAAGAAACCCCTAAACACAGACCTGCCACTAGAGGAGCTGAATGAATGCCGCTTCAATGCCTAGAAACCCACCTTCCACCAATGTCACAGGCACAGGCGTAAGTGACAATGGCAAGCACCACAGTAGTGGCCACCAAGACCCAGAACAGGTGGCTGCATGAGATCCTTCAAGAAATGAAAGACACACTGAGAAATGACAAGCAGAATGCCCAAAACAACTACCGCAAGAAGCACTTTTCACAGAAATGTAAAACTTAACAGGTTCAACAGCAGAAGAAAAAATTAATGAACTGGAAAATACGACACAGGGAAGGTGGCAAACAGAGGATGCAATGTGTGTAACAGTTTCAGAATGAGAAGATGTGGCATTTGAGCCAAGTCCCCTCCAGGTCAGACGCATGAGGAATCCCAACCCTGGTACTAAATCCAAACCCATCGGAACAGACCTGCAGGAGAGATGGAGTCCCAGAGGCTGCCACAGAGCACAGAAAGGGAAGATCTTTCATGGAAGAACAAGCAGAGAGGATCTGCCAGCAGCGACAGAAGGGCAAAAACCCTCGACAGAAGAAGTACCAAGTTAGGTTTTGTGCCTGTTCACTTCTTACTTAGGTTTAAGTTCTCAGCAGTGGCTTCTGTAAACGCCACTCCCAGCCGGCACCCGCTCGGCCCCTATGTGGCTGCTTCCTGCTACGCTGGCAGCGCCCACCAAGTGTTTGCAACTCGGACCATGTGGCCTGGAAGGCTGAACGTATTTACTGTCTGCTCCTCGAGAGAAAAAGTTGGCTGGTCTGTGGTATGATCCAAGGAAAGCAGAAGGAAGAAATTAAGAGAAGTTTATGAAATAGGAAACAAGGAATAGAGATGATCAAAGGGGAGAAGATACAGTGCTGCCAACAAGCAAGGGTCAAAACCTCCGGTCCCAGACGGAATTCCAGAGGGGACATGATGGCTTTGCCGATACCTCTGAAGACACCGATTCAATCACTGGCTTGTCTAAACTGCCTCGACAGTGCTGACTTTAAAGACTCTCGTAGCTATTAAATAAACTAAATTTACAGTTAAAAATGTAACTGCTAAAAAAAACAAGTCCACCTTGTGAAGGGTTATTAGACATCTCCCAAAGCGTGACTCATAAAAGGAAAAAAAATCAAGAAACTGGGCTTCATTTAAGTTAAAAACTTGCTCTGTGAAGACTGTGTGACCAGGATGGAGGGGCAAGCTACGGACCAACAAAAAAGAACTTCAAAGCACATCAGGCCAAGGACTTGTCTAGAATATGTGGGACTGTTATAGCTTAATAGTGAAACATGAATCTAAATAGAAAATGAGCAAAATACGTAGACCTCTTACCTAAGATAGGTGGACGGCAAAGAAGCCTGTGAAAAGTGTTTAACAGTCTGCCTGCAGGAAGGAGGCTACACTACTCACCTTTAGCACAGTTAAAATGATAAACAGTGAAAAGACCAAATGCTGACAGGACAGTGTTGCTAGCGAGAGTGTAAAACGGTGCACCCACTGTGGACAAGAGTCGGGTGGTTTCTTAAGCACAGGTGGCTGCTGTGTGTCCCGTCTGCCTTGGACTTGTGCGGTTCACATTCCAGGTGGAAGGTTCTGGAAGCAGCGGTGATGCCACTGTGAGAGAGCTGCAGGGCTACAGGACGGCAGGCGACCTGGGGAGACGATCACAGGCAGGGGAATACAACGCAGCAGCGTCCAAGTCCTGAGAAGTAGGTGGCCTGAGACTCCACTGGAGCGAACGCACGTGTAAGTCAGGGAAGGCATCCCCGTGGCCCGGAAAAGGCCCAAGAGGACCTCACAAGAGAGTAGGGAACATCTTTCCCCACACAGAGGAAGTCTGCAAAGACTAGAAGTGGTAGTTGTCTTTTCAAATGCCTAATATTCACCAAAGAAACAAGAAGACAAGGCCCACTCAAAGGAACAAACTAATCTCCAGAAACCAGCCCTAAAGACACACAGAGCTCTGACTTACTTGATAAGAGCTTTCTCATCATTATCTTAGCTTATATGTGCTTAGTGAGCGGAAAGAAAACAGGGACGACTACACGAAATCAAGAAAATGATTCATGAACAATGAGGATTCAGGAAAAAGGACAAATAAGACAATTCTGGAGCCAAAAAATAGTGAATGGAAAGAGTCACTAGGGTCAACAGCAGATTTGAAAGAATCAAAGAACTTGAAGACAGTCATTTGAAATTATCAAGTCTGAAAAAAGAAATTAAGTCTGAAATAGAGAGAAAAGAACAGAAATACAGAAACTAAGCATTTACCACACACCACTAAGTGGACCGATACATTATTGGACTCAGAAGAACGGAAAAAGGCAGCTTTTTGAAGAGAAATGGTCAAAAACTCCTCAAACTCCAAGTAGGATAAACCCAGAGACCCAAACTGAGACTCAAAAATTATCTGGCAAAAATAAGACATTCCCATATCAAAGCTGAGAATTCATTACATCTAGACCTAGCTTACAAGACGTGATAAAGGAAACTCTTCAAATCAAAACAAAAAGACATTATTAGAAACCTGATACTATGTGAAAATACGAAGTTGTCCTAAAGTTGTAATTCTGTGGACAGAGCTAAAGACCTGAATTATAATTAATTTGTTCGTTTGGTACCAGGAATCGAATTCAGGACCTTGCACTTGCCAGGCAGGTGCTTATACAGCTGAGCTATATCCCTGGCCCGACCTATATTAATAGAATTTTGAACCAAGATTATAATATAATCTTTTATAGCATTTAAAAGACAAAAGCAATGGGGCTGGGGATTTAGCTCAGCAGTGTAAGCGCCCGCCTGGCAAGTGCAAGGTTGTGAGTAACCTCCCCAGTAACCCCCCCAAAGAAAGATACACATAAAAGACAAAAGCATAGAAATCACTATAAGCCCATGACAATGGGCAGACAACATAGAAAGATCAAATTTTGACCTCAGTAATAAAGTTAAGGGCACAGTTGTAAAAGAGTATGTATATTCAACTGAACTTAAATTGTTATTAGTTTAAAAATGAATTCTTAAAACTTTAGAATGTTTAATGTAATCCCCACGGTAACCACAAAGAAAATATCCATAGAATGGATACAAAAGAAAGCAAGAAGGCGGTTAAACTATATCCACTACAGAAAAGATCAACTGAACATAAGACAAAAAAGCTGTAAGACATTCCAAAAAACAAAGAATAAGTCCTTTCCTCTTGGTAATTACTTCTATAAATTTATTAAATGCTTGTACTACAAAAAGACTTCAAGCCACCAACCTAACTTTACACTTTAAGTTATTAGAGAAAGAGGAAAAAAAAAAAGTAAGCCTAAAGCTAGTAGAAGGAAGAAATAATAAAAATTAGAGCAAAAATAAATGAATAGGAAATACTAGGAAAAACAAGAGAAAAAAATAAAATCGAGATCTGGTTCTTTGAAAACATCAATAAATGTGGGGGGAGGGAGAGGAAAAGGAAAGCAGGGAAAAGTGAGGAAAAAAAGGAAAAAATAGAAACAAAGCTTCTGTAAGTGGGGTGGGGAGGAGTGACGAAGGGAGGATAGGGGGTGGGGAAGGAAAAATATCCCAAAACTGGGGAACGTACCTAGATTGACTAATACAAGAAAGAAGACTCAAATAACTAAACCAGAAGTCAAAAGAGGGATGGGTACTGGTTTTACAGAAGGAGAGATTATGAATAATTATCATATGCATACCTTAGATGAAATGGATGAATTCTTAGAAACACCCAGACTGAAGAAACACGAAGAAAAGAAAATCTAAATAGACCTGTAAGCCTAAGTTAGTGATCAAACACCTGGCAACAAAGAAAAACCTGATGAATTCACTAGTGAATTTTACCAAATGTTTAAAGAATCAATTCCAGTCCTCCTCAAGTGCTTTTCAAAAATTGACCAGGTAGGGATTTTTTTTCCTCCATGTTTTTGAGAAAGGGCCTCACTATGCAGTTCAGGCTGGCCTCAAACTTGCAGTGATCCTCCGGCCTCAGCCTCCTGAATGCTGGAGGTACAGGCGTGTGCCACCATACCCGGCTGAACTAGGAACCTTCCAGACTTACTCTGCGAGGCCAGAAGTACCCAATACCAAATCCAGACAAAGATATAAAACTACAAACCAATATAGATATAAAAGTTCGCGACCAATTACTAGCAAAGAACTCAAAGGCACAATAAAGGGACTATACACATTATCAAGTGGATTTTATTCCTGGAATATAAGAATGGTTCAACATGTAAAAATCACTGTAACATATCACATTAACTAAGTAAAGGGGGGAAAAAGACGTGACTAACACAACTGATCCTGAAAAGGTATTTAACAAAATTCAGTACCTCACACTGGGCGTAGTGGCATATGTAGCACCAGAATTAGGGAGACTGAGGCAGGAGATCATGAATTCAAGGTCAACCTGGGCTACAGAATGAGACTTTGTCTCAAAAAAATCTCAAGGTACAAATACAAGGAACTACTTCAATACGAAAAAACCTTATATGAAATACTCATACTCAAAGACAAAAGACAAAGTTTTCCCTCAATATTCAAGAATAAGACAATTATTAACATAATGCCTCAATTTAACAACATACTGAAGAAGAGATAATAATGAAATCATTCAAACTGGAAAGAAAATTATGTCAGTGCAGATGACATGATATATGTAGAAAACCATAAATAGTCCACAAAAAACTGTTAAAGCCATAAAACTTCGAAGTTTTAGGAGACAAAATTCCACACACAAATCAGTTGTGTTCTATAAATAATCCAAAAAGGAGACCAAGGAAATAATTCCATTTATAATAGCATCAATAAGAATAAAATGCTTATGAATAAGTGTAACCAGGAGACGAAAAACTTGTACATAGAAAACTACAAATTATTGCTGAAAAACTAAAGACAAAATGTCATGGTAGCGCATCATGTGGGTTATTGAGATGCGGTGTAACTCAGACCTACAGGTTTCTGCTTTCTAGCAACGTCCCAACCATTCTGCAATAACAGAAAAATTCATCCTAAAATTCAGATGAAATCTTGAGAGGCCCAAAATAACCAAAACAATTTTGAGGCACAACATTGGAAATTTCAGACTTCCCAATTTCAAAACTTGTTGCAAAGTTACAGTAATAAAAATGTGTGCTGGCATAAAGATATCATTTAGACTGATGGAGTGGAACAGAGGCCAGAGACAAACCCTCACGCAGACAGTCAAAGAAGTTTTCGACAGTGTTGGGAAAATCAGATATCCAATGCAAAAGATGGGGTAATGCAATATTACCCCATACTACATGCAAAAATTAACTCACAGTGGATCAGAGACCTAAATGTCTAGCCTAAAATTCTTAGAGGAAAACAGAGGCAAAAGCTTCATAGCATTGGATCTGACAGTGATTTCTTGGATACGACACCAAAGACACAAGCAACAAAATTAAAAATGGACAAATGAGACTGTATCAAGGGCACCCACATAGTGAACAGGCAACTGTAGATAGGAGGAAATATTGCAAATCATGCATCTTCCAGGGGGTGTTAGCTAAAAGATTAAAAAAAAAAAAAAACACCAAAGACTCCAACACTGCAACTATAACAGAAACCAGACAAACCTGGTTCACAATGGCCCCAAGGACTTAGAAAGACCGATCTCCAAAGATGAATAAATAAATAAACGGCCAAGAAGCCATGAAAAGATGCTTGGCATTACTTCCCACCAAGGAGCTAAATTAGAAGCCCACTGGGATGGCTATAATCAAAACAGGAAATAGCAAGAATTACTAAGCGGGTGGGGGAGAAACTGCAGCCCTCGTGACCTGGTGGTTGGAATAGAAGATGGTATAACCACTGGGGAAATTAGTGTGACCATTTGTAAAGAAATTACAGCTGCGGGCTCACATGGTAATTCTATTTTTACTTCTAGGTGTATATATAGATAAAAAAGGGGTGGAGGAGAAAAAGAGGGAGGGAGGGTTCCATATGCATACTTGTAGCAGCATTAGCCACTGTTAAGGCTTGTGTCTAGATGTCCCCTCAAAGTCTCATGAGGTCATAGGCAGGGCTTTTCAGAGATGGCTGGGTAATCACTGACTGCTTGGCACCACCTTAATCCCAGCAGTCTGGATAAGACATAAGGGGCAGAGAGACACTGTTAAGCCCCCTTGTGGCTTTTGCTATCTTCTGCTGCCATGAGCTGTTGCCCCTCTGCCTTGGAGCCAGCTGATTATGAACTGAAACTTCTACAAATTGTGAGCTAAATAAGCCTCCTCCCACCTTAACTTTGGGTGTCAGGTATTTGGTCTTAGCAATGAGAAAAGTAACTAAGATACCCACAATAGCCAAAAGGTGGAAGCACCTAAATGTCCACGAATGTACACAAAATGTAGTACAATCACACGATGAGTACTGCTCAGCCCGAAAACAGAAGGGAATTCTAACACGCGCTACCATGGGGATGAACTTTGGGGAACGAGAGGACAAACACTGTGTGATTTCATGCACTTCAGGCACCCAGTCAAACCTGGATGGTTCCCAGCACTAGGGGAGACAGAAATAGGTTGCTCAGTGGGTCCAGATCTTCAGTGTTACAAGACACCGAGTTCTAGAGACTGGCTGGGTGGCAATGACAAACGTGCTTATCACTGCCGATCTGTGTACTGAAGAATGGTGAAGATGGTAAATTTGATGTTAAAAGTTTATTCAAGAAAAATTGATTTATAAGCTAGGCTCCCACTTCTCCATTTTTAACCACTGAGTAAACTTGTGCTGTTGGCAAGAAAATTGATTAAAAATAACATATTTACTGAACACCTGTTCTGTGATAGGCAGGGTGATGTGATCAGTGCTGAGCTAATTCTAAAGAACAGAGGCTTACAAAGAGACAGACGGGAGATACCCCAGGGGTGCACAGCCTGGGTTCATCGGACACAAATGGTGGACTCTGGCAAAGAACGTGAAATTATCCCAAGGGTAGTTGGTCAGATAAAAACCCAAAGTAGAGGGCTGGGGATTTGGCTCAGCAGCATGAGCGCCTGTCTGGTTGTGAGTTCAATCCCCAGTACCCCCACAAACCAAAGAACACAATAAAGTAGAGTCAGGCATCATGGTATTTGCCTATAATCAGCACTTTAGAGGCTGAGACAGGAGGATGGCTGTGTGTTCAATGCCAGCCTGAATTATAGTGAGAGCCTGTCTCAAAAAAACAGCCAGCCAGGCATGGTGACACATGCCTGTAATCCCAGCACTCGGGAGCCTCATGCAAACCTGGGCTACATCTCAAGTTCAAAGCTAGCCTGTACTACATAGTGAGACCTTCCTTGTCTCAAATATATACATATGACATGTTGGGCATGGTGGTGCATGCCTATAATCCCAGCTACTCAGGAGGCTGAGGCAGAAAGATTGCAAATTCAAAAAATATGTCAGGAAAGACATTTAATAAAATTCCTTAGCACCCAAGTTTATTAGCAAATGCCCAGTTCTATTAGGGAATAAGGGCTTAGAACATCTGCAAGTTGGTAATCTGGGGTGCTGGTATATGAACACCACCCTAGATGGTGACACATTAAAACCAACAGTAAGACACAGATGGCCCATGTCACTGAAATCACTGCATGGTGAATTGCTGGTCCCATGCAGGTACTACAGCCAGAAAGAGAGCTGAGGTACAGGAGACTGGGAAGGAACAAACTGTAGAGTGGATCCTCAGGGAGGTTCTGCTTTCTGGGATCCTGAAATCCATGGGGTAGGGCTATCTTTTCTAAAAGTAGAAAGGAACTGGGCATGGCAGTGCATATCTGTAACACCAGCACTCAGGAGGCTGAGGCAGGAGGGTTGTTCCAAGTTCGAGACCAGCCTGGGCTACATAGTAAGTTCAAGGCCATCTTGAACTACATTAGTGAGCCCCTGTCTCAAAAAATCAAAACACCACCACCACCACCAAGGACAACGACATAACCCAAAACAAATAGAAGCGAAAAGAAATCATGTAGAGGTCACACGTGTTCTGGAACTGCCCAAATGTCTGCACTGCTGTACTGAGTGGGCACCTCCTGTACTTCAGGATTCAGACCTGGCACCACCCCAGGATTTCCTTTCTCCCTGCTTTGGGAGGGGGGCCCCCTTTGTGCTCCCAGGGCACTGAGGCCCAGCTGCCCCTCCCCTGGGAGCTGTGTGTTGGTCTTCACCGTCTCCAATGCTCACAAGTGTTTGTTCAGTGTCCCAGTGAGCCTGCCCTGGTATCTTCCCTACCTCTAGGTGCTAGAGCCCTCCGGCCAGTCTTCAGCACTTACCCAAGGGCAGGGCAGGAGGTAGGCAGGGGTGGGCGGGAGCTGCCCTTGCATGAGGGCCAGGCAGGATTCCAGGAGACAGCGGGTTCTGTCCTCGGGGCCCCTGGCACAGTTCTCCGTGTCTTCTCCTTACAGTCTGAGGTTTGACTGAGCCAACAGCAGGCTGCCAAAGATTTCAGCTCCTTCACCTTCCATCCCAATCACAGCTGCGCAACAAGGTCAAGATTCTTGGCTGGGACAGAACAGCTGGCGGGAGATGCAGGGGACCCCAAGCAGAACTGCATGCAGTCCCGACACAGGAAAGGAGAGCTGCGGGCTCCGCCTCCCCCTTGCTCCCCACTGGCTTGGATGATGCCCACCTTCCCTAGGGGACAGTTGCTCAGGGGACGGACCTCTGCACAGGAGGCCACCCTGTGCCTGCCAAGATCCCTACCCTCATTCAACAGCTATTTCCGCAGCAGAGCCCTGGGCTGGCTGCCCTGGGTAGACACAAAGCGGGGTTCTCCCTGCTTTGGCACTGCTTCCCCTGCCCACTCCAAGGCCCCATTAACCCTGAGTTCCCTTGAGGGGAACCCATGGTTTTAGTTAGAGCCTTCCATCAGAAACCTGGAAGTGAATGTCTTAGAGGGACTGGCAGAGCCCCTTTTCAAGGGAACTTGGGTTACCTGGGTGTATTGCAAGTTTTCCACTGTATTTTCAAGAGTAGACTTTTCTATGGAGTTTTCTACTGAGAAATAAAGTTGCAGAATCCAAGAGTGTAGGCTGAATTGCTGGGACCCATCAAGCCAGGGAAGGGGATAGTGGGTGGCTGTGAAATCCAACTACCTGTAGAGGGCGCCCTTGAGCCCTTTCTCCTGTACATGGAGCCTTCATTTCTTTTTGTAAACGATGTCACTGAACTATACTGCCAGGCCTGTACCAAGCCTTTGACCGGAGCTGCTAAAGTCCAAATTGCAGCACAAAGGGAGAACTGTACACCATGAGAAGAGGCACAAGTGCAAAGGCAGATGCTACACGTCAGTCCCTGGTGCACAGCAGGTGCCAGGTGGTCCAGGAAGAAGAGGACATGGGTGCTACACATTGCCACACCCCACGGGGACCGATGGGCTGCAGAGCTGACTGACACCTGCTCCGTCCTAAACTCCAGCCCAAAGAGCCTGGAGTCCAGGAACTGCTCTGGGTGCTCTGCAAGATGCCCAACCTTTTCTTATACCTTCTAATAGCCCCGTGAGAGGTGTGTGGTCCCTGGTTAAGGAAGGAATGGGCAGAGGTGCAGAGAACCCAAGAGTCTTACCCCAGACACATGGCTGCCAAATGGCCAGGTGGGCACCGCTTCGGGCTTGCCTGCCTTGCAGGGTTGCCCAGGCTTGATCTCACACCTGCTTGTGTGACAGGCTTGTGCCACAGCCTATGGATTACTTTAAGTGAGTTAACTCTGGCCACGGCACAAGGAACACCACGTAGTGCTTCTTCGTAACACCCCACAAGTCAGGTTATGTTCGATCGGAAATGTACCCACAGCTTTCAGAAATGCTATGCTGGGCTTGATTTTGGGAAGTTCAGCCTTGGGAATGCGTACGAAAGAAACAGTTCACAAGGGAAAGTGGGATGCAGGTGGCAACTCAGAGTCCATGTGCCTGTTGTTCACAACCACTCAATCTATCAGTTTGGGAATATGCTTACCAGATCCAGGTCCAGGAAGGGAACTGGAGGAGCCATCCCAGCCCGGCTCCCACCTGCAGTCAATAAGGTATTTACCAGAAACCCCATGGTGGCTGGGCACCACACAGACACTGAGAAAAGCTCTCTCCTGGCAAAGCAGAGCTGGCAACACTGACACTATACAAACTGTGGGTGTGTGCATCCAGCACAGAGTTTAAAGAAACAGCTTGGGAAGAGAGCATGGAAAGACCAGTAAGGCCAGGCATGGGGTGCAAGACAATTGTTTGGGCCAGGAGTCAAAGGCCAGCCTGGGCAACCTAATGAGACCCATTTCAAAAAAACCCAGCAAAATCCACAACTCTAGCACATGAAGAGCAAATACCTACAAGCTGGGCACAGTGGCACACATATGTCATGCCACAATGAGGTAGAAAAATCACAAGTTCAAGGCCAGATGGGCAACGTAATGAGATTCTGTCTTGAAATAAAAAATTAAAAGGAGAAGGATGCAGCTTAGCAGTCCTTGGGTTCAGTCCCCAGACCTTGGGGGTGAGAGGGAGGCAGCAAATACAAACAAAAATAATTAGCTAGATGTGGTGGCACACACCCGTGGTCCTTGCTCTCTGGGAGGCTGAGGCAGAAGGATCACTGTGACTTTGAGGCCAGCCTGGTCTACTTAGTCGGCCAGCACAGGGAGACCCTGTCTCCAAAAACCCAATCAGTAAGGGCTGGGGATGGGTGAAGGCCCTGGCTTCAACCCCCAGAACAGTATGACCAAAAACAAAAGGCGACAGAGGAGGAGGAGAGGGAGGAGAGGACAGGAGAGAAGGAAGGGAAGAAAGTGTAGCTCAGTTAATGCACGTTTGTACCCTGAATGTCTTAAAGCTACTCTCCTTTGACCCAATAACCCTATTCCTGGGAATTTACTCAAAATGCTGGAGGGAAGGAAGAGAAATATAAATTATTCCAAAAAAATTCAAAATAATTTTATTATTTGAAACGATGAAAAATTACAGAACTCAACTGGGAGATTTTTAAGTCATGGTCTGGTAACGTCATGCATTATTTGGCACTCATTTGTCATAAAGTCCAATCTAAGGCAATGTTTTACTTAAAATGGAAAAAAAATTAAGCTCCACGAGAAAGCAAAACTGCATAAAAATCTGCATGTAAGCATGACCACACGCAGAGGAAAGCTGGCAGGATATAGAACAAAGGAAACAGTTCAGATAGAAAGGATGGTGACACTGGAGGTATTTTTCTTTTTAAACTCTTTATAATTATTATCCCTTTTGGAAAATTTTTAAAAGTTAAAACCAAAATCTCAGGAGCAGCCGGGAGAGGTAGTATACTCCTATAATCCCAGCACTAAGGAGGCTGAGGTAGGTGGATCATTGCAAATTGGAGACCAGCCTGGGCTACAAAGTGAGCCCAAGGCCAGCCTGAACTGCATAGCAAGACCCCGTCTCAAAAAGACAAAACAAAACAAAACAAAAACTCAGGGACAACTATACGATATCAACAGATGAACAGATAAAGAGTGTACACAGTGGAGTCTTATGCAGCCAGAAAGGATAAACTTGAGTCAAAAGAGTTCTAGTGATGGATGCTGGTGATAGCTGCACTTAATGCCACTGAGCTATACATTTTTAAATGGCTAAGATGGTAAATTTTATGCTATGTGTACTTTACCACATTTGGGGTGGAGGAGAAGGAAGAAATTGGAGGCCTAAAGAAGTTCCTGGGCTTGAGAAGGGGATGGGATCCTGGGGGCAGCAAGGGGAAGGGAGGGGTGTGAGGAGGCACAGAGGCCTGCGATGGCGGAGAGGAAGTCAGGGTCCTTCCCAGACCCTGGAGAAGGAGCACCCCAGGTCCCCTTCAGGTATGGCTTCCACGGTGCCATACCTAGGGCCTGCATTTCTCTCACGCCCAGGAGGACCAACTGCTTGCCTTTGACCTTCACTAGGCACACAGAGAACCCACCTGGCCACGCGCACCTTGAAAAAATCTGACTTGCGATATTCTGTAAACATAAAGCGTGGGGGCTGAGGTCACAGGGCTTGGAATCTGTCCCCCTGACCCTCCCCGCCAGCCTGGGCCTCAGGGGCTTTGGGAAGGAGATGGCTTCACCTCCTTCTTTCTCCAAGGCCCACTTGGAAGTGGACCTGCATTTCCTGAATGCACAAATCAGCCACCAGCAAAACCATGGCCTTAAATTCACCAAAAAATTGATTTATTAGGCAAGATAAGATAACCAAGACCAAAAGATTGCTATCAAGACTGTCTGTGCAAGCAAACTTGAAAACTTAGAGCAAATGGCTTATTTTCTAACAACAACTCCCCGAAGGGGAAAATGCTGAATCACACCAGAAAAAAGCTGTTGGGAAGGAGCCGACAGGGAAGGCAGAGGAGGAATAGTCGGCCCAGGCTCAGGAATGCTGGTTCCTGGGCTGTTTAAACTGCTCAGGCTGAGCAGAAGCAGAATGATTTCTTCATTCCTTGCAGGGAAACCGGAGACGTATGATCTCAGGAGCCAACAATCACAGCACCGTGAAGGAAAGCCACATATCAATTTCCTGTTTTGTGTGTGTGGTTTTTTTTTTTTTTTTAATGGCTTTTCATTATGCAGTTCAGGCTGGTCTCAAACTTATTATGCTCCTGCCTCAGCCTCCCAAATACACAGGGAGTACAGGTGTGGGGCACCATGTCTGGCTTAGCTATCAATTTCTTTTATGTATAAACCAGTGCAAAGCCAGGAATGGTGGTGCATGACTGTAATCCTAGCACTTGGGAGGCTGAGGCAGGAGGGCTGCCATGAATTCAAGGCTAGCCTGGGCTACATAGCAAGACCCCATCTCAAAAACACAAATAAACATTAAACCAGTGCAAAAAAATTTAAAATATTAGCAAATAAAACCCACCTGAAGGGACTAGGAATGTAGCTCAGTACTTGTCTAACATGCTCTAGCTACTGGGTTCCATCCCTGGTACCAAAAACATAAAACAAAGTACCCATGAAGAATACCCTCTTCCACCACTATTATTTTGGAGGCCCTAGCTGATGAAAGTAGGCAAGAAAAAAGTAAGAAATTTAAGAAGAAAAGAGGAGGTGAACCTATCATGTTTACTCTAGAAAAATCCAAGAAAAGCAACTGAAAAATGAGGCAGACTGAAATTTCATTCAGGGGTTAAGAACAAAAGTAAGACACCAAGACAAACAGACTTCCTAGGTACAAAGAACACGTAGAAAAGACAGTGAAAGAAAAAATCCCATTTCAGGAGTACACCCTAAAACATGTGCACTCTACATGAAGACATCTTCTTAAAGCTGTTAAGAAAAAACCCAAACATTTCAAATGCAAAAAAAAAACAAACAAAACAAAATAGAAACCACACTGTATATTCTTACCTAGAAAGCTTCAACATTAAAAAGGCAAAGTGGGCTGGGTGTGGTGGTGAATGTAATCCCAGGTGCTGAGGGGGCTGAGGCAGGAAGATCACAAATTTGAGGCCAGCCTGGGCAACTGAGCAAGACTTTCACTTTAAAAAGCATAGGGAGGTGGCCCAGTGCTTCCTGGGTTCAGTCCCTAACAACCCCAGGTGGGATGTGTAGAAATGGAGCTCTCCCAAGTGTTGAGGGGAATGTCAGGATGGCGCGACTCCTCTGGAAAACAGGTCATAGTACTTGGGATTGGACCCAGGGATCTGCACTGAACTACATCTCCAACACTTCTGAAAAACTTTTAGAAAAAAAAAAAGTTTGAGACAGAATTCTGGTAAACTACTAAACTGCCAACTCTGAGGCTGGGCATGGTAGAGCCTGGGTCACATAGTGAGTTCAAGGGCAGCCTGCCCTATGTAGCAAGACCCTGTCTCAATCAATAAACCAATAATAAACTGCCTAGACTGGGCCTGAACTTGCAATCCTCCTGCCTCAGCCTCCCAACATGCTGATATTACAGATGTGTACCACCACGCTAGGTCTGATGATCTCTTATAAGATAAATGTATGTTTACCCAGCCATTGGCCCGGCCACAGCCCTGTAATTCTACTTCCAGGATCCACCAAGGAGAAATGAAAACACATTACA